TTCTTTACCTTCCCCTCAACATTCGATTTACTCTTGACAATCTTTTTTCGTCTCCTCACCTTGACGTCTCCCTCTGTCCCCTCGCCTTGCCCCTCCTCCCCTTCTCCTCCCCAACTTCATCCATCCTCCTCTCCTTTCTCGTACTCCCTGCCTTCCCCTCCTTCTTCTTTTCCCCCTTCCCCTCCTTCTTCTTTTCCCCCTTCCCCTCCTTCTTCTTTTCCCCCTTCCCCTCCTTCTTCTTTTCCCCCTTCCCCTCCTTCTTTTCCCCCTTCACCTCCTTCTTCTCCTCACTACCGCTGCCACGAATTTTGAAAGGGAACTTACCCTTCTTCACCCCAGAACCATCCGGAACAACCTCCTCCTTGTTCTTCCCCTTCCTCTTCTCTCCTCCTCCCACATCATCCTCTCCCTCCTCTTCCTTTCCTTCAAGTGTTTTACTTACCAGCCCCAACCCGCGCCCTAAACTGCCCTTTTTAAGCCTGGAATTACTCGGTTGTGGCGACCCGTACCTTTCGGCAGGATCCGATCCGTTATAAGCAGATTCAGTACCGTTTTGTGGTGACGCTGAGCCATCAAAAGCCATCTCTAGCAATACAGGCGAGGATACGGAGCGAGTATGATAAACACGAGATGGTTTGCTTTCCTTAACCTTTCCCTTCTTCCCTTCTCCTCCCTTCTTCCTTTCTCCTCCCTTCTTCCCTCCTCCTCCCCTTTTCCCTCCTCCTCCTCCTCCTCCTTCTCCTCCTCTTCCTACAACTCCTCCCTCCACATTCACACCAGCAGAAGCCAATGCAGCAGCAGCAGCGCCAGGCAGCAAAGTCCCAGACGCCATTCTGACAATCTCTTGTGCCCCACGTGGCTCGGTAAGTGGGACGCAGACCACACTGCTGCCTGCCACGTGGCACTCCAGAGAGCCGCCACGTGTGCAGTCCACCGATTCCCGCAGTTGGCTTAGAAGCATTTCATCTTTCTGGTTTTGGTCTGCTGACTGCTGCTGCTGAGGTGGCATGAAAGCAGACCCATGGGTGTCTTTCCAGGCGGCATGTGCGCCGTTAATTACGGAGATCGTACGGCTGAGAGGCACGGGCTTCTCCCGAAAGGAAATGGAGCACGGAAGGTCCACTGGTTAGAAAAGGGAGGGGGAGGAGGGAGGGGGAGGGGGAGGGAGGAGGGAGGAGGGAGTTGGAACGGCCTGGTGATGGGGGAAGGCAAAGTAGGGGGGGCCGGGAGATTTGATTGGGTTGTTTACCAAATGCACACTCAAAAGTATCAGCATACCCATTAAACTAACCACTGTAGAATATAACTGCTACACTAATCTGGTCAACTCACGCGGCGACAGGCATCCTCGAAACTTGAGCCACTCGCGAATCTCCTCCAGACGCGTCGCCATGCGATTGTCGCCATCATCGTTATCCTCGCATTTCCTCCCCCCCGCTTTGGGGTTTGCGTCCCGCTCGTTTCTATCTCCTTCGCTCGTTCCACAACCACCTTCCAAATCAACGTCGCTCGTTACAATCACAGTCCACTGCGTCTCAAGGTTCGGACTAACCACCAGAAACGCAAATAGGGCCTTCACCAAATACACCTGCCCCACTTCCGCCCGCGCTCCCCCGATATCCACCACCTCCAGGGGGCCGTGTGCGCCTCCGCCCGTAACGCTTCCGCCAAACGAGCGCCGCTTTTCCGCCGCTCCCGTCGAGCTTAGTGAGCGCGGCGTGAAGAAGCCGCCGCCGTCACCGTCGCTATCAACACTTATCGTGCTGCTACTAGTAGCGTTACTTGTAGTACCGTCGAGTTGGTCTATATTGAAGCAGCAGCAAGTTTGCGGGAGGAAGCCGACGTTCCAGGGGAGGTTGTGATTATAATGAGAGGGAAGGTCGTTCACTCCGCGCACCCGCAGCGGATGGTGCGGAGGCTCCGCCACCGCCAGCTCCACCTGCGCCCACGTGCCGCGCGGAACGGCGCAAACCATGCGGAAGAATTCGCCGCCCGCGGGTGGTCCCGCCGAGTCGGCGGATGAAACAGTGGAGGAGCAACCTCTGGTAAGCGGCGCGGGGCCTGCAGGCGGAGCCGCGGGAAGCGCGGGGAAGAGTGTAACTCCTGCCGAATTCAATATATTATTGTCTAAGATGGGCGCTGTACCGTTTTGACGTCTGTCATCGAAACATGTTTCCGTTATCGTGGGCGCCGCGGCAGTGGAGGCATCGGCGGCTGCGGCGGCGGCGGCGGCGGCGGCGGGAGCGGCGGGAGCGGCGGAGGCGGCGGCGGCGGGAGCGGCGGGAGCGGCGGGAGCGGCGGAGGCGGAGAGGCGCAGCGGGACCTCGTGCCATGGGGAAAGGGGGACGACGACGAGGTCTTGCGCCGCTGCTGCTGCCGGCGCCGGCGGCGGCGAAGGCCACGGCGAAAGCGGAGAAGCGAACTTTCCGCGCTTCGTCTTCGCTTTGGGAGTCTGCGGCGCGGCGAATGGCGGCGCGTCGGCGAGTCGCGCCGCGTCCAAGAGGAATTTTCTGTATAAGAGCGACCCAGGTGGACCGATCTCAACCGCAGCGTACTCCATGCGGTGGAGATTTTCTGTTTCTGCTTCTGCTCCGCCTGAAGGTCTGAAAATCTTTTCCTGAAGGGCATTAACTTAATTTTACTCTTTAAGAGTGCACTCCATCACCGCCCAAAAGGACCTATCCATTTTTTGTTGTCTCAAAATCAGGCTCAGATTGATTCTTTAACTTGTGAACAGGGTCAAAATCAGGCGGTCCGAAGTCAGCCGTTCCGTGGTTCTCGACGGAAACGACTCGCTGTCATATGAGCGCTGACTCTCGGCGTTTGACGAATGCGGGTCAGGTGAGTTTAGCACAAGGTAGTTATAACTCAGAAATCAAAGCAAACGAATGTGCAAGAAAATGATCAGCCAGAGAGCAAGAGAGTGCAAGCGAGAGGATGATCTGATCACGTAAACGAATTCGCAAGAAAATGAAGCAGCAACTACAGCTCAGGTGATGTGCAAATGTGGGGCGTGGCCAGCTGGCGCAGGCTCCCCCGGCCCCGACCCGATTCAGCTGCTGCGGCGAGGGTGCCGCAGCTGGTCAGTCTTCTCAAGAAAGTGATGAGCTGCTCTGCTCCTATCATGGTTGAGTGAAACGGGCACGAGAAACGGAGGATAAGGTCGTGTCCATAGGGATGACATGTCAAAGTGGGCAGTGTCAATTTGGCATTTTGACACTCAGCCAACATTGTTGGCAGGGTGTCAAGAAATTGCAGGTTGCCATCCAATACAAATCGTCGGACACTTTCTAAATTGGCACAGTCAAACCTACAAACGAGAGAAGATTGTCGCAGGTGCCTATCGCACGACCAGATGCTGCCCAATCAGCACACAATCTGTCTTCTGAATCGTTCGCTACCTGGCAGATCCACCCATGACAAATTCTCAAACCAATGAAATTGCTTCGCTGATGTTCGTACATGCGCTTCGACTTGACACTTCAGCTACAGTGTTTGACACTCTAATTTGATTGCGCTTCGAGTTGACACGCCTTCACTTGACATGTCAACCCTACGGACACGAACTAAATTATGTCGAGAGGCCGTCAAGCCAGCTGGAAGTCATGCCAGAGAGAGAGAGAGAGCAAGGGATGGTGAGGGACCGTCAAAGCTAAAAGTTTGGGTAAAGCCAATTCGCAATTGCACCAGACCACTCTAGAGTGCAGCACACCTCACGGGACCGAACCAAGAAAACGTTTCGAGCAAGCTCTGTAGGGATTGCGTTTTTAGGACCAACATCTGAACACCGACAATTTCACGTTCCCAAACGCTTTTCAAAGACGCCCCACGCCATTTCTGGCTCTATCAATTAGACACCCAGAAGATAGGGACTATGAAGGAACCCTCATGTGCGATTTAGAAAAACTCACCATGCCAGTCTGATACGACCGCTCGTTAGGGCCTGTGTTTTGCGCCACCCAACTCGTCCGTGGAGTCCGGAACTACCCACTGCAAGAGCAAGAGAGTCCCACACAAACCTCGGTCAAGATAATGAGTGGGTGATTGCCCAAGTGTACCCTGGGGCGTGAAATAGGGGAATTTAATTTATTGGTGAGAAGGTGAACAGCAGCACAGTTGCAGTTGAACGACATGGGGCAACGGAGAGGACCAAATCTTCACATATTTGTTTTTGGAGAAGTGCGTCTTCACTTCATATATGTCTGACCATATATTATAGGTTATGAACGGAACTTCGATAAAAATGCATCTGTACATGCACAAGATGGGCCCACGCCAGGGTCACGTCACACGGCTTCTGTACAACGCGGTCAACTTCGTTTTGTCACGGTGCAAATTGTAAACCATGAAAACTGCTTATTACCGTGTGGAAACGCTCTCGACCACGATACAAGAACTGTAAATGTACGACCCGGCTTCGCCCTCACATCTGAAATGCCTAGGGGCATTGTTTTTCTGAGGAGTCTCAGGTCGCGGTCCTGGGGTGTCCTGGGACATGCTGACCTGGAAAGTTACCTTTTTGAGGTAGGCAACGCGTGCCCCTCGTCGCTGGGGGATGCCCCGTGTTCAGTAAAACTGTACTCGTGTACCAATGATATTCGCGCGCGATAGAACGGGTCCACGTTGTCCCGACTACACTTCGGAAGTAGGGTCGTAAAAAATGTCGCAGGAGTGTACAGTGGCAGCCCTGCGACGTGTGTGTGGGTGGGCATGTTGCCAGCACGTGGTACCAACGTGCGAGGTGTCCAGATTTCGGGTGTCCTGGACACCCCAGGACCGCGATCTCATGCTTCTTATAATCAGGTGTGCATGTTTGATCAAAATAGTAATAAATTGTTGCACCTTTCGCGATTCGGCTGAATAGTTTTGTTGCATCCACTAAGAACCACTTGGCCTAATGGTTTCCAATCCAAGGTTTCACGCCTAGATCCGATCTTACAAGTTTCCGAAGCTTAGGGATAGCCGAAGCCTAGGCATCGCCGAAGCCTAGGCATCGCCGAATGACGAGGCGACGGCGCGGTCGCGCGGCGGTGGTGGTGGTCGGCGATGTGGGTCGCAGCCCTCGCATGCAGTACCACGCGCTGTCGCTAGCCAATCAGGTGAATCCAACTTCTCGCGACAGTTATCGCCAGCCGTGATCTATACGTATTGCTAGCCAATAGTCGTTTCGTCAACGCGTTCAGTTACATCGCGAACAGCTCACAGACCGCGGTATACATTCTCCGGATTTCGTATAAGGTGACAATAACCTTCATATGAATAGTGATTCACTCTTAATGTCGATAAATGTGCTGGGAATGTAAGAACCGTGAGTTGAAAATGCCGTTAGTTGGGCTCCTATCGTGGCGCCATTGCTACCAAGTTCACGAAATGCGTTGCTTACATGTCCCGGAGTATCTTATAATGAGTATTACGGATTTGCTTTTCAAATGACACGCTCCCTCTTTTACGTGTTGCTTCGGAACGTGCAGGCGGGACTAGAAGTCGACCTTATCGGCTATGCAGGTTAGTCTTATCGAGAATACGGAATGGAAGTAGTATGTTTCCTGATCAGAAGGGAATTTTTTGATCGGACTGAATGAAGCGTGCATACCGGCAAAACCTGATGCTGCAGTATCAAGTACAATTCTAAACACAAATGTATTTTTTTTCCACTCATTGTCTCCGTGATTGCTCTTGGTAGATTCTCTCGCCCTATCGGCTTCGTCTTCTCAACATTTTCCTGCTTAATGTTCCCCCCCGCTGCTGCGCTTCCTCCCTCTCTTCCACATGCTGTCGTTTGTTTTCGTCCCATCCCTTGCCCCCTTCCTGGTTCCATCTCCCTCCCCGCGCTTTCCCCTCCTTTCCCCCCGCCCCCTGCCCACCCCCCCCCTCCCCCACTCCCTCCATTCCTCGCCGCTGCCTTATCCCCTTTTCAATGACTCTGCGTTTGAACAAGATTTTGCAATATTGCTCATACCCGTCCTCTCTTCCCCCTTCTATATTATTCCTTGCTCCTTACCCAACTTTCTTCCCAACCGCCACCCCCCCCAACCTTTCCCCCCCGTCCCCCTTACTCCCCCATCCTTCCCGCCCCACTCAATGTCAAAACCCTAAACCCCGTTCCGCAGGGTCGCAGGTGCACCCCTCAGTGGCGGAGCATCCGCGCATTCACCTGCGCCTGCTGGTGAGTAGGGGGGGGGGGGATGGGGGAAAGGGGGGGGAGGGAGGGGGGGAGGGTTGGGGGGAGCTGGTGAGTGGATAATGCCTCTTTTCCCTTACTTCCCATCTTCTCTTCCCCTTTTCCCCATCTCCATATCCCCTTGTCTACACAGGGCATGCCCTTCCCCAGCAGCTTCTCGCGCCCACTCTACCTGCTGCTGCTGCCCAACAAGCTCATAGCCCAAGTGCTCTGCTTCTGCTGCTCCCCCCAATCCCCTCCTCCCTCCTCGCTCCTGCCTTCTCCCCTCGCCTTCTCCCTCTTCGCTCCTGCCTTCTCCCTTCTTCTCTTGTCTCCCCAGGGCATGCCCTTCCCCAGCGGCCTCTCACGCCCGTTCTACCTGCCCATCAAGCTCGTTGCAAGAGTGCTCCGCTTCCTTCCTCACCCCCCTTGTCTTCCACCCACTTCTCCCCTGCCTCCCAGGGCATGCCCTTCCCCAGTGGCCTCTCCCGCCCACTCTACCTGCTACTGCTGCCCATCAAGCTCATAGCTCAAGTGCTCTCGCCCCTCATCTTCCATCGCCCCCTTGTTTCCCCAGGGCATGCCCTTCCCCAGTGGCCTCTCCCGCCCTCTCTACCTGCTGTTGCTGCCCATCAAGCTCGTAGCCCAAGTGCTCTGCTTCCTCTGGGTGCTCTGCGTCGCGACCCCCCCACCTGACTTCTACCTTCTACAGGTAAGGGCAAAAGCGGGTCTTGGTCTCCCTGCCGACTTTCCCCTGCACCCCCTGTGCTTCGATTAGTGCTTGCTTCTAGCTCTCTGTTCGCTTCGCTCTGTGCTGCCCATCAAGCTCATCGCCCAAGTGCTCTGCTTCCGCTGGGTGCTCTGCTTCCTCTGGGTGCTCTGCATCCGCTGGCTTTTCTTTCCCCCTCTCCCCTCCCTCCTTCTCCCCCCCAGAACACTCCCACCATCCCAACCTTCACAGTGGTGCGCTTCGCTGGGCTAGTGCGCCGTGCCTCCTTCGTGATCGACTGGCACAACTTCGGCTTAACTCTCTTTGGTTCATCAACACCCCCCTCTTTGCCCCTTTTCCCTCCTCCTCCCCTCCTGTCCCCCAACCGCACTCCACCCACCCACTCCCCCCAGAACACTCCCACCATTCCGACATTCACAGTGGTGCGCTTTGCTGGGCTAGTGCGGCGAGCATCCTTCGTCATTGACTGGCACAACTTCGGCTTCACTCTCTTTTCGGCCTCCGCTTCAGCCCCTCGTTCCCCCTCTCTCCCCACTTCTCCCCCTCCCCTGCCCCTTCCTCCTCCCCTCCTCCCCCCCTCCTCTCCCCCCGTCACCCCCTCAGAACCCCCCCACCATCCCAACCTTCACAGTGGTGCGCTTTGCCGGCCTAGTAAGGCGAGCATCCTTCGTCATTGACTGGCACAACTTCGGATTCACCCTTTTCGGTCTCCGTTTCGGCCCCGCACACCCGCTCGTGAAGATCCACAAGTGGTGCGTGAGTGTGCACGCATGTGGGGGAGGGTGGGAGTGAGTGAGTGAGGGAGGGAGGGAGGGAGGGAGGGAGGGAGGGAGGGAGGGAGGGAGGGAACTATAGGTACTCAAGCCATGCAGCACGCACATATCTGCATCTGTCCCCTTGCATCTGGCTGCCCCTTTGCATCTGTCCCCTTTCCCCTTCCCCCCCTCACAGGTACGAGACCACCATAGCTTGGCAGGCAGCAGCGCACATATGTGTGACTCGAGCCATGCAGCAGGACGACCACGCACAGAACACACACTCTGTGTCTGCATGGTGTTCTGTGCGTGGTTGTCCTGCATGATATGTACATATCTGGTGTGTCTGCCCCCTGCCCCCTGCCTCCCGCCCCCTGCCCCCCCTATCCCCTCTCCCCCCCCTCACAGGTACGAGACGACCATAGCACGCCAGGCAGCGGCGCACATATGTGTGACTCGAGCCATGCAGCAGGAGCTGGCGAACAACTGGGATATACGGTGAGATGGGGAGCGGTGATGAGGCGTGTAGATGTGTTTTAGAGGGGCTGAGAGGGATCTAGAGGGGTGTAGAGGGGTGAGGGGGAATGCAGGAATTTTGCTATGCAATAGCGCATATGCGTACCTCTGCCTTCCTGCCTTACGAGTGTAGACCACCTCCACTGTAGACGCGTCTACTGTAGACACCTCCACTGTAGACGCGTCTACTGTAGACACCTCCACTGTTCATACCTCTATCTCTGCGCTCTTCCTTGCACCTTCAAATGCCCCTCAGAGCCACTGTGCTGTACGACCGCCCGCCTTCCTTCTTCCGACCCAGCACCTTGGAGGAGATGAGAGAGGTGCGCATGGGCTGAGAGAGGTGCGCATGGGCTGAGAGAGGTGTGTATGTGTTGGGAGAGGTGTACATGGGTTGGGAGAGGTGCACATGGGTTGGGTGAGGAGGGGTTCGCATGGAGTATGCTTTACTTCCCTCTCCCTACAGTCAGCTCCTTTACACGCCTCATTCGAAATTGTCATCTCGACCCTCTCCCCCCTGTCCACTCTGTTTCCTCTGCTCCCCTTCCCCTGCTCCCCTTCCCCCACTCACCCTGCCCCACTCCCGTTGCCCCACTCCCCTTTTCCCGCCCTCCTTGTCCCACATTCCTTGCCCTACTTTGCTTCCCTCACTACTCTTCCCCCACTCCCCTTGCCCCCTCCCCCCCTGCACTCTGCTTCCCCCACTCCCCTTGCCCCAACAGGTTCTGGGCCGCATCGACCAATCACTGCTCGACAGCTGTTTCTCCCCACCCGCACCAGGTGCACACCTGTCACTTTCTTTTCAATCGCTTTCTTTTCAGTCATTCTCATTTTAGTCGCTTTCACTTCAGTCCCTTACCTTGAGCCCTTTTTATCCTCTTTTTGCTCAAATGTCCCCTTTCCCCCCTAAAGAATTCACCCCTTGCATGACACATGCCCCGCTCCCTTCCCCCTTCGCTATTCTTTCCCCCGACTCAAAACGCATCCTCTTCCTGCCATCGCATCACACCCCATCGCGCTGCTCTGACCACATCCCACCACGTCTCACCACTCCGTATTGCTTATCACCGCACCAGGAACCGCGCAGTGGACTCTTAGACCCGATCGCCCTGCCCTAGTTGTCAGCAGCTCTAGCTGGTGCGTCTGCCTGTTTGTCTGCCTGTTTGCGTCTGCCATTGTTTGTTTGCATGTATGTGGTTGTTGGGGCTGTTCTTTTCTTATGTTAACCTGCACCTGCCCTTGCCGTCAGCAGCTCCAGCTTTTGCGTTGCATGTTTCCTTCTTCTTGTGCCTTTCCCTTTGCCTGTTTACCTGAACCTTCTTGTTTCAATCTAAGCCTGAACCTGCACCTGCCCTTGTTTGCCTGTGTGCATGTTTGCTTCTGCCTGTGTCTTTCCTTTTGCCCTTTGCATGTGCCTGTGCCGCCATGCCTCCACCCCACCCAACACACACCAGGACTTCCCACTTACACCTCCCCTCCCCTCCCCACTTACACCTCCCCTCCTCCCCTCCTCCCCCCCACCCAACACACACCAGGACTTCCCTTAAAATTATCAAGAAGGACGAGGAATTTTACTTGTTGCTAAAGGCAGCTCTCTGGAAGGCCTTTCTCACATCGAACTCTTTTTATACCTTTCAACCCCTTCCCATCTCCTACCACACCAGGACTGCAGACGAAGACTTTGACGTGTTGCTAGAGGCTGCTCTCATGTATGACATGCGCGTGGCAGCGATGGCAGGCGAGAGAACCTTCTCACCCCTTCCAACCACTCCCCACCACGTCCCTCACAATCACAGGACTGCAGACGAGGACTTTGATGTGTTGCTAGAGGCTGCTCTCATGTATGACAGGCGCGTGGCAGCGATGGCAGGGGAGGGCAGGAGGGAAGGCGTTCTCACAACCTTCCCACTCCTTTCAACCCCTCCCCACCTCCTTCCGCACCAGGACCACGGATGAGGACTTTGACGTGTTGCTAGAGGCTGCTCTCATGTATGACAGGCGCGTGGCAGCGATGGCTAGAAAAGAAGTCTCCCGCTCCTTTCAACTCCTTCCCACCGCACTACACACCCACTGCAGGACTGCAGACGAGGACTTTGATGTGTTGCTAGAGGCTGCTCTCATGTATGACAGGCGTGTGGCAGCCTCACGACCTTTCCACCCCATCCCTTCCTTCCCCATCTCCCCCCCACGTCCTTCCCCTCCCCAGGACTGCAGACGAGGACTTTGATGTATTGCTAGAGGCTGCTCTCATGTACGACAGGCGCGTGGCAGCGATGGCAGGCGAGGGGGAGTTCGGAGGAGATGGAGGAGGCGAGGGAGAGGGTTCTTCTGAAGCCCCTCTGCTTGACTCCAGAGGAACGGACAAGAGATCACCTGCAGCAGCAGCAGGAGCAGCAGCAGCAAGAGGAGCAGAAGCAGCAGCAACAGGGGCAGCAGGGGCAGCAGAGACAGCCAAAGATTCCTCTAGTGCGGGGGGCTCAAGAAACGGTGCAGCAGGAGAGGGCGAGCTGGGAGGGGGAGTGACGGCAGGAGCAGCCGCAGGACTGGGAACAAACGCAGGGAGGTTGAAGGCCGGAGAAAAATTTCCCAACTTGGCGTTTATTGTTACTGGTGAGCACGCATGTTACTGGTCAGTCGACATCCACTTGCTTCAACTGGTTTTTATTTCAGTTTTAAAGTTTCTCGCATCGAGTCAATCCCTTACGTGTGCGTAGAGCAAAAAGTATGTGCCAAGTCACTTGACAATGAAGAAGAGGGGTGAGGTACACATTGTTACCAAGGAAAGGAGTAATAGCAAGCAATGCTCCTTGGTACACATCAATTCAAACATTACCCAGGAGTTATAGGCTATTATCAAGCAATGTTCCTTTGCCTGTCGTCCCTCCCACTTTTCTCCGCTCTCTCTTCCCATCCCTAGGCAAGGGAGCCCTCCGATCGCACTACGAAGCCAAGATGCGACGGCTCAGATTGCGCCACGTGTCCTTCCGAACCGCATGGCTCGCTCCGGAGGACTACCCAAGGCTGCTAGGCTCGGCGGACCTGGGCGTGTCCCTCCATACCTCGTCCTCAGGCCTGGATCTGCCAATGAAAGTTGTAGACATGTTTGGATGCGGCGTTCCTGTCTGCGCCATCTCCTATTCCTGGTAAGGTCAACAAAGTGTGCCTGGCGTAGTGAAGTGGGCTAATTGCATTGCATGGATGTATCTGTACAGGCAAGTAATGAAAGTGTTGAACATGTTTGGTTGCGGCCTTCCCGTATGCGCCATCCATCAATCATACTCTCTCTCCTCTCCTCTCTCCCTTCCTGCTCCGTCCAATCAGCATCCACGAGCTGGTAAAGGACGGCACCAACGGGCTCCTCTTCTCAGACTCTTCAGAGCTCGCCTCGCAACTCATCGACATCTTCTGCGGCTTCCCAGAAGGTTCTGCTGCTCTCAAACCCCACTCCCCCACCACTGCCTCCACCTATTCATCAGCCTTCACTCCCGCAGGTCCATCAACCTCCCCCTTACCTTCATCTCCCACATCACCCTCCTCTCCCTCATCCACTCCCTCCTCCGTTACGCTGCTTCAAAAGCTAGGGTCTGGTGCCCTGGCAACAGGGGCTGCTGGTAAATGGGCGGATGAGTGGGGTGCGAATGTGCTTCCTTTAGTGGAGAGATTATCTGGGGGTGATTTACGAGGTAATTTAGTTAACGTGCATGGTGTAATGAGGTGAATTTGCGATGGTGTATTTGTGTTACAGAGATGGTTATCACTACGTAAATTTAGGGCATGTCCAACATTATGTACTGGAGATGTTATGTAGACCGTCCTAGACGTACCAAGAACCTTCAAGCTGCATTCGGGTGTATTCTCGTGACCCGCCATTAGCTGGTACTGGCTGTGGGAGTGTGTGCTGTATTGTTGCTTGCATTGATGATATGGCACATTGGGTTCCTTGAAATTTGCACATAGAAACTGGACTCAATATGAGAAGTCCGACGTTGACAATTTTGTGCTAAAAGTGTAGTCTGTCGCACGGATGTGAATCTTCGTTGCCAGTTCAGCTTATCCGAAGGTTGGTTTTAGTGGAGTGACTGGGGGGCGGGGCAGAAAATTTGGGGTTGCTGGTCATGGGGGACCTGGGGTTTTTGTGACTTGGCGAAGGATCATTTTGGGCTGGGTGGGGAGGGGAAAGGAGACTGGCATAACAGTGCAACGAACATAGCTTCACAATGCGGGCACGTGCATGGAAAATGGGACTTTCCGATCATGCAAATCTTCACCAACGGGGATCGAGGAGGACTTCATCAACAGACATCATGCACCCTCCCAGCACTTCTGTTCAGAAAATGACAAAAGCATCCACCGCAACAGCCAGCGTCGTCCCTTGCTGTTGCGATTACAGTTGCACAGTGAAGGAGTGCACACTGGAAAAACAAATGCATTTTTGCCTCATACTCGAAGTTTGTCAGAAAATCACCAGGCATTTTTGAGAAATTATTTGGGTAGTCACAACTAGGCCCGGTTAATCACGTTTGGTCACGGGGGTATCACGAACAGTCACAGTACAGTAGATTTCTATCGCGGGTGATCACAGTGCTATCACGGATGGTCACACCTTGCCCCGAAATTAGTGTCTATCACGTTTGGTCACAGATGAAACGCTCAATTGAAAAATGTAACTACTCGAGTCACTGTAAAGATTCAGGTGAAATTTTATGGGTTTTTATACGGGCCGTCACAAACATTTTGGAGTTATCACGAGCAGTCACATGTTCCGCCAAATCTATCACGGACAGTCACATGTTCCGACAAATCTATCACGAACCATCACACGGGTATCACACGTCGTCACTCAAAGGCACTAATTTCAATCACGGGTAGTCACACTCGAAACTTTGCTATCACAGATGAACCCTCTCATCATTTCGTTGACCCGCCCTGAAACACTGTACAGATTTAGGGACTATATTTCGGGTTGCTGGTTTTTGTCCTGAATACGCGACCATTTTGCGTGCAAAGATACCTGGTTACGTTCGAATCGATGTAACACACTTCAGTTATAAAAAATTTATGGATGAATTTGAACGCATGTGTATATATATATATATATATATATATTGGTAGAGTTCAAAAATCATTGAATCCACCTAAATGTTTATCAAGATGCTAAACAATCCACAACTTGGAACGCCCAATTTTTATTTCGTTATACAATGGATAGAATATACAGAATGAGAATAATCTCACCGTAATACAGCAACACTAGCCTTCAATTATATACTAATCGAATCATTTGTTTAGCATATTGATAAACGTTTAGGCTGATTAAATGAACTGCTAACTCTAGCAATATCTATATGCGTTCAAATTCATCCATAAAAATTACTAAATTGTGTTACGTCGATTCGAATGTAACCAGGTATCTTTGCACCTAAAATGGTCGCGTATACAGGAAAAAAAAACCAGCAGCCCGAAATAAAGTCCCTAAATCTGTATGGTGTTTCAGGGCGGGTCAATGAAATGATGAGAGGGTTCATCTGTGATTGCAAAGTTTAGAGTGTGACTATCCGTGATAGAAATTAGTGCCTTTGAGTGACGGCGGGTGATACCCGTGTGATGGTTCGTGATAGATTTGGCGGAACATGTGACTGTCCGTGATAGATTTGGCGGAACATGTGACTGCTCGTCATAAATCCGAAATGTTTTGTGACGGCCCGTATAAAAACTCAAATTTTATCGCGCACACCGTTTTGTCCGTAGAATTATGAAAAAGTTTCGCGAAAACTCTCGATAACTCGTTTAAAACATCGCAATTTCTTCTTACTATTCGATTGTCCATTGTTCGATCGATGCTTAATGCCACTTTTAGACGGGTGAAACTCTTTTTTTTTTTGTTCCCAATACAAAAACTAAAACCCGTTCGGATGGGATTTAATTCGAGAGTATCAACCCTAAACACCTTGTCGCATGTGTTTAGGGTTGATGCCTCTCGAAGGACGTGCCATTCGATAGGGGTTTAGATTTTTTTCTTCAATTCCCTAAATGTCTGGGCTAAAATAATGCGCGAGGTAACAAGCAACCAAGGTTGGGATTCCCCAAAATTTCTACCGTTATGTTCGTGGTTTCAGATTAATTATGATCGTTTCATCGAGTGACCAAACGTGACCATCCGTGATAGCACTGTGATCACCCGCGATAGAAATCTGCTACACTGTGACTGTTCGTGATACCCCTGTGACCAAACGTGATAAAACGGGCATAACTGTGACCTCCAATATAATTTCCCGGCATTTTTTCGTCATGCTCTAAGTCTGTCAGGAAATCACCAGTTACGCTACAGTGGGAGAATCTTGAAATGATGCACCGCCAGATGGTGCCCGTTTCTGCAGCGCGCCTCCGCGGGATGGTGTTTCATAACTGGGAAACCCGAAATGAAATGGTACTTATGGGTCCTCCTGACTTCAGCTCCATTTCTGACCGTTCACGGTAAAATGTTTGAAAAGCACTGCAGACACGACTAAGCAAGACAAGAGACTCTACTGTACTCACAGCGCCCTTTGGCAGGAAAGGACAAGGTCCCAAACGATTTCAAGGTCCTCGCTGAGCCGATGCCACGCGGTTTCTGCCAGAAAAGGGCAGCGGCGTGATCTGGAGATCTGGCCAAATCCAGCGAGTCCAGCTGGGCATGGCATGCCATAAAAAAGGACCCTTCCCATCCCGCAAGTCCGCCACAACCGCAACCCCCTCCCACCCAAACCCAAAACCCCCTCCCACCGCCTCCTCGCCTCACCCTTCCCTTTTCGCTCTCTCATTCCCTCCCAACCCAATTCCAAAAAAAAGTACAGTACACTCACTACACATTGGGCCCACCCAAAAACAAACACACACATCGGGGATGCGAAACAGAATGCCAGCACGGAAGCAACAAACCCAACGGGACGAGAATCCAATCGGCTTGCTGCTTCTTGTCTGCCAGCGTGTTTTCTTCACGCGTGTCTGCGTGCCAGCGAGTCAATTCAGTTGCAACTCATCGCCCCAACCCCACCTCACCTCACCCCTTCCTCTCGTTCCTCAACACTGTTCTTACAATCCAACGAAATATCGGTCTACAAGACATTGTTTCCGTTCCACTTGAGTTACTGATCTTGTACTGGTAAATCCCCTTGGTCCCCTGCCCACTCCACCTCTGCTCCCCCGTGCCCCTTCAACCCCTAGTCCGATCATTTCCGTCCACACATCCTGTCCCCCGCTTCCACGGTGGCCCATAGATAACTCAAAGGGACGAGGAACAAACAAGGATTTGAGCTTCATTTCTTCTTTTTTTTTGTCGAGGAGAATTTAGCTCGGCCATCGTTCCACCAGAGGCGCTCCTGATTCCGCCATGGAAGCGGACCTCGTGGCAGCCAAGTTTGAAATGGACGAGCTTTACTCCAAGATAACATCATCCATGGCTCCTCCGGGCTCCTCAAGCAACGCCCCCCGCGATCCCCGTGTTCCCGAAGCTGGCAAGCCTAATCTCGGGAGACGCCTTGCCGTCCGTCTTCTTGTCGGCGGCGACGTCGAATCGAATCCCAAAACCCTCGCCGCCGCAGCCGCCGCGAATGCCGCCTTCAACGCCGCCGCTAAAGGCAAGGCACTGGTTCCCGATATAGACATCCCCGCTAATGTCAAGCGCATTACTAGACCTCCTGTTGGTAGCTCCCGCCTATCTTCGGTCACGAGCGCGCCCGCACCGGCGGATCATTCACTCGGGGAATCCTCCGCAGGTCCCAGCAAGCCTGCATCCGCGGCGGAAGCAGCGCAAGGCTCGCGGAGCAGCAGGCCCGCGCAACACGCTGTTGTCGCGCGGAAACCGCGCGCTGCCAGGCCTTCCGCCAGCAGCATTTTCCGCGCCTCCAGCGTCGTGTGCGAGCGACAAGCAGCCATTGCCATGTCCCTCGAATCCGCCAGCAGCATCGACAGCAACAGCAGCACCGCGTGCGAAAAGCCGTCGCAGGACGACCCGATGGACGAATTTTTCGCGATAATGGAGCAATTCGTGGAGGAGCCGGTCGAAATGGAGTATCTCCGCGCCGCGGAGGCCGCCAGGCGGAACCGGAAGGGCCCGAGCGACGCAAACGCCGCAACCGGCGCAAAGGGCGGCAAGCCGCAGATCACTCGCCAAAAGTCTCAAAATAAAGAGTTTGCTCGCCAGCCATCCTTTCAGGAATCGCCCGTCTCCGCGTCACCCGCGCAAGCCCCTGTTGCGCAACGTCACCATCATCAGCGCCAAAAGAGCTTCGCCGGTGTTTTCCCGGATACTTCCAACGACCAGAACTCAAGCGCCACGGGCCGTGGTACTGGTTCGAGTCACTCCGGCTCGTTCGAGTTGAACCCTGCGTTACAATCACATCAACGCTCGGCGTCAATATCGCAGAATCAGCACCACGCGCGCCGGCCGAGCCGCGTTGGAGACATGCTTGGATCCTCCCCCTCTGTCTCAATGCGCGAAACCTCGGTAGCGGCAACACCCAGTGGTAGCCGCCGGTTGTCGCACCCTTCAGTGTCTCGCGAACGCTCCCGTTCGTTCTGCGATCGGGTCACCCAAGTAGAGCCGGCCGACGAAGCGCGGTTGGCGGGAGCGAATGGCGCTGCTTCTAGTATTCCGGCGTCGGGTAGTGCCAGCGTTGGCCGCTCCGCAGCGGTTTCCTTTGCGCGGTCAGACTCATTTGTCAAAGCGGCCCGCGCCGTTTCCTCTACTTCGCGGGACCCGCGGGAACAGCAGGAGCAGCGCGAGCAACAGAGGGAAACCGAAGTTTTCGAGGCGTCGCAGCAGCGCGAGCTCGAGTCGCTCGTCGATGCGCTTAAGGCGGAGATTTGCGCCAAGGACCAGCTTCTGGGAGCGTCGGAGGGCGAGCGGAAATTGTTGGAAGAGGAGCTTCGCAGCGCGTGGGATCACGTTGCGGATTTGGAGTGCCAGCTGGAGGGCATGCAGGCGGCAGGCGCAGCGATGGAGCGGGAAATCGATTCCCTCCGCGCGCAGGCGAACAAACGCCCCCCCGCTCAGCGGCGTGGCGGAAGCGAGGGGGACATTGCGGTGGGGAATCATATTTTGGAAATGGAGCGCGCTTTGGGGGAGCTTACGCGCAAGCTCGCGGCGACGGAGAGTGCGCTTCAGCGGTCGGAGGCGCAAAACGCGGAACTGTCGGGGAAAGTCGCTGTGCGGGAAGACGAGCTTGGACGGACGAAATCTGCACTGCAACAGGCTGAGATGGAAAGGGATTCGCTAGCCGACGAAATGGAAGCTGCGCTTGCAAGTTGGGCGGCAGACAGCCCCCGAATCTCCCCTTCCAGTGCGGATGCTGCTGCAGCTGACGAGATCCAAAAGCAGGAAGCTGCGAAACTCGCGAACGCTCTCCAGGCGGCCCAGCGAGAGCTTCAAGCAGTTCAGGCAGAGCGAAATTCGCTTCTCTTGGCTGTTGGGCAGCCCAGGCGACAAGAGCCGCGACCCTCAACGAGCAACCAGCACAGTGGCGGGAGTCGCAATCGCTCGCTCACCCCTCCCCCGTCCCACTCGCGTGCGACTTCTTTTTCCGCATCTAGTCGCAGCGGCCCCATGGAGCTCCAGCGAAACTTCGGCATGGAGGCATCCCCGCCTTCAGCGGGACAGCAGAAGGGTCGCCATGTGCACTTCTCACCCCGCACTGCCGACGTGAAAGTCTCCGCCAACTAGATTACTAGGAGCACTACTAGTTTTTTTCCTCGCCCCACTTTGTACTCCTTTTGTGCTGGGCACCACTCTACTTTTTCAGGGTGTGGGCGACAGTTCTGTAGGGTTGAGCTAGTCTTTACGGGAAACTGCTCAACTTGGCTGATATAACGCTTGAGACCACGCATGAGCTCGTGAGGAGCCTGCCTAGCTGGAGCCAACTATCCTTGGCTTATTGTGTGGCTTGTCTTGCATATGAAAGACTTGCACCACCATCCCAGATGTTTGAAATGTTTTATATGCGATATTCTTACTATGTTGACACACCTACCGTACTACAATACATACATATCTTGGCTGAATGTTATAACGCAGGACCAACTTGGCAGGCATCGACCCTGTTGTTAGACTGGTATCTACACAGACACTCCAATCACCTTGGCATGGGGACTAGTCATTTCCTTCCGATGAACTGGGAGTTCATTATCGACAGATCCCTAAATACGTGGCTTTTCATGCATGATGTACAATAAAGAATCATTAGAAATGTCATTAAGTGCATACACTGCAACATATCAATGGAATTCACAGGGAGTGTCACGCACAAGCAGCAGCCACTGCCATGAGGCTTATGACCTGGAGGTAACCAAAGAACCTACGACGGCCGGCAAAAGCGGAGCACAGCCGGCAATAGCAGTCTAGCTGTAAGCACAACACGAAGTATGCATGGTAGTATCATGGTAGGCAATAAGGGCAAGCAGCGCCGCGAAACATCGCGCACCGACGACAAACTCCAAGAGTGAGGCTCCTGAAAAAAGATGTACAGTACCGAGAAACCGGCGAGATTGAATGACGGATGAGACGATTAGCAAGGCGCGGAGGAGGCGAGAGGGAGACGAGAAGCGATTGGCTCGGCGAAGTGGACACGTGGGTTGGAATCGACAGTCTGGCGAATGGCCTTGTAGTTGAACTGTGCCGCCCCAGTCGGCGATTGTTGGTGCTGGCTGAGGGGCACCGACAAAGCTGACGAGGATTTCCGTAGGGAGCGACCAGCTGGGTTGTTCACAATCGCCCGCCCGCTGGGACGCACTGCTGCCATCAGTGCGTCTCTCTCCCCTCGCACCACGCGAAGCTCCCGCTGCACGCCGTCGAGAGCCATCGCGAGTTGCTGCACCTCATCCTGGGCGGCTGAAGTGGGGCTGGAGTTTGATGACGTGGAGGACGAATGCGAGAAGGTTCCAGACGAAATGCCGCTGTCAGGAGTTGCGGGGCTGTCAACCGCCCAGCTTGCAAGTGCCGCCTCCATTTCCTCCGCGAGAGAATCCCTCTCTTGCGCCGCCTGCTGAAGTGCGATCTTGGTCATTTCGAGTTCCTTCTCGCGTGCTGCCAATTTCTCCGCCAACTCGACGTTGCGCGACTCCGTAGCAGCTAGCCTCCGGGACAGGTCAGTGGGCGACGTCGTCAGCACTCGCTTAGCTGATCGCAGAACTTCGTTTTCGTGCTGTAACTTCGAGACGAGCGCCTCCGCGTCGTTCAATTGTCGCTGAAGCTCGTCGCTGTTAAGCCACGCGTGCTTCAGCTCTTCCTGCAGCATCTGCTGCTCCTTCTCCGAAGCTTCGAGAAGCTTGTCCTTTGCGCGGATTTCCGCCTTAAGCGCGTCGACCAATGATTGCATCTCATTGCTCTCTTTGACAGAGCTGGTGCGCTGAATAGCACCACCCTTGACAGCTGGCGACGCGGGGGTGTTCCAAAGCGAGTTCAGATTCAAACCGCCCGCAGAGTGCGTCCTTGCGTGCGCCGATTGAACACGGCTCTTCTCAGAATCGCGGCTCGCCGCCCTCGGTAATTGCGTCTTCTGCATGACTTTCGGGCTGACAGGGGCTAAAGCCATGGGGCCGCTGTGCGTCTGCTTCTCCATCACTCCGTTCTTGGCCAAGCCGAAATCAGTCTGAAATCCGTCAAAGCTAGCGCCCATCTGAGGTTTCTGCATACGGCTGGCGTTTTTATTCGCGCGGGACACCTCTGCCAGTCTCACGCATTCCATCTCCTCGGGCTCGTCAACAAACTGCTCCATGATCGCGAAAAACTCCTCCATCGGGTCTCCAGCAGGGGCTTTAGGCAGCGCTTTCTTCACCACCTTTTTCTTTGGAGCGCCGACCGGCTTTTTCTGAGGTGGTGCCTGCCCTGCGGTTCTAGGTGAAACGCGGCCGTTGTTCACGGGAGGCTTTCCCCGCTTCATCTCTCCCATTCCTGCCATGGGGAAAGGCCCAGAGGTACCGTTGTTCGAGTCCATGTCCCCGACCAGCAGCCGCATAGCCATGCGACGACTGGCTTTAGAGTTTTCCGCGTCGGAAGGCGGCAGGGCGGAAGTAATTTTCGAGTGAAGTTCGTCGAGTTCAAAACGAGCAGCTATCAGATCAGCTTCCATTTCTACTCAACTTCGAAACAGATATGCTCGAAGGAAACGGATTTGGATCTTAGAGCACGAATCGACCATACGTTGCTTGAGCCACAGCAGAAACCCTAGACGGAGGACGGGTTTCAAGCCCAGAGAAAGCTCCTGTAATTGCGGAGGGAAGGACTATCCGGAAATCGGCGTAGGGAAGTTGTGGTAGAGAATCTCACAAGATGTTGCTCAAAGAATTGGCTCAAGTTCAACACGTTTTCAGCTTTCAACTTCCACCACCCACGTCTGCACGAAGCTTTGCCCGAATTGCTAGGTTGGGTTCTTCCCTTGCAGCCTGTGGCAAGTTCATGCAAGCAGCCGGCCACCCCTGAAGCGCCACGATGGCAATGACGGCAAACCATCCAACCGGAAACCCCAGAAGGACACCGTTTTGTGGTGAGTGTGGTTGGGAGATTTGCACACATTGGCTGGACTTGCAGCTTCCTCACCGTCAAATGGTGAGTCAAACGAAATGGTCGTTGTGGCTGTTCTCTGATGCCAGCTCAGGTGCATTGCTGCCACAACTGTGCATTACGCGGAAGTCAATTGCGGTCGGGCTCTTTAGTTTCCAACATCTGCCCGTCCTTGTGTGTGTACACCAGTTCTGCTGGTGCTGCGCTGGATAAATTAGCAAATAAATTTTCTCTTCTTTTCAGAGACAGAGATACAGCACAGCTCAGAAATTAAATCAGGGAAGCTGCTTGTGTCATAACGGCTGCACGAAATGCATGCGCTGGCACATTGACTTGGCTCTTTCCAGCACTTTCAAAGCTTGTGGGCGGGGACGAGACGAAAGAAACGACAATGAATGATAACCAAGACGAAAGAGGTTCAACCGGATTGGCTGAAAAACAGTTGACAGCAATTGCTGCTGCTTCACATCGAATCGTGCAGCTGCTGCAGGATCTGTCGGAAGAATCTTTTGTTTCCAGCGAGTTTCGGCACTTGAAGGGTCAGCCAGTGCTCTGTTTGGCTACGAGCAAACATGCCAACACCTTATTGGTGCAAAACCACGACGCGAAAAAACGACGGTGCCGCGTGAAGTCATCTAAGGGCACTGTACTCGAAACTCGTTTCAACCAGAGGTCATGTAAGGGCTGTAGTCCGATAAATAGCTACTCCCTAATGCCGCAATTATGTGTTTGAAGGTTGCAGACGAGCTACATACTAAATATTAACTGAGAGTTCTCTTCGAAGCGGATTGACTAATAAGCAACAACATCATGGACGACCAGTATACTTACAGCCAGACAGCACAGCTAATACGAGGATGACAGTGCCTCTACATGGAAGTGCGCATTTTGAATTACATTATAACCACCCAAGCAGGAATCACTCCCCTACGAAGCACAATAGTACATCATGCAAACAGACACGAGGCCACTTGCATTGTGCTCCAGTCCACCCAAGGAACGACCCAGGCATTATGGGAGGCACACAGAAGCCACTAGCCACGAAAAACTGCAGAGGCTCCTACATGATTGGGGGTCAATCAATTCAATTCACCCATGGATCGACAGCCGAGTCCGTTCCGATTCACAAAGCCCCTGCCTGCTGGCCTTGCTCCTCCTGTACCAGCTGCACCCACCTTGTGAGTTGACTCAAAGGTCACCTAGCCGCACCTGCACCCTTTACTGCTCCTGGTTTCGTGGAGCTGATAACGCGAGCTAGACACGCATTGATGTCTTTCAGATCTGCAAACATGGATGTGGTGAGCATGGGGTCCTAGCTCTGTGCCACCACCAAGGTTAGTAGCTACCTTGCTGCAGCACCCGCACCCTTCACTGCTCCCCCTTTCCCAGAGCTGATATCGCGAGCTAGAGACGCGTTGATGTCCTTCAGATCTGCAAACATGGATGTTGTGAGCATGGGGTCCTCATTTCGAGCCAACTGCTGCCTTGTCAATCCTGCCGGTCCCAGTGCCTGCTGCTGCTGCTGTGGCTGTGACTGTGGCTGCTGCTGCTGAAAGCCATGCTGGATGCCCCCGCCGAGGCTAGTCACCGAACCAGCGGCAGGAGGCTTGGTAGGAGAGGGAGACGGGTACGGATTTCCCACACCCATCCCCATGCCTGCTCCCATGCCCATGCCTGCTCCCATGCCCATTCCCGTACCCGCCCCCATTGCCCCAACGTAAGGCACTGGCTGGTTGGAAACAGCAGGCGATGGGAGGGCAAGAGGGGAGAAGTTCTGATTGGGGCCAAGGGGAGGGTACGATGGAGTGGCGTTGGGGTAAGGAGGAGGGGGAGTATCACCACTCACCCCGCCCATTCCCCCCATCATATACTGCTGCTGCTGTTGCTGCTGCTGGTACTGGTACTGTTGACTTTGTTGATACATCTGATTCTGCTGCTGCTGCCAGTGCGGTTGTTGCTGGTATTGCTGGTAACCCTGCTGCTGTTGCTGGCCTGGCATTTGGGGATAAGCAGGAGGCGGATATTGCTGATGGTGGTGCTGCTGTTGCGGCTGCTGCTGCTGTTGTGCGAGTTGCTGCTGCCAGGATTGCTGATTCGGATCATACTGGGGTGGGTACATCTGGCCAGGATGGGACGACTGGTAGCTCGGGGCAGTAGAGGGAGGGTGAGATGCAGAAGCAGGGAACCCAGACGCACCTGTCCCAGTCAAACCTCCCCCACCAGCACCTAAACCAGCAGCAGCAGAGCCGGAACCACCAAAGGGGTCTGTGGGTGAGTGAGAAGGAAGGGAATTGGGGAGGCGGGGCGGGGCAGACCCAGGAGCAGGACCAAACCCACCGCCTAGCGCAGCAGCAGGAGTGGAGGAGGTGGAAGGGGGCTGTGACTGTAACGTGGTGTGAGTGTAAGGAGACGGGTAGGTGTGGGGAGAAGGGAGGTGTGTGGGTTGGGGGCCGTAGGGGGATGGGGTGGGGGAAGGGGCGGTAGAGGTTTGGTCTGGGTTAGGTAGGGCTTGAAAGGAAGGCTCGGAGTCGAATGGGGAAGGCTCGGTGGTGAACGAGGGAGGGACCGGTCCAAAGGGGTTTGGTGCGGTGCCTGAAGGTGCAGTGGGAGCAGCAGCATCCGAAGCAGCGCTCGCAGCGCTGGCAGCACCAGCAGCAGCAGCAGCAGCAGCAGCAGGACTAGAGCCAAAGTCTAATGCACGAGCCGCTGTTGGTGGCGGTGCTGCTGACTCTGCTCCTGCAGAAACGGATCCTCCTCCCCCTTGTCCTTCTCCTCCTCCTGTGGCTGCTTGCACACCTGGCGCAAACGGATTGGATGGCGACAGCTCAGCAAGAAGCATATCAGTGGCAGAGCGATAAACAGGAGCAGCAGCCGAAGAAGTAGCAGCGACACCCAAACCTGCTTCCCAGGCTTGGGCAGGGAAGGGAGACACGTCCCGGGAAGCAGGTTCGGAATGTGGGTGGGGGTGTGCGTTGGGTGAGGGTTGGGTGAGGGCTAAGTGGGACATATGGGCAGTCATAGCTGGTAGATCAGGGGCAGAGCCGTATGGTGGGTGCGAATAGGGGGTTGCGGCTCCTGCTCCTGCTGGTGCTGCTGCTGGTCCTGTTGCTGCTGCCCCTGCTGCTGCCCCTGCTGCTCCTCCTCCTTCTCCTGCTGTTGCTGCTCCCGGTGCTGCAGATTCTCCTGCTGCCCCAGTGTCAGCACCAGAAGCACCGGAAGAAACACCAGCAGCAACACCAGCAGAAGCAGCGGCAGCGGGGGCATGCGGAATGGAGGAGCGTTTCCAGTCAGGGGGAAGGGGGAGCAGGGGGGAGGCGGGGGGGGCGCTGGGGGAGAACGTGGGGGAAGCTGAGGGGCGGATGGAGAAGGACGACGGCGCACTGTCGGTGGGGGGGGAAGAAGGGAGGAGAGACGGGGAAAGTTGGGGGAGAAGAGGGGGGAGGAAAGGCGGGGAGGAAGGGGAGCAGAAATTGTGAATGAGGAGAGGAGAGGGAAGGAGCAACGAGTATTAGGGGGTGGGGGAAACGGGGGCGGATGGAGAAGGACGAATGGGGAGGAGAAGGTGCAGTGTAGATGGGGGGAAGGAGGGGCGGGGGAGGGGGCACGGAAGAAAGGAAGGGGAGAGAGAAACAAGAAACGAGTAGTGAGGGGGGGGTGGGAAAAGAGGCTGGGGAGGAAGAGGAGGAAGAGGCGAAAGAGGCGAAGGACAAAAAAACAAGAGTCACCCTCGCCTGTCTTTTTTTGAGCTGAATGCGTGTCTTTGGGTTGGGTTGACTAGAGGCTTGAAAAAAACAACGGCCCAAATACAAAGGGAGGAAAAGGAGAACGAAAAAGAAGAGCCACCCGCGCCTGTCGAGCTGAATGCTGGGCTCGCTGTCAGTGTCGCCCTCCCCATCGTACTGGTTGAAATTCGTTGGGTTCGAAACGCAGCAAGCCTTCTAAGAGTAGCGATCTATAGCACTAGACTACTAATCTGAAAGGCGAGGGAAGTTGTAAGAAAAAGGTCTACTAATCAGAAAGCCAGACACATTAGGCCTGGATGTCGCGTGTGAACGCGTTTCGGCCAACAACGGCCTTCATCAGCACACTACGCCCTCCCCATCGTACTGCGCCCACTTCCCCTTCAAACCCACCCCTTCTCTTCCCCCTTTCCCCACCCTCCCATCACTCACCAACCCCATGCCTAAGTCCAGCACTCACAACGGCTCAAAGCAGCACTCACCCGCGCCTGTCGAGCTGGATAGTCGGCTCGCTGTCGGTGTTGCCCTCCCCATCGTACTGCGCCCACTGCACCCCTCCTGCTGCTGCTGCTGCTGCTGTCGACCCAGCAGCAGACGCACCACCACCACCAGGAGCAGCAGAAGCGGAGGTTTTCTGTAGCTGGCTGTGGCGCTTCATAACTGCCTGCACCTCATCGTTGAGCGCCAGGGCGGAGCGCAATAGGTGCTCATCACTGGAGGAGTTGGGGGGTAGGCACACAGAGAAGAGTGGTAGTTGAAGACGCAGAGGTACTCAGTAGCTGGCTGTGGCGCTTGCGAGTGAATTTTGAGAATTCTCAAAAATCACTCGCTAGCTAGCTGTGGCGCTTCTTGACTGCCTGCACCTCTTCATGTACTTGAGAAAACGCACCTCCTATCCTCTCTTACCTGGTAAAATTGATTGTGGCTGTTAGGCGTCCTTCCAACCCCCGGCACTCCCCCACCAGCTGCTGCACCAACTCGTCCCCCAACACAGACGCAGGGTTGTCCTTGGGCGCGGCTGAGAGCAGGTCAGATAACACCTCCACCGAATTCAACCCCGTTGTGATGTCCGCTAGACTGGTGTTTGATAGGGGCGTGCAGGAAGGGGGGGAGGGGTGTGGCTGAGAGAAGGTCAGATAACACCTCCACCGTGTTGAGCCCGGTTGTGATGTCCGCTAGACTGGAAACGGGGGAAAGAAGGATGAGCATGTGGATAAAAGAGAGGCACAGACGCAGGGTTGTCTTTGGGGCCGGCTGAGAGCAGGTCAGATAGCACCTCCACCGAGTTCAACCCCGATGTGATGTCCGCTAGACTGGAGGGAGTAGGAGGGAAATCGGCGTGGGTAAAAGAGAGGCACAGACGCAGGGTTGTCTTTGGGGCCGGCTGAGAGCAGGTCAGATAGCACCTCCACCGAGTTGAGACCGGTTGTGATGTCCGCTCACTGGAGGGAGCAGCACATGCAGGAGGGAGATGAGCGAGGAGACAATGGAGGAATAGAAGTGAGAGGGAACAAGGCACAGAGAAAAGCAGGAAAGCAAGGCTGAATCTTTTTTTCCACCCATCCGCTCTCACACCCCTACCCCTCTTCACCCCCCCCCCCCCTTGGGCTGGATTTCACGAATTTCCCACCTCCTCCTTTCCCCCCCTCCCTCACTCCCTCCCTCTCCACCTCCTCTCCCCCCTTAGGTCCACTACATTCCTCATGTGCATTTGAAAGAAGGGGTTCAAGTTCCTTAGGAACTTGAAAAGTTGCCCCAGAATTGTGAGGCCCCCCCTGTAAACCCTAAACCTGGCCGACAAATGTATACTGCCGCTTTAGGTCCACCTCCTCTTCCTCCTCATTGCTCTCTCACCTCATAGGTTTCACATTCGCCCCGTCCTGTGTGATGAGTTGATTTTTGAGTCGACTCAAAAATCGTCTCCCTCCTCATTGCTCTCTCACCTCATAGGTTTCACATTTTTTAGTCGACTCAAAAATCGACTCTCTCACCTCATAGGTTTCGCATTCGCCCCGTCCTGTGTGATGAGACGATTTTTTACTCGACTCAAAAATCGTCTCCCTCCTCTTTGCTCTCTCACCTCATAGGTTTCGCATTCGCCCCGTCCTGTGTCCCACTCCCGCTCTGCTGCTGCTGAGCCTGTGGCTGCTGCTGCTGCTGCTGCTGCTGCTGCTGCTGCTGCTGCTGCTGCTGGTAGTGCAACGGAGGGGGATACGGCTGGGGCGGCAACGCCCTGGGACCACCAAGAGGAGACCGTGCACCATCATAAGCAGCTCCGTTATAAGCTGCTCCGTTGTAAGCAGCAGGAGGGTTCCCCGGACTGTACCCCCCAACAGGGCTGCCGTAAGTGGGGGAGTTGTAGAGCTGAGGAGGGGTGGACTGGCTGGCATGGGGATGCAGGTGCGGGGGCAGGCCGCCAGGTGGCACGCCGTGACTGGCTGCTGCACGCTCGGGAGCTGGCATGGGGATCGAGGGGGAGTGGTGGGCGGGGCTAGCGCTGTGACGTTGGGGGGGAAAGGGGACACCACTCCTCTGCAGGGTGGGCAGGCGAGCGGGACAGGGGAACAAGGGGGACAGGGGAGGAGCAGCGGGACAGGGGGACGGGACGGTTAGGGGAAGAGGGGAGAGGACGAGGCGCATAGTACGTCGATATTAAGGAATAAATACGCGGGTCTTTGTTGTACATTAGAGGAGCAGCAAAACAAGGATCTTCTCCGGAAAAGGCATGAGCGAGAAAGAAAAGGGTTGATCCTACATTCCCATGCCTGCTCCCGAAACGGCAGTAGCAGCATGAGGGATAAGTATTACACCTTGAGCTCGTCGAACGTGAGAAAGTACTCTGTGTGGCGGCAGGTGGGGCCAGGGGGGAACACGTCCGCCCACTCCTGGATGAGCCCTCGTGCCCTCGCTGTTGCTGCTGGGCTCGCCTGTTGGAACATTTTACAGGGATGGCGGATGGTACGAATTCATTCAGCATGGTGGAGATGGGACATGCAAACACGCAGTACAGGAGGAGGCAAATAAACGAGAGATTCAAATAGAGCTTTGCCCTCTCTAAAAACAAAAATCCAAGGGTACACGGTGAGAACAAACAAACAAACACGCACCCCTCCTTTCTTGGCGATCTTTGCCACGTCAGCAAGCACTCCTTTCTCCACCACCTGAGCGTGCACCGCCCCTCCACAATTCTTCATCACGGTTTCCAGCAGCTGTATAATGGTAAGGAGGGGGGAGGGAGACGTATAAAAGAGGTTTAAGTCGTCAAGAAATGACAGTAAGATCGCATTTTTACGTGCGTGCACCGTCCCCCCACAGTTCTTCATCACGGTTTCCAGCAGCGGAGGGGGAAATGGACAGAAGCAGACTCAGGTGGTTTGGGAAAGGCAGCAGAACCACACGGTTGTGAATCACAGTGCACAGCGCGCTGTGCCACGTGTCATGGTGATGAGCGTTGCACACTGGACAGGCTGTAAAATAACAGGAATATTGTGGTGTAGACATCATATCATAACGTATGTTAAGAGCAGGGAGCTGGAATTGTGCGTACAGTGAGAGCGGAGAGCTGCACTTGTGGATGGCGTGAGGTGACCTTCTTGTGAACGGCTCGCATGGCATCTCCCACCTTGCTGAAGGGCGGGAAACAACAAATCAAAGGATGCAAGAGCGTTAATGAGGGGGAGAGAAGGAAGTTGAAGGAACTCATAAATACCTCCTTGTGAACGACTCCCATGGCATCTCCCACCTTGCTGGCGGGTGCGGGAGGAGAAAAGAAGGAAGTTTAAAAACTTCCCCGCAAGCGAAAAAAACGAGGCGTGGCCTTCTTGTGCCTGGCTCAAGTGGCATCTGATGTCTAACTAGGTAAAGAAAAGGAAGTTGCAGGAGCAGAAAGAAAGAACAAACGACAGAAGCATGATGCTATGATGATAAAATGTTTTGCAATAGTGGGACTTTGAAGATGAATTGTATAACCAGAGATCAGCATGCGAAGGCAAGGCCTGTCCTACAAAAACTAGTAATTGGCCTGCTTGAAGATATTGAAGCCACGTAGCTGATCGGCACGCAATCTAGCGCGTTGCTGGTACCTGAATCAAACGCTTCACCTAGCTTAGAAAACTTGAGTCATTCACGCGAAGTAACGCAAAAACGAGAGTCGCTGCGACGATTCACAGGTCGGCTTACCCTGGCGATACATTGAGAAGGTCGCAGAGCTGGAGATTGGTGGTCCAATCAGGTTCCGCCAGGTACTCGCTGCACGCCTTATCCACAAGGTGCGATGCGCTGGTATCCGAATGATGACTCCGACTAGCCATGATCAGATGCTGATTCCGCAATCACTAAGATGCTGATTTTCTTATTACTGCCTTGCTGTTTAATATTAGAAGAGTGAACGCTGATCCAGTAAGCCGAAGCGATCAAAAAGGTGCTATTTGTCACCTTAATTTCACCACAATCACCACAAATTCCAGGGACTTGTATTTAAATCCAGTGCAACATCCGCTACACTTGCAGGGATGAAGACCCCTCCCTGATTCGCTAGATTAGCTCTCAGCTAGATAGATCAGACCTACCGTCAATTAGCTCTAATCATAACTGCCTTGTGGTTCTGGTCTGGTCTGGAGCTGTCGGTGCTGGAGGCTGCTTTGTTGGAAGCTAGTTCATTTGTGCATGTTCAAAGTGGTGAAACGAGAATAACCGCCCCCGATTGCGCAAAACCGTACTCAAACGCTTGTTCATTTTCTGGAGGAATGTTTGAAGGGAACGAGGCAGGTTTGGTGCTGGCTGGAGTGGAGGTGTGGCTGGGTGGTGCTGCAGCTGTTGTTTTTTCTGAAAGCGTACGGTCTGGAAAACCGAAACTGAACGCAACTAGCCGTTGTACGAACCACCTTGCGGCGCTGTGCGCACAGACGGGGGCCAACATTATAGACATGCAAATTAGTGTGGTAACCCTATCCAATGGTATGCAAAACCGTCTTACCTCTGTTTTCAAGTTGTTGACATGCTGCCCTGATAGCGCGTTCGTTTTTAATTCAGATTTGATCTTTACCGCGCTTGCCTTCGCGCTAAGACGTGATTTCTTCGGGCCAAGAAAAAAATAAAACCCGATCGGAAAGGGATGCGTCAGGGAGGCATCAACCCTAAAAACAATGTCCTTTCCCGTGTTTAGGGTTGATCCCTCCCAGAAATGCGTCCAGGTCGCTAGGGGTTTTATTGTTTTTCTGCCCTGCCCCTACAATTCCAGGGAGCAATATATTGGTCCAAATTAATGTTATCGAAATGGACCCCGTAGACTTTCATTCCAGTGGATTTTTCGTCACATTTAGCGGAAAATAGTAGCCGGCAGGAATATTTGTTAGGCGCCGAACAAGACGCGGGAAGAACTGATTGTATCACATATTTTCTTCCTTTTCTGTGCTGCGTCAGCTGTTACAGTGTTTTGAGTGGCGCTACCAGACAATTTTGCGCAGCAGAACTGGGGTATCGACGGTTTTGCATACCATCGAATAGGGTTACCAGACTGATTTGCATGTCTATGATGTTGGCCCCACAGGCGGTTCCAACATGGGGGGGTGCGTTTCATCTATCCCCTATGCGGTTCCTGACGAGGCTATATTAAGCATCATCTTGTTGCAACGTTGACAAGAGGCGGAACAAGAGCAAGCACGGAAGCATGGAATGAGATGACACGCAACGCACGACAGTGGTCAACCGCGCTTCCGCTCGTCAAGAAATCATGCGCCTTCCCGGAAGCCAAGAGAGGCAGAAACACAACCGCTAATCCTTCACAAGTTGTTGCGATAATTCGAATACAGAATAGGGAAATTGCTCAAGAGAGGGCAATTACTTATCGCAAAAAAAAAAGAACTAAGCTCCTTACTAAATGAAATCAATGCAGGAAAAGCGAACGGCACTAGATCCTGAGCAATAAATAGGTGGTCGCACGATAAATATGTACAAGTGGGACGGTTAGAAGTGTGTTAGATCATGTGAGGAATCTCGATTAGGAAATTTGTCTTCCAGTTCACTGGCACCTTTACCAGAGCGATGTTGAAAACCCTGCATGGCACAATCACATACAGGCAGAATTCCCATAAGCAGATGGAAACTGGAGCAAGAAACTAGAACTAGAGTATACTTGCAAGAAGAGAATGAACATGAAAATCAAATGTGGTACATAAACCCTAAGGATTTCCTCAATACACAAAACAAGGAGCACTGACCTTCGAAGCTCTCGGCCATTCGAAGCAGCTCCACCAGCTTCTTCCTCTGCTCCTCAGAAGCGACCAATGACTCGCTCAGATTCCGCACACTCTCCCTCTTAGCCTCCGTCACCCGTTCCAGCTCCCTTCTCACTCTCCCCAACTCCCCTCTCACTCTCTCTAGCTCCTCCTTCACACTATCTCCATCCCTTCCCACCTTCTGAAGCACCTCCCTCACACTCTCCCCATCCCTTCTCACTTTTTCAAGCTCTTTCCTTGCAATCTCCCTGTCCCTTCTAGCCATCTCCAATTCAAGCCTCAGCCGTTCTAATTCCTTCACCCATCCCTCTCCATCCCCATTCCTCCCAGCCTCCTCCCTCCTTCTCACAGCCATCTTCCTTTCCTCCTCTGCCTCCTCGGCTGCACGCCTCGCCACTTCAGCATCTCGCCTTGCCAAGTCAGCAGCTTGTTTTGCCAGCTCAGCAGCAAGTTTAAATTCATCAGCAGCGTGTCTTGCCGCATCAGCGTCAAGTCGTGCCACATCAGCATCATGTCTTGCCACATCAGCATCACGTCTTGCCTCGTCAGCATCCCTCTTGGCCCTGTCAACAGCATGTGAAGCCTCACTCAACCTCATTAGGGTATCAGCTAAATTCGCTTCAGCCAGCATTCCCCTCCTCTCAGTCTCCTCCCTCTCTTTCTCCGCCTCGCATTTCGCTGCCTCAGCCTCCTCTCTCTTCTGCTCAGCCTCACTCCTCGCCTTCTCTGCTTCCTCCCTCTTCTGCTCAGCCTCACTCCTTGCCTTCTCCGCTTCCTCCCTCTCTTTCTCCGCTTCGCATTTCGCTGCTTCAGCCTCCTCTCTCTTCTGCTCAGCCTCACTCCTCGCCTTCTCTGCTTCCTCCCTCTTCTGCTCAGCCTCACTCCTTGCCTTCTCCGCTTCCTCCCTCTCTTTCTCCGCCTCGCATTTTGCAGCCTCAGCCTCCTCCCTCTTCTGCTCAGCCTCACTCCTCGCCTTCTCTGCTTCCTCCCTCTTCTGCTCAGCCTCACTCCTTGCCTTCTCCGCTTCCTCCCTCTCTTTCTCCGCTTCGCATTTCGCTGCTTCAGCCTCCTCTCTCTTCTGCTCAGCCTCACTCCTCGCCTTCTCTGCTTCCTCCCTCTTCTGCTCAGCCTCACTCCTTGCCTTCTCCGCTTCCTCCCTCTCTTTCTCCGCCTCGCATTTTGCAGCCTCAGCCTCCTCCCTCTTCTGCTCAGCCTCACTCCTCGCCTTCTCTGCTTCCTCCCTCTTCTGCTCAGCCTCACTCCTTGCCTTCTCCGCTTCCTCCCTCTCTTTCTCCGCTTCGCATTTTGCTGCTTCAGCCTCCTCCCTCTTCTGCTCAGCCTCACTCCTTGCCTTCTCCGCTTCCTCCCTCTCCTTGTCCGCTTCGCATTTTGCTGCTTCAGCCTCCTCTCTCTTCTGCTCCGCCTCACTCCTTGCCTTCTCCGCTTCCTCCCTCTCTTTCTCCGCTTCGCATTTCGCTGCCTCAGCCTCCTCTCTTCTCTGCTCAGCCTCACTCCTCGCCTTCTCTGCTTCCTCCCTCTTCTGCTCATCTGATCAGCCTCACTCCTTGCCTTCTCCGCTTCCTCCCTCTCTTTCTCCGCCTCGCATTTCGCTGCCTCAGCCTCCTCTCTCTTCTGCTCAGCCTCACTCCTCGCCTTCTCTGCTTCCTCCCTCTTCTGCTCAGCCTCACTCCTTGCCTTCTCCGCTTCCTCCCTCTCTTTCTCCGCTTCGCATTTTGCTACTTCAGCCTCCTCTCTCTTCTGCTCAGCCTCACTCCTTGCCTTCTCCGCTTCCTCCCTCTCTTTCTCCGCCTCGCATTTCGCTGCCTCAGCCTCCTCTCTCTTCTGCTCAGCCTCACTCCTCGCCTTCTCTGCTTCCTCCCTCTTCTGCTCAGCCTCACTCCTTGCCTTCTCCGCTTCCTCCCTCTCTTTCTCCGCCTCGCATTTCGCTGCCTCAGCCTCCTCTCTCTTCTGCTCAGCCTCACTCCTCGCCTTCTCTGCTTCCTCCCTCTCTTTATCCGCTTCGCATTTCGCTGCTTCAGCCTCCTCTCTCTTCTGCTCAGCCTCACTCCTTGCCTTCTCCGCTTCCTCCCTCTCTTTCTCCGCTTCGCATTTCGCTGCCTCAGCCTCCTCTCTCTTCTGCTCAGCCTCACTCCTCGCCTTCTCTGCTTCCTCCCTCTTCTGCTCAGCCTCACTCCTTGCCTTCTCCGCTTCCTCCCTCTCTTTCTCCGCCTCGCCTTTCGCAGCCTCAGCCTCCTCTCTCTTCTGCTCAGCCTCACTCCTTGCCTTCTCCGCTTCCTCCCTCTTTTGCTCAGCCTCACTCCTTGCCTTCTCCGCTTCCTCCCTCTCTTTCTCCGCCTCGCATTTCGCTGCCTCAGCCTCCTCTCTCTTCTGCTCAGCCTCACTCCTTGCCTTCTCCGCTTCCTCCCTCTCTCTCCCCGCTTCGCATTTTGCTGCCTCAGCCTCCTCTCTCTTCTGCTCAGCCTCACTCCTCGCCTTCTCTGCTTCCTCCCTCTTCTGCTCAGCCTCACTCCTTGCCTTCTCCGCTTCCTCCCTCTCTTTCTCCGCCTCGCATTTTGCTGCTTCAGCCTCCCCTCTCTTCTGCTCAGCCTCACTCCTTGCCTTCTCCGCTTCCTCCCTCTCTTTCTCCGCTTCGCATTTCGCTGCCTCAGCCTCCTCTCTCTTCTGCTCAGCCTCACTCCTTGCCTTCTCCGCTTCCTCCCTCTCTTTCTCCGCTTCGCATTTCGCTGCCTCAGCCTCCTCTCTCTTCTGCTCAGCCTCACTCCTTGCCTTCTCCGCTTCCTCCCTCTCTTTCTCCGCCTCGCCTTTCGCAGCCTCAGCCTCCTCTCTACTCTGCTCAGCCTCACTCCTCGCCTTCTCTGCTTCCTCCCTCTTCTGCTCAGCCTCACTCCTTGCCTTCTCCGCTTCCTCCCTCTCTTTCTCCGCCTCGCCATTCGCAGCATCAGCCTCCTCTCTCTTCTGCTCAGCCTCACTCCTCGCCTTCTCTGCTTCCTCCCTCTCTTTCTCCGCTTCACATTTTGCTGCTTCAGCCTCCTCTCTCTTCTGCTCAGCCTCACTCCTTGCCTTCTCCGCTTCCTCCCTCTCTTTCTCCGCTTCGCATTTCGCTGCCTCAGCCTCCTCTCTCTTCTGCTCAGCCTCACTCCTTGCCTTCTCCGCTTCATCCCTCCTCTGCTCAGCCTCACTCCTTGCCTTCTCCGCTTCCTCCCTCTCTTCAGCTCAGCCTCACTCCTTGCCTTCTCCGCTTCCTCCCTCTCTTTCTCCGCTTCGCATTTCGCTGCCTCAGCCTCCTCTCTCTTCTGCTCAGCCTCACTCCTTGCCTTCTCCGCTTCCTCCCTCTCTTTCTCCGCTTCGCATTTCGCTGCCTCAGCCTCCTCTCTCTTCTGCTCAGCCTCACTCCTTGCCTTCTCCGCTTCCTCCCTCTCTTTCTCCGCCTCGCCTTTCGCAGCCTCAGCCTCCTCTCTACTCTGCTCAGCCTCACTCCTCGCCTTCTCTGCTTCCTCCCTCTTCTGCTCAGCCTCACTCCTTGCCTTCTCCGCTTCCTCCCTCTCTTTCTCCGCCTCGCCATTCGCAGCATCAGCCTCCTCTCTCTTCTGCTCAGCCTCACTCCTCGCCTTCTCTGCTTCCTCCCTCTCTTTCTCCGCTTCACATTTTGCTGCTTCAGCCTCCTCTCTCTTCTGCTCAGCCTCACTCCTTGCCTTCTCCGCTTCCTCCCTCTCTTTCTCCGCTTCGCATTTCGCTGCCTCAGCCTCCTCTCTCTTCTGCTCAGCCTCACTCCTTGCCTTCTCCGCTTCCTCCCTCTCTTTCTCCGCCTCGCCTTTCGCAGCCTCAGCCTCCTCTCTCTTCTGCTCAGCCTCACTCCTCGCCTTCTCTGCTTCCTCCCTCTCATTCTCCGCTTCGCATTTTGCTGCTTCAGCCTCCTCTCTCTTCTGCTCCGCCTCACTCCTTGCCTTCTCCGCTTCCTCCCTCTCTTTCTCCGCTTCGCATTTCGCTGCCTCAGCCTCCTCTCTCTTCTGCTCAGCCTCACTCCTTGCCTTCTCCGCTTCATCCCTCCTCTGCTCAGCCTCACTCCTTGCCTTCTCCGCTTCCTCCCTCTCTTCAGCTCAGCCTCACTCCTTGTCTTCTCCGCTTCCTCCCTCTCTTTCTCCGCTTCGCATTTCGCTGCCTCAGCCTCCTCTCTCTTCTGCTCAGCCTCACTCCTTGCCTTCACTGCTTCGTCCCTCTCTTTCTCCGCTTCGCATTTCGCTGCCTCAGCCTCCTCTCTCTTCTGCTCAGCCTCACTCCTCGCCTTCTCTGCTTCCTCCCTCTTCTGCTCAGCCTCACTCCTTGCCTTCTCCGCTTCCTCCCTCTCTTTCTCCGCTTCGCATTTTGCTGCTTCAGCCTCCTCCCTCTTCTGCTCAGCCTCACTCCTTGCCTTCTCCGCTTCCTCCCTCTCTTTCTCCGCTTCGCATTTTGCTGCTTCAGCCTCCTCTCTCTTCTGCTCAGCCTCACTCCTTGCCTTCTCCGCTTCCTCCCTCTCTTTCTCCGCCTCGCATTTCGCTGCCTCAGCCTCCTCTCTCTTCTGCTCAGCCTCACTCCTCGCCTTCTCTGCTTCCTCCCTCTTCTGCTCAGCCTCACTCCTTGCCTTCTCCGCTTCCTCCCTCTCTTTCTCCGCTTCGCATTTTGCTGCTTCAGCCTCCTCTCTCTTCTGCTCAGCCTCACTCCTCGCCTTCTCTGCTTCTTCACTCTTCTGCTCCGCCTCACTCCTTGCCTTCTCCGCTTCCTCCCTCTCTTTCTCCGCCTCGCATTTTGCTGCTTCAGCCTCCTCTCTCTTCTGCTCCGCCTCACTCCTTGCCTTCTCCGCTTCCTCCCTCTCTTTCTCCGCTTCGCATTTCGCTGCCTCAGCCTCCTCTCTTCTCTGCTCAGCCTCACTCCTCGCCTTCTCTGCTTCCTCCCTCTTCTGCTCAGCCTCACTCCTTGCCTTCTCCGCTTCCTCCCTCTCTTTCTCCGCTTCGCATTTTGCTGCTTCAGCCTCCTCTCTCTTCTGCTCAGCCTCACTCCTTGCCTTCTCCGCTTCCTCCCTCTCTTTCTCCGCTTCGCATTTCGCTGCCTCAGCCTCCTCTCTCTTCTGCTCAGCCTCACTCCTTGCCTTCTCCGCTTCCTCCCTCTCTTTCTCCACATCGCATTTCGCTGCCTCAGCCTCCTCTCTCTTCTGCTCAGCCTCACTCCTCGCCTTCTCTGCTTCCTCCCTCTTCTGCTCAGCCTCACTCCTTGCCTTCTCCGCTTCCTCCCTCTCTCTCCCCGCTTCGCATTTCGCTGCCTCAGCCTCCTCTCTCTTCTGCTCAGCCTCACTCCTCGCCTTCTCTGCTTCCTCCCTCTTCTGCTCAGCCTCACTCCTTGCCTTCTCCGCTTCCTCCCTCTCTTTCTCCGCTTCGCATTTTGCAGCTTCAGCCTCCTCTCTCTTCAGCTCAGACTCATTCCTCGCCTTCTCTGCTTCCTCCCTCTTCTGCTCAGCCTCATTCGTTGCCTTCTCCGCTTCCTCCCTCTCTTTCTCCGCTTCGCATTTCGTTGCTTCAGCCTCCCCTCTCTTCTGCTCAGCCTCACTCCTCGCCTTCTCTGCTTCCTCCCTCTTCTGCTCAGCCTCACTCCTTGCCTTCTCCGCTTCCTCCCTCTCTTTCTCCGCTTCGCATTTCGCTGCCTCAGCCTCCTCTCTCTTCTGCTCAGCCTCACTCCTCGCCTTCTCTGCTTCCTCCCTCTTCTGCTCAGCCTCACTCCTTGCCTTCTCCGCTTCCTCCCTCTCTTTCTCCGCCTCGCCTTTCGCAGCCTCAGCCTCCTCTCTCTTCTGCTCAGCCTCACTCCTCGCCTTCTCTGCTTCCTCCCTCTCTTTCTCCGCTTCGCATTTCGTTGCTTCAGCCTCCTCTCTCTTCTGCTCAGCCTCACTCCTCGCCTTCTCTGCTTCCTCCCTCTTCTGCTCAGCCTCACTCCTCGCCTTCTCTGCTTCCTCCCTCTCATTCTCCGCTTCGCATTTTGCTGCTTCAGCCTCCTCTCTCTTCTGCTCCGCCTCACTCCTTGCCTTCTCCGCTTCCTCCCTCTCTTTCTCCGCTTCGCATTTCGCTGCCTCAGCCTCCTCTCTCTTCTGCTCAGCCTCACTCCTTGCCTTCTCCGCTTCATCCCTCCTCTGCTCAGCCTCACTCCTTGCCTTCTCCGCTTCCTCCCTCTCTTTCTCCGCTTCGCATTTCGCTGCTTCAGCCTCCTCTCTCTTCTGCTCAGCCTCACTCCTCGCCTTCTCTGCTTCCTCCCTCTTCTGCTCAGCCTCACTCCTTGCCTTCTCCGCTTCCTCCCTCTCTTTCTCCGCCTCGCATTTTGCTGCTTCAGCCTCCTCCCTCTTCTGCTCAGCCTCACTCCTTGCCTTCTCCGCTTCCTCCCTCTCTTTCTCCGCTTCGCATTTTGCTGCTTCAGCCTCCTCTCTCTTCTGCTCCGCCTCACTCCTTGCCTTCTCCGCTTCCTCCCTCTCTTTCTCCGCTTCGCATTTCGCTGCCTCAGCCTCCTCTCTCTTCTGCTCAGCCTCACTCCTCGCCTTCTCTGCTTCCTCCCTCTTCTGCTCAGCCTCACTCCTTGCCTTCTCCCATTCCTCCCTCTCTTTCTCCGCTTCGCATTTTGCTGCTTCAGCCTCCCCTCTCTTCTGCTCAGCCTCACTCCTTGCCTTCTCCGCTTCCTCCCTCTCTTTCTCCGCTTCGCATTTCGCTGCCTCAGCCTCCTCTCTCTTCTGCTCAGCCTCACTCCTTGCCTTCTCCGCTTCCTCCCTCTCTTTCTCCGCTTCGCATTTCGCTGCCTCAGCCTCCTCTCTCTTCTGCTCAGCCTCACTCCTTGCCTTCTCCGCTTCCTCCCTCTCTTTCTCCGCCTCGCCTTTCGCAGCCTCAGCCTCCTCTCTCTTCTGCTCAGCCTCACTCCTCGCCTTCTCTGCTTCCTCCCTCTTCTGCTCAGCCTCACTCCTTGCCTTCTCCGCTTCCTCCCTCTCTTTCTCCGCTTCGCATTTTGCTGCTTCAGCCTCCCCTCTCTTCTGCTCAGCCTCACTCCTTGCCTTCTCCGCTTCCTCCCTCTCTTTCTCCGCTTCGCATTTCGCTGCCTCGGCCTCCTCTCTCTTCTGCTCAGCCTCACTCCTTGCCTTCTCCGCTTCCTCCCTCTCTTTCTCCGCTTCGCATTTCGCTGCCTCAGCCTCCTCTCTCTTCTGCTCAGCCTCACTCCTTGCCTTCTCCGCTTCCTCCCTCTCTTTCTCCGCCTCGCCTTTCGCAGCCTCAGCCTCCTCTCTCTTCTGCTCAGCCTCACTCCTCGCCTTCTCTGCTTCCTCCCTCTTCTGCTCAGCCTCACTCCTTGCCTTCTCCGCTTCCTCCCTCTCTTTCTCCGCTTCGCATTTTGCTGCTTCAGCCTCCCCTCTCTTCTGCTCAGCCTCACTCCTTGCCTTCTCCGCTTCCTCCCTCTCTTTCTCCGCTTCGCATTTTGCTGCTTCAGCCTCCTCTCTCTTCTGCTCAGCCTCACTCCTTGCCTTCTCCGCTTCCTCCCTCTTCTGCTCAGCCTCACTCCTTGCCTTCTCCGCTTCCTCCCTCTCTTTCTCCGCCTCGCATTTCGCTGCCTCAGCCTCCTCTCTCTTCTGCTCAGCCTCACTCCTCGCCTTCTCTGCTTCCTCCCTCTTCTGCTCAGCCTCACTCCTTGCCTTCTCCGCTTCCTCCCTCTCTTTCTCCGCTTCGCATTTCGCTGCTTCAGCCTCCTCTCTCTTCTGCTCAGCCTCACTCCTTGCCTTCTCCGCTTCCTCCCTCTTCTGCTCAGCCTCACTCCTTGCCTTCTCCGCTTCCTCCCTCTCTTCAGCTCAGCCTCACTCCTTGCCTTCTCCGCTTCCTCCCTCTCTTTCTCCGCTTCGCATTTCGCTGCCTCAGCCTCCTCTCTCTTCTGCTCAGCCTCACTCCTTGCCTTCTCCGCTTCCTCCCTCTCTTTCTCCGCCTCGCCTTTCGCAGCCTCAGCCTCCTCTCTCTTCTGCTCAGCCTCACTCCTCGCCTTCTCTGCTTCCTCCCTCTCATTCTCCGCTTCGCATTTTGCTGCTTCAGCCTCCTCTCTCTTCTGCTCCGCCTCACTCCTTGCCTTCTCCGCTTCCTCCCTCTCTTTCTCCGCTTCGCATTTCGCTGCCTCAGCCTCCTCTCTCTTCTGCTCAGCCTCACTCCTTGCCTTCTCCGCTTCATCCCTCCTCTGCTCAGCCTCACTCCTTGCCTTCTCCGCTTCCTCCCTCTCTTCAGCTCAGCCTCACTCCTTGCCTTCTCCGCTTCCTCCCTCTCTTTCTCCGCTTCGCATTTCGCTGCCTCAGCCTCCTCTCTCTTCTGCTCAGCCTCACTCCTTGCCTTCTCTGCTTCGTCCCTCTCTTTCTCTGCCTCGCATTTTGCTACCTCAGCCTCCTCTCTCTTCTGCTCAGCCTCACTCCTTGCCTTCTCCGCTTCCTCCCTCTCTTTCTCCGCCTCGCATTTCGCTGCCTCAGCCTCCTCTCTCTTCTGCTCAGCCTCACTCCTCGCCTTCTCTGCTTCCTCCCTCTTCTGCTCAGCCTCACTCCTTGCCTTCTCCGCTTCCTCCCTCTCTTTCTCCGCTTCGCATTTTGCTACTTCAGCCTCCTCCCTCTTCTGCTCAGCCTCACTCCTTGCCTTCTCTGCTTCATCCCTCTCTTTCTCCGCTTCGCATTTCGCTGCCTCAGCCTCCTCTCTCTTCTGCTCAGCCTCACTCCTCGCCTTCTCTGCTTCCTCCCTCTTCTGCTCAGCCTCACTCCTTGCCTTCTCCGCTTCCTCCCTCTCTTTCTCCGCTTCGCATTTCGCTGCCTCAGCCTCCTCTCTCTTCTGCTCAGCCTCACTCCTCGCCTTCTCTGCTTCCTCCCTCTTCTGCTCAGCCTCACTCCTTGCCTTCTCCGCTTCCTCCCTCTCTTTCTCCGCTTCGCATTTCGCTGCTTCAGCCTCCTCTCTCTTCTGCTCAGCCTCACTCCTCGCCTTCTCTGCTTCCTCCCTCTTCTGCTCAGCCTCACTCCTTGCCTTCTCCGCTTCCTCCCTCTCTTTCTCCGCTTCGCATTTTGCTGCCTCAGACTCCTCTCTCTTCTGCTCAGCCTCACTCCTTGCCTTCTCCGCTTCCTCCCTCTCTTTCTCCGCCTCGCATTTCGCTGCCTCAGCCTCCTCTCTCTTCTGCTCAGCCTCACTCCTTGCCTTCTCCGCTTCCTCCCTCTCTTTCTCCGCTTCGCATTTCGCTGCCTCAGCCTCCTCTCTCTTCTGCTCAGCCTCACTCCTTGCCTTCTCCGCTTCCTCCCTCTCTTTCTCCGCCTCGCCTTTCGCAGCCTCAGCCTCCTCTCTCCTCTGCTCAGCCTCACTCCTCGCCTTCTCTGCTTCCTCCCTCTTCTGCTCAGCCTCACTCCTTGCCTTCTCCGCTTCCTCCCTCTCTTTCTCCGCTTCGCATTTCGCTGCCTCAGCCTCCTCTCTCTTCTGCTCAGCCTCACTCCTTGCCTTCTCCGCTTCCTCCCTCTCTTTCTCCGCTTCGCATTTCGCAGCCTCAGCCTCCTCTCTCTTCTGCTCAGCCTCACTCCTCGCCTTCTCTGCTTCCTCCCTCTTCTGCTCAGCCTCACTCCTTGCCTCTCCACTTCCTCCCTCTCTTTCTCCGCCTCGCATTTCGCTGCCTCAGCCTCCTCTCTCTTCTGCTCAGCCTCACTCCTCGCCTTCTCTGCTTCCTCCCTCTTCTGCTCAGCCTCACTCCTTGCCTTCTCCGCTTCCTCCCTCTCTTTCTCCGCTTCGCATTTCGCTGCCTCAGCCTCCTCTCTTCTCTGCTCAGCCTCACTCCTCGCCTTCTCTGCTTCCTCCCTCTTCTGCTCAGCCTCACTCCTTGCCTTCTCCGCTTCCTCCCTCTCTTTCTCCGCTTCGCATTTTGCTGCTTCAGCCTCCCCTCTCTTCTGCTCAGCCTCACTCCTTGCCTTCTCCGCTTCCTCCCTCTCTTTCTCCGCTTCGCATTTCGCTGCCTCAGCCTCCTCTCTCTTCTGCTCAGCCTCACTCCTTGCCTTCTCCGCTTCCTCCCTCTCTTTCTCCGCTTCGCATTTCGCTGCCTCAGCCTCCTCTCTCTTCTGCTCAGCCTCACTCCTTGCCTTCTCCGCTTCCTCCCTCTCTTTCTCCGCCTCGCCTTTCGCAGCCTCAGCCTCCTCTCTCTTCTGCTCAGCCTCACTCCTCGCCTTCTCTGCTTCCTCCCTCTTCTGCTCAGCCTCACTCCTCGCCTTCTCTGCTTCCTCCCTCTCATTCTCCGCTTCGCATTTTGCTGCTTCAGCCTCCTCTCTCTTCTGCTCAGCCTCACTCCTTGCCTTCTCCGCTTCCTCCCTCTCTTTCTCCGCTTCGCATTTCGCTGCCTCAGCCTCCTCTCTCTTCTGCTCAGCCTCACTCCTTGCCTTCTCCGCTTCCTCCCTCTCTTTCTCCGCTTCGCATTTCGCTGCCTCAGCCTCCTCTCTCTTCTGCTCAGCCTCACTCCTCGCCTTCTCTGCTTCCTCCCTCTTCTGCTCAGCCTCACTCCTTGCCTTCTCCGCTTCCTCCCTCTTTTGCTCGGCCTCACCCCTTGCCTTCTCCGCTTCCTCCCTCTCTTTCTCCGCCTCGAATTTCACTGCCTCAGCCTCCTCTCTCTTTTGCTCAGCCTCACTCCTTGCCTTCTCCGCTTCCTCCCTCTCTTTCTCCGCCTCGCATTTCGCTGCCTCAGCCTCCTCTCTCTTCTGCTCAGCCTCACTCCTTGCCTTCTCCGCTTCCTCCTCTCTCTCCCCGCTTCGCATTTCGCTGCCTCAGCCTCCTCTCTCTTCTGCTCAGCCTCACTCCTCGCCTTCTCTGCTTCCTCCCTCTTCTGCTCAGCCTCACTCCTTGCCTTCTCCGCTTCCTCCCTCTCTTTCTCCGCTTCGCATTTCGTTGCTTCAGCCTCCCCTCTCTTCTGCTCAGCCTCACTCCTCGCCTTCTCTGCTTCCTCCCTCTTCTGCTCAGCCTCACTCCTTGCCTTCTCCGCTTCCTCCCTCTCTTTCTCCGCCTCGCCTTTCGCAGCCTCAGCCTCCTCTCTCTTCTGCTCAGCCTCACTCCTCGCCTTCTCTGCTTCCTCCCTCTCTTTCTCCGCTTCGCATTTCGTTGCTTCAGCCTCCTCTCTCTTCTGCTCAGCCTCACTCCTCGCCTTCTCTGCTTCCTCCCTCTTCTGCTCAGCCTCACTCCTCGCCTTCTCTGCTTCCTCCCTCTCATTCTCCGCTTCGCATTTTGCTGCTTCAGCCTCCTCTCTCTTCTGCTCAGCCTCACTCCTTGCCTTCTCCGCTTCCTCCCTCTCTTTCTCCGCCTCGCATTTTGCTGCTTCAGCCTCCTCTCTCTTCTGCTCCGCCTCACTCCTTGCCTTCTCCGCTTCCTCCCTCTCTTTCTCCGCTTCGCATTTCGCTGCCTCAGCCTCCTCTCTCTTCTGCTCAGCCTCACTCCTCGCCTTCTCTGCTTCCTCCCTCTTCTGCTCAGCCTCACTCCTTGCCTTCTGCCCTTCCTCCCTCTCTTTCTCCGCTTCGCATTTTGCTGCTTCAGCCTCCCCTCTCTTCTGCTCAGCCTCACTCCTTGCCTTCTCCGCTTCCTCCCTCTCTTTCTCCGCTTCGCATTTCGCTGCCTCAGCCTCCTCTCTCTTCTGCTCAGCCTCACTCCTTGCCTTCTCCGCTTCCTCCCTCTCTTTCTCCGCTTCGCATTTCGCTGCCTCAGCCTCCTCTCTCTTCTGCTCAGCCTCACTCCTTGCCTTCTCCGCTTCCTCCCTCTCTTTCTCCGCCTCGCCTTTCGCAGCCTCAGCCTCCTCTCTCTTCTGCTCAGCCTCACTCCTCGCCTTCTCTGCTTCCTCCCTCTTCTGCTCAGCCTCACTCCTTGCCTTCTCCGCTTCCTCCCTCTCTTTCTCCGCTTCGCATTTCGCTGCCTCAGCCTCCTCTCTCTTCTGCTCAGCCTCACTCCTTGCCTTCTCCGCTTCCTCCCTCTCTTTCTCCGCTTCGCATTTCGCTGCCTCAGCCTCCTCTCTCTTCTGCTCAGCCTCACTCCTTGCCTTCTCCGCTTCCTCCCTCTCTTTCTCCGCCTCGCCTTTCGCAGCCTCAGCCTCCTCTCTCCTCTGCTCAGCCTCACTCCTCGCCTTCTCTGCTTCCTCCCTCTTCTGCTCAGCCTCACTCCTTGCCTTCTCCGCTTCCTCCCTCTCTTTCTCCGCTTCACATTTTGCTGCTTCAGCCTCCTCTCTCTTCTGCTCAGCCTCACTCCTTGCCTTCTCCGCTTCCTCCCTCTCTTTCTCCGCTTCGCATTTCGCTGCCTCAGCCTCCTCTCTCTTCTGCTCAGCCTCACTCCTTGCCTTCTCCGCTTCCTCCCTCTCTTTCTCCGCCTCGCCTTTCGCAGCCTCAGCCTCCTCTCTCTTCTGCTCAGCCTCACTCCTCGCCTTCTCTGCTTCCTCCCTCTCTTTCTCCGCTTCGCATTTCGTTGCTTCAGCCTCCTCTCTCTTCTGCTCAGCCTCACTCCTCGCCTTCTCTGCTTCCTCCCTCTTCTGCTCAGCCTCACTCCTCGCCTTCTCTGCTTCCTCCCTCTCATTCTCCGCTTCGCATTTTGCTGCTTCAGCCTCCTCTCTCTTCTGCTCCGCCTCACTCCTTGCCTTCTCCGCTTCCTCCCTCTCTTTCTCCGCTTCGCATTTCGCTGCCTCAGCCTCCTCCCTCTTTTGCTCAGCCTCACTCCTTGCCTTATCCGCTTCATCCCTCCTCTGATCAGCCTCACTCCTTGCCTTCTCCGCTTCCTCCCTCTCTTCAGCTCAGCCTCACTCCTTGCCTTCTCCGCTTCCTCCCTCTCTTTCTCCGCTTCGCATTTCGCTGCCTCAGCCTCCTCTCTCTTCTGCTCAGCCTCACTCCTTGCCTTCTCCGCTTCCTCCCTCTCTTTCTCCGCTTCGCATTTCGCTGCTTCAGCCTCCTCTCTCTTCTGCTCAGCCTCACTCCTCGCCTTCTCTGCTTCCTCCCTCTTCTGCTCAGCCTCACTCCTTGCCTTCTCCGCTTCCTCCCTCTCTTTCTCCGCTTTGCATTTTGCTGCCTCAGCCTCCTCTCTCTTCTGCTCAGCCTCACTCCTTGCCTTCTCCGCTTCCTCCCTCTCTTTCTCCGCTTCGCATTTCGCTGCCTCAGCCTCCTCTCTCTTCTGCTCAGCCTCACTCCTTGCCTTCTCCGCTTCCTCCCTCTCTTTCTCCGCCTCGCCTTTCGCAGCCTCAGCCTCCTCTCTCTTCTGCTCAGCCTCACTCCTCGCCTTCTCTGCTTCCTCCCTCTCTTTCTCCGCTTCGCATTTCGTTGCTTCAGCCTCCTCTCTCTTCTGCTCAGCCTCACTCCTCGCCTTCTCTGCTTCCTCCCTCTTCTGCTCAGCCTCACTCCTCGCCTTCTCTGCTTCCTCCCTCTCATTCTCCGCTTCGCATTTTGCTGCTTCAGCCTCCTCTCTCTTCTGCTCCGCCTCACTCCTTGCCTTCTCCGCTTCCTCCCTCTCTTTCTCCGCTTCGCATTTCGCTGCCTCAGCCTCCTCTCTCTTCTGCTCAGCCTCACTCCTTGCCTTCTCCGCTTCATCCCTCCTCTGCTCAGCCTCACTCCTTGCCTTCTCCGCTTCCTCCCTCTCTTCAGCTCAGCCTCACTCCTTGCCTTCTCCGCTTCCTCCCTCTCTTTCTCCGCTTCGCATTTCGCTGCCTCAGCCTCCTCTCTCTTCTGCTCAGCCTCACTCCTTGCCTTCTCCGCTTCCTCCCTCTCTTTCTCCGCTTCGCATTTCGCTGCTTCAGCCTCCTCTCTCTTCTGCTCAGCCTCACTCCTCGCCTTCTCTGCTTCCTCCCTCTTCTGCTCAGCCTCACTCCTTGCCTTCTCCGCTTCCTCCCTCTCTTTCTCCGCTTCGCATTTCGCTGCCTCAGCCTCCTCTCTCTTCTGCTCAGCCTCACTCCTCGCCTTCTCTGCTTCCTCCCTCTTCTGCTCAGCCTCACTCCTTGCCTTCTCCGCTTCCTCCCTCTCTTTCTCCGCCTCGCATTTCGCTGCCTCAGCCTCCTCTCTCTTCTGCTCAGCCTCACTCCTTGCCTTCTCCGCTTCCTCCCTCTCTTTCTCTGCAACGCATTTCGCTGCCTCAGCCTCCTCTCTCTTCTGCTCAGCCTCACTCCTTGCCTTCTCCGCTTCCTCCCTCTCTTTCTCCTCAGACTCACTCCTTGCTTTCTCTGCTTCCTCCCTCTTCTGCTCAGCCTCACTCCTTGCCTTCTCCGCTTCCTTTCTCTCTTCCTCTGCCTCGCATTTCGCTGCCTTAGCCTCCTCCCTCTTATGCTCAGCCTCACTCCTTGCCTTCTCCGCTTCCTCCCTCTCTTTCTCCTCAGACTCACTCCTTGCTTTCTCTGCTTCCTCCCTCTTCTGCTCAGCCTCACTCCTTGCCTTCTCCGCTTCCTTTCTCTCTTCCTCTGCCTCGCATTTCGCTGCCTCAGCCTCCTCTCTCTTCTGCTCATTCTCACTCCTTGCCTTCTCCGCTTCCTTTCTCTCTTCCTCTGCCTCGCATTTCGCTGCCTCAGCCTCCTCTCTCTTCTGCTCAGCCTCACTCCTTGCCTTCTCCGCTTCCTTTCTCTCTTCCTCTGCCTTGCATTTCGCTGCCTCAGCCTCCTCTCTCTTCTGCTCAGCCTCACTCCTTGCCTTCTCCGCTTCCTTTCTCTCTTCCTCTGCCTCGCATTTCGCTGCCTCAGCCTCCTCTCTCTTCTGCTCAGCCTCACTCCTTGCCTTCTCCGCTTCCTCCCTCTCTTTCTCCGCCTCGCATTTCGCTGCCTCAGCCTCCTCTCTCTTCTGCTCAGCCTCACTCCTTGCCTTCTCCGCTTCCTCCCTCTTCTGCTCAGCCTCACTCCTTGCCTTCTCCGCTTCCTCCCTCTTCTGCTCAGCCTCACTCCTTGCCTTCTCCGCTTCCTCCCTCTCTTTCTCCGCTTCGCATTTCGCTGCCTCAGCCTCCTCTCTCTTCTGCTCAGCCTCACTCCTTGCTCGTTCAGCCTCCTCCCTTCCGTTCTCTTCTTCTTCCTGCTGCCTGTCACTCTCCCTCTCGTTTTCTTCCCTCTCCTTCTCCCTCTCAGCCAGCCGTCTCTCTGCTGCGTCCCTTTCCCTTTCTGCTGAATCCCTCTCCCGCGCTGCAACATCCCTCTCATGCTCAGCACTCACTCTCCTCCTCTCTGACTCGCTAAGAGCGTTCTCCAGTTCCTGTATAACCCTCTCCGCCTCCTCTCCTAGGATCTGCTCCTCCTCCCGTCTTTCTACTGCCGTCAATCCTAGCTGTAGCCGCTGCCCCTCAACTCCAGCAAGTTGATTCTCTGCCTCTCGTTGTTCGTGGTGCCCTTCACACACTGTCAGAATTTCCTTTACCTGCTCGTCCTCCTCCCCCTCACTCATCTCCTTGTGTGTTCCTTGCTCCTGCTCCTGCTCCTTCTGTTGCTTCTGCTTCGGCTCATCAATTTTGCTGCTAGGTACTTCAAACGGGCTCAGCCTCCTAGGTTTCTTCCAACCGTCTGTAACCCTTTCAGAGCATCCCACTGTCGTTTCATCTTCTGCAGTGTGCCCCTCTCCTACTGTCCCGTTTGATGTGTCCTTCAAAGCATGAGCATCTGTAATCAAAGTAGCTTGAAGGTTCGAACCCTCATCCTCACCTCCCTTTCCCTCCTCCTCCTCTTTCTCCTCTCCCACCTCCTCTCCCATCAGCCGTTTCACCTCCCTTCTAAGCCTCGCCACTTCTCCTTCCACCTCCTTCATCCTCCCAACCATCTCCTCCCTTTCTCTCTCTGCCCTCTCTCTCCCCCTATCCGCCTCCTCCCTCACTCTCTGCACATCCCTCACTCTCCCTTCCACCTTCCTACACTTTTCTTCAAGCCCCCTCCTCTCCTCCTCTCCTTTGAGCAGCTCCGCTTGCAATTGCCTACCCCACACTCTCAAATCATGTGCCACCTTTTCTGCTTCTTCCATTCTCTTCCTTGCTTCCCTCATTCTCTCCCCTTCCTCTCCTTCACTCAACCTACCCCCCCCTGCCCATTTTTGTGCTTCCATGGTCAGCAGTAGAGATTCCATCTTCCCCTCCAGGCCAATCTTCTTCGCACGTTCCTCTTCCCGGGCAGCCAAAGCCGCCGCCGTTTCTGCCCGCAAAACTTCCACCTCACGTTTCATCGCCTCAGCCTCCCCCTTGGCCATTTCTGCAGCTGCCCGAACCAGCTCCGACTCCGCCCTAAACTTTTCTGCAGCTGCCCGAAGTTTCTCAGCCTCAGCCTGCGCACTTTCCGCTTCTGCCCGGATCTTATCCGAATCTTCCCACACGCGTCTCGCCTCAACCCTCATCCGTTCAGCATCGAGAATCTTCTTGGCAGCTTCCTCCACCTTCAATAATGCCATATCCCTCTCTCTTAAAGCCCCTTCCATTGCCCTCTCTGCTTCAACCTTCTCTCTCTCAGCAGCCTCTCTCACCCTCTCCGCTTCCCTCTTTGCTCTCTCTGCTCCCTCTGCTGCTTCTAACGCCTCCTCTCTCTCCCTCTCGACAATCTCTCTCCTCCTCCTCGCCTCCACACACTCCTCCTCTGCAATTTTCCTCCTCGCTTCCTCCTCCCCCCCTCCTCCTCCTTTCAGCCTCGTCCCTTTCCCTAACCATCTCCTCCCTCTCATATACTGCCTTATCTCTCAACTCCAGGGCTGCTTTTTCCCCAATATAAGCTTCCTCCATTGCCTTTGCAGCCTCGTCTCTCTTCACTTCGGCTTCCCTCAGTGCTTCACTTGCCGCTACCAACCTCCCTTCAATATCCCTCTTTTCCCTCTCCACCTCCTCCCTCACTCTCTCCCCTTCTTTCTCCACATCCCTTGCCCTCCTCACAGCCTCCTCTCTCTCACTCTCACCCTCCTCCCTCCTGCTCTCTGCCTCCTCCCTCCCCTTCTCCGCCACCTCCCTCCTCCTCCTCTCCTCCTCCAACTCCCTTTCCACCTCCTCCCTCCATCTCCCCTCCATCTCTCTCCCCCTCTCACTCTCCATCCACAACCCTTCCAATTCCCCCAACCTCCCTTCAGCCTCCTCTCTCCTCCTCTCCGCTTCATCCCTTTCCAGTAAAGCCATTACCATCCTCTCTTCTGCTTCCTTCCGTTTCCTCTCTGCTCCCTGCTTCCCTCTCTCTGCCTCTTCTCTAGCCTTCAAGGCTTCTCTCAATCCTCTCTCCGCCTCCTCTCGCCTTCTCCCTAGCTCCAACCACCCACCCCGGATGAGCCCTCGAGCTTCCTCCCCCCTGACCCCCCCTTCCTCTGCCGCACCTGTACCCTTTACAACCTGCCTCGGAGTCCCCTTAGGAGAAGGCTCGCTTTCCTCTACAGTGTGTGCGTTCAATCGCTGGGCCCGCCCTTCTGTACTCGCTATAGCAGGAGGCAGTTTCTTAAAGAGAGGCTTGGAAATGAAGGAGGATGGACTAGGAGGAGGTTCGGACCCAAGAGAGGAACTTGACAGCTGTCCCTGCAGCAACTTATCCTCGTTACTAGCTGCTCCAGTTTGTGATGGCGCCACTCTTCCTAGCTGCTCCGATTGCTGCTTTCCTTTATTCGCACCTTCGTCTATCCCTGTCTGAACCCCATCCTCCTTACAATCTGATACCTCAATAGATAGTGTTAACTTGCTACAAGCTCTCGTCTTCTTCCCCTTGCTCCCCTCTCCCCCCTTATCTCCCCCCTTATCTCCCCCCTTATCTCCCCCCTTATCTCCCCCCTTATCTCCCCCCTTATCTCCCCCTTATCCCCCCCTTATCTCCCCCCTTATCTCCCCCCTTATCTCCCCCCTTATCTCCCCCCTTATCTCCCCCCTTATCTCCCCCCTTATCTCCCCCCTTATCTCCCCCCTTATCTCCCCCCTTATCTCCCCCCTTATCTCCCCCCTTATCTCCCCCCTTATCTTTCCCCTCTTCTTCCTCAGAAGTTATCATGATCCCTGTCACTGCCTCGCCATCTCCTTCCCCACGCTCTCCCACCTCACCTCCTTCCACCTCCTCTCCTGCAATTGCCCCTCCTGCCTCCGACCTTTCTTCACAAGCTTTTCGTGCGTTTTCCTGCTCTTCAATACTCTCCCCGTGCTGCTGCTCGTCTTGTCCAGGACTGTTGTGCTTCGCTGCTGCTAGAACTTCTGTACACTCCATCCCTAAACTCACCCCGTTAACAGGCCCATCCCCATTAGAAGCCTCAACCGCGTTAGTAGTCTCAGCCTCGTTAGCAGCCCCGTTAGTAGACTCAACTCCGTTAGTGAACTCAGCCCCGTTAGAAGACTCTCTACCAACAGACTGTACACCATTAGCAGACTCAACGCCAACCAATAGCTCCTCATCCCCCATAAGAGATACCCTTTTGCTCTCCTCATAACTGACCTTCTGCTTCTCCACCCTTTTCGTGCGGTCCTGAGAAACAACGCCTGTAATCGACTCGGAATCCAATTCTTCCGTGCAATCTCCCTTGCAATCTTCTTTCATTTCTTTCACTGGACCTTCTTTAGAAGATTCCTTTGCTTCTTCCTTACAGGCTTCCGCCTGTGGCGACTCCCGAGGGACTTCATTCACAACCTTGTCCTCTTCTTTCCGAATCCCAGTTCCGCCTTCCCCCTCCTCCACCCGCTTATCAGGCTCCTCGAGGGAAGTTCTCAGCCGTACATTCTCCTCCTCTACCCCTTGTTTCTCCTCTCCCTCCTCCTTCCGACTCTCCTCCTCCCGCTCCTTCCGCCTCTCCTCCCCCTCCCCTGCTAAAGCGCCATCTGACTCCGCCTTACCCTGCGCGCGCCAGCCAGACCCGCCGCCAATCCCGCTTCCGCTGATGGACGCGCTATGAATGCCTGTCCCGTTATTAGCACCTGTCCCACTATCAGCGCCTGTCCAGCTATGAGCGCCTGTCACGCTAAAAGCAGCTTTCCCGCTAGGAGCGCCTCTCCCACTAAAAGCGCCTGTCCCGTTATAAGCGCTTTTCCCGCTTGGAGCGCCTGTTGCGACGGATCCCCTGGACGATGACAGCGCTCCGCTCCTGAGGCGACTCAGATAAAGCGCCTTCCCCGTCAAACCCCCCGTTTCCTGCGCGGTACCGGCCGTCGCCTGCGCGTTTCCCAGTGTCGTCTGCGCGTTTCCCGCCGCCGAGCCGGGTGGCAACTTTCCCGCGTCGCTAGCAGTCGGACGTTTCGTAATCTCCTTAGAGAGTTTCTCGACTTTACTCTGAAGGTCCATGTTTTTGAACTTATACTTTCCTAACTCCACTTCTAAAGCCGTTATTTTTTCTTCCAGTTCTTTTCCAGCTCCGCCACTTCCCCGGAGCCCCGGGGAACCCCGCGCGGAAGCTTCCGCGCGCGCTTTCCATTTCTCCGCCTCCGCGCGCAGGTTTTCCGCCTCCGCGCGGGAAATGCTCTCCTTTTTCCACGCATCGAGCTCCGCCGTGACTGCCGCTGCGAGGTCTTTCGCGGCTCGCAACTCGGTCTGTAGGCGGTCGACCTTGCAACGAAGGTCAGAGTTTTTTATTCGAAGCTGCCCGAGTTCCACTTCCATGGCCACGTCATCCTTCGCCATTGTCACACCGTCTCGTACCACTTCGACGACACGGCCTACTTGAATAAACCTCTAAACTTCACGAGCAATCTAGCTTTCCCGAGCATCCTGAATTTCCACAAGCATTCCTATGTTACTCCCAAGCAATCCAGATTTCTCGGGCGTTTCTAGGTTTCTCCAAGCCAAGTGTCCGCCCAACAGCTTTCAACACTGCCGCTCCTCTCCTGCTGGTGCCACTCTCCGCACACTTGCACCACGCAACCCCTTGAAAACTTCGCCCTTGGGATTCGTGGCTTGTTGCGAATTGCGGTTTGGTTGGTTTGGTTTGGGATGGAATGGGAGGAGAGGCATTCACGAAAATCGATTGTGCTTGCTCGTTGATCTTGACGCGTTACGCGTAACCCCCAAGGTCGCCTCAGCCTCACGCATTGTGTGGTGACCTTGGGACTTCCAAATTTCTCGACTCGCTAGTGTGGTGACTCTCTGGTGTATTGTTCTTTTCTGTCTGCTTGTTTCGGAAAAGGTGCTATAATGTGTACACAACTGGGGAGCATGGATTCAGTGGCCGGTGCACTGAATACACCTCACGTACGCAGTTGGACATTGGGCGGCTTGATGTTGGGCGACGTGATGAGGCGTTAAAGTTCGGTACACTGGTTTTCTAATACGTTTTAGAGTGGTTTCTCAGCTAGAAGGCTATTTGACTATGCGAACATTAAGCTGAGGATAAGATGAAGGCTAGGTAAAATTACAAAGGAACCCAGCTCTCATGAATTTGGGAAACGGGTTTTGGCACAACTTGGGAGCATGGACTCAGGTGACATGTATAGCATCTAGGTCTAGACAGTCGGGCCAGATGTGCAATTTCTAAGATTTAGAATTTCTTAAGTTTGGAATTGAGCATTATAACTAATACTTGGAGCTACAAGATAATGCACCACCCCCTTGCAACCAAGGAAACTTGAGCATCTCAATAGGGTCTGTCCAGATGAACACGAAAAATTTCGGCCCTTGAGAATAGCTAATTCTTTCAACACATCACAACAATGTGATTAGTCCCTTCCCTAGCTTCTGAATGTCATTCAAAAGGCCAGAAATGGTGTAGCTGTCTCTAAATGTGAATACCCAGGTGAACCGTGAAGCCTACCACCGACCGACAGAGCAAACATCCAAGAAAATCCATACAACAGAAACGAGAAACTTCTGAAAATTACTGTGCAACGAAAGCTGCACTTAGCGGCCGCACTGCTGCTGCTCATACGCGCGTCCGCTTTGTTGGACATCAGTTGGGGTGACCTTGGACATGTGAGGGACGGTCACAAAACCTCCCCTGTTGTTACGGCAGCACTCTTTTGCCCATGTCGGTGTTCCAAGGGTAGGTGGCTTTGTGCTGGGGCGAAGTTGAAATGGTTTGTGTAGCCCTGGGTACGCGACTGTCTTGCCTTGTTTTGGGGCAGTGGTTTGTTTAAATTATCGCTTCAGGAAACATTCTGCAAACTCCCGTCTTCACCATCATGTACCGCCAATGGAGATTCTTTTCAAGCTAATGACATTTTCATGGTCAAGTAGGGATATCCCAAAAGCTACCACACGTTCTATTGTGCAGTTACAGTACAATGTTGGACGTAAATCGGCTAGCTCGCCATCCGTTTCACCAGCCGACGCAAGGAACTGTACTCGACAAAGCCACCAACCCAACAAGTAGCCGCGCCGTTTTGCGTGGAGGAGAAACGCCAGCTATGTGCGTCCAACAAAAAATTTGTCGGTGTGCAAGGTGTTCTCTTCCGTGCATCGACTGTGCTGGAGGGAAGGGGAGGGAGGGGGGGGCTGGTGTTGAAAATGGATGGTGATGGTTGATGAGATTTGTTGCTCGGTGATGTAGGGTGGTGTGTGTGATGGGGTAGGTCAAGAGAAAGGCAGGTGAACTGTGGTGATGGATAGTGAATTTATGGGCCAAACCAGGCCAACTCAAAGTAGTCATGATCTAGTATGCTAGGGTTTGAGGAGGAAGAATGCTTTCGCGTTTTTTTTACTGCGACAACAGTAGTGCATGCTACCAGGTTCGATAGTTAATTACAAAGCTTCCGATGCTCGGTTTTTCACCGCTTAGCTTTTAGCTTTATCACGAGCGCGAAGGTTGCGAACTGCTTACAAGAACAGAACACCTAGACATTATTCACCCAGGGTTTCAGGCTCGGAATGAGGTCGACCTCCAGAGTAGGTCCAAATTCCGTCGTCAGCATCGTCATCCTCCTTATTTGTCTAGCGTACGATGCCACGGCTGCGAAGGCCCCCCCAAAGATCGCGCCGGGAAGAAGAGAGCTGAATGGCGCGAACAAGGCCATTCAAAAAGCTCGGAGATTTAACGTCTTCCTGATCAATATGAAGAAGACAAGTAAGCATACCTTGCTTGTTTCGCGGCTTACCTCTATCCATAGTTTTCTGCCCACCTCCCTCACTTCCCTCCTCTTTTTCTCCATTTTTTATTTCCTCATGTTCTCCTTTCATCATCCCCCATCATCCCCTTCCCTCCTCTACCCCCCCCCCCCCCTTCTCTCTCCCACCCCTCTCCCACCCCGCTTCCCCCCCACCACCCCACACCCCCCCTCTCTCCCCCTCCCCCCCACCACCTATCCCACCACCACCACCCTTGCGTCCCCTTCTCTCACCGCTCGTCTCCCTCCTCCCAGATTTGGATACGTTCATTGGCAGATACGCAGACCGGCAGCCACTCACCTTTCTGATGCCTCGCGACGAAGCGTTCTCCGCGCTTCCAGCCAACATCCGCCAGCAGTTATCCGGCAAGAAGCTGGTGCAGCTCATACAGTACCATATGCTCATGGAGAAGTGGGGGTTCACTTTTCTTTCTCTCCCAAGAAATCAAAGGTTCTTACGCGCATTCCGTACAGTCCTTGGGACTTACATTTTCGTACTTCCAAATGACGTGAACAGGGCCGTGAGGATAAGTTCCGTTAGGTATGCCACTCCGAACACAGCAAGCGTCATTTCCGGTGATATTGGCGGGATGAACACCTTCCTTCGGTTTGCTTGCCATGGGATTGACAAAGTTATCATCCCTCCTGGGGTTTTCACTTGAGGGATGGATATCTTCTGCAGCAGTTGTGCATGGTATATAGTCTTGATCATAGTCCCTGTTGACTGTAACATACTAGTCCTTAGAACTTGATGACATATTGTTAGTAGTCTGCATAGTTCCAGTTGTCCTCCATATGTCCATTCCATTATACAGTTTCCAGCAAATGCTGGTTATCTCGAGGTTCATCACTCTGGTGGTGCTCCTTTCTTTGTTCCAGCAAGATTTCATACATTTTTTTCACTATCCAATGTCAGGGAACTGTAAAACGCTGCAGGCCAAAGCACCATAAAATATAACTGTAGTGTTTCACGTTACCGTGCTCTCGAATCTCTTTCCCAACCTCCAGAGACAAAGCTATTCTGCTTTGTCGCGAAGAAAACGAAATTGCGAAATAGTGTCGTGCACGCACAAGAGTTTCGCGAACTAACGAACTTCAGCCTGCCTTTCGCCGAACCCAAAATTTCCCGCGTTGACTTCCGTTGAGTATTTCGGGTCTCGCGCGTGCCACGGACACAGTCATCCGTACCACCAACCAACGACGAGCCAGCATTACATGGAGGGAAAGCGCCAGCCGTGCGCGTCCAACATGATTGTTATTGGTCCGCAGGAGATGGCTGACATGCGCCCCCTGCTGTGTTGGATGAAGAGGGGAGGAACGGAGGGTGTGCATTGGTGGTTTTGGTGGGTGGTGCTTGGTGTTGAGAGTCGGTGATGGGTGGTACTGGGTGATGGTATTGTCTGGTTGGAGGGTTTGGGAAGAGGGCGGAAGGGAGGGATGAGCAAGCAGTCGAGGCGAGGCTGTGCTGTGGGTTGCTGAAGGGTCAATCCCCACTGGAAGTAGGAAGACAAGGAAGGTTTGAGGAAGTATGCGTGTGCACGTAATTAATCGCGACAGCAATCTTGTCTGCGTGCTTGGAATACCAAAGTCCAGAGGCGGGTACAATGCGTCGAATGCTCAGTTATTCACTGCTAGCTTTTTTCATCCTCCCGAAACGCGAAGGTTGCAAACTGCAAACAAACAGGACATTCGCCTAACGAAATGAGGTCGACCTCACAAACAGTTCCAAAGTGCGTCGACGGCATCGTCCTTCTCGTTGTTTGTCTAGCTTGCAATGCCACGGCTGCGCGGCGTGCCCAGATAGCGCCGGGAAGGAGAGAGCTGAACGGCGCGAACAGGGCCATTCAAAAAGCTCGTAAATTTAACGTTTTTCTGATTCATATGAAGAAAACAAGTAAGCACCCCTTGCTTATTTCGCGACTTCCCTCCATCCGTCGTTCGTTCCCCCTTCCCTTCCCTTCCTCCTCTCGTTCTGCATCAATAATACCCCTCGCCATTTGTCTCCTCTCCATTCCCCTCGCCCCCGTTCCAACATCTCCCCCACCCCTTTTGTATCCCTCCTCTCACCGTTCGTCTCCCTCCTCTCAGATTTGGATACGTTCATAGGCAGATACGCGGACCGGCAGCCACTCACCTTTCTGATGCCTCGCGACGAAGCGTTCTCCGCGCTTCCAGCCAAAATCCGCTCTCAGTTATCGGGCAAAAAGCTGGTGCACCTCCTGCAGTACCATATGCTGATGGAAAAGTGGGGGATCCGCTTTCTTTCTAACCCAACTTATTTAAAGTACTTAAGGTCCTACCGTACAGTACTTGGAGTGTACATCCATATTCTTCCAAATCTTGTGAACCGGGTGGTGAATGTGAGTCCCGTCGGGTATGTCACTGCGGGTACAGGACACATCATTTCAGGTGACATAGGTGGAGAAAACACCTTCCTTCGGTTTGCTTGCCATGGGATTGACAAAGTTATCATCCCTGCTGGGGTTTTCACTTGAGGAATGAATATAGGTATCCGACAGTTGTGCACGTCATACGTTTTGTCGTGTTCTGTTTATCCTGTTAGCTGTAACACAGGTCACGCTCTTATGATTACACTCATCTCCAGCGAGCCCTAGGTTATACAAATCCCAGCAGATGCTGATCTAATCACATCCAGGCCAATCACCCTGGGGGAGATCTCCTGTGAGCGCCAGTCTTTATTCCCTCAATATAATATCCCTCCTCGACCATGGCAAAGTCAATGAGAATAACTGGCCTCATTGCGGATGCTCTAGATTGGCAGCAATACATTGCTAACGGAATGGACGCTTGCGGGAGGTCTTGCTGATAAAGAGAATGTCAGAATGGTTGTATAGGTTGTATACCCCTTCAGCACGAGCTGAACCTTGCCGGGAATTGTTGAGTTGCGCTTCTCTAGGGCAGCAGCACCAAGTGTCTGGTACTCTGTACCCAAAGCATCTCGCTGAAGCTTAGCGGCGGTGGCCTTAGGAGTAAGGATGTGCAGCTGCAGTGTCTTCGTCAAGAAGGCGGGATCCTTTCTGATCCTTGTCTGGGGGGAAGAATCGCCTTAACATAACGGAACAAAACGAAAGATTGAGGTTTTGCGATTCCTAAGCAACTCACCGCATTAAAGTCGCTGAGTTGAGCGAAAGCCTGATCCACAGGAGCGAGGATTGTGATGCCAGTCTCGGTCGTCGAAAGCAGCTTCGACAAGGAGCTTATTCCTGCACATGACAGAAGGACTTGAAATCATGCTAGCACATAAACAGACAGAGGAAGTGCAGTCGCCCTCGAGTGGAGCGGACCTGCAAGTCGCAAATAAGCCAGAAAGTTCCAATGCCTATCAGTCTTCTGTAGCTTAGACCAAACGTAGCTAAACTCCTGATTTCCATCCCTAAGCTTCTGGTCCTGAAGGGACAACTGGATGGTCGCGAGTAGGAGAAAAACTAGCAACAGGCTTCTTGCCATTGCGTTCTACCTCTGCGGAAGACTCAGCCTGCTTTTCGGAATGGATCTTCGCGAAGCGGTAGAAGAGTGGCTGTATTGGGGACAGCAACTTCAGCAGGATGGAATACATCTAGAATGTCTCGTCTGACAAATAAGCTCAACTGATGGATTGGAGCAGAAGCTGCCTTTTCGCTTGCGTTTCCAAAGCGGGTTCTGGTATTGAGGGGATGGAACGCAAGGTCTTATCTTATGAACAGCATGTTTCGGGTTCTGTCACATCTTTCCCACTACTGGAAACGAAGCGCGTGGACTTAACGGTTTGGTTACAATTGCAAGGAGGGTCATGGTTCGGACTTGTCGAGATCTATATGTTTGGGTCTGTTTTCGTGAACAGGGCCTCAAGATTTGTTCTGGCTTTCATCAACCCTTCCCTCTCAATTCCGTAGGTACTCAAAGCACACCACACCAATATTTTCCGAAGGCGACCTCCTGACCTGTCAAGCACCGACAAACATCCCTGTCGCTGCGTAGACTAGTCCATTTTCCACTTTTATGACATCTTCGGAGAGATTAAATATTTCTTCTCTATATACAGTCCCTCTAGTTGCGCAATCGTCGCCTATGAGGTCTGCGCTGCAATGTTATCGTGTTCCATCGTCATCATCCCACACTTCGCGAATTCAAACAGCTCGTATGTTCCGCCGTCAGTGTAAGCAGGGTGGTTTCATCCGGCAATTCTGGCTAGTGTTACTCACTGCAGCCATATCCCTCGCCTTCTCCTCCACCCTCCCTTTCACTCCCGTTTCCGCCTCCAAGTTTGAGCTCAACTCTCCCCGTTTCGGTCGGAAGCCCTTGCACCAGCGCTCTCTGCATCAGCTTTCCGTCAGCACAGCTTCAAGTGCATGCTTACACACTGTAGAAGGACGCACCCTTATCGCGGATGACCAAGGTTACCTGTGCAATTGGAGTGACCTAAATTTCAGCACAGGTTGCTGTCCGAATGCTCGCGAGGGAGTATCCGATGACGGAAGAAGTTCGAGAACTGGAACCGAGCTTCCCTCCCATGATGAACGCGCCGGATCAGGAGCGAAGATTCAACAGATGATGAGATTTTCTTGTCAGTCTTGTAACGTTACTGACAGGTGTTGCGAAGTCTACGAACAGTGTGTAACCTGCTGTCAAGATCCTGATCTTACTCCGCCTCGACTGGCCACAATCATCTCCACTGCAGCTCAACCGTCAGCTGGACGATTTTCATCAGTCTTTGAATTCTGCCGCCACCGCTGCAGACACAACTCTAAGAGCGTGGTTCACGAGAACGCTTACATAAGTGACAGACACCACTGTTACAGCCTGCCAGTTGAAGTTCAAGCAGCGGCTGATGCAGCAGCAAGCGCAGCAGCTGCTGCAGCTGCAGCCAAGAGAAAAACCAGAGATGGTGACCTTGGTAGCGCCAGTGGTCAGGGGACAAAGGATGACAACACGTTGGGGAGCAATGTTTCAGCCGCAGCTGGAGGCAGTATACTAGCAGCTAGTGAAGAGCCGAGGAGAAGCAGTGGTGATGCAGCTGCTGCAGGTGCTGCTGGGACTGCTGCTGCTGCTGCTGCTGGTGCTGTTGCTGGTGGTGATGGTGCTGTTGGTGAGGGGAGTTTCCGTCAAGGCCTGGAGGACGTGGAATTGAAAATGGAGATAGGGAAGCCGGGCCAATCCTGTGACGACACGTGCGCAGAGCGAGGCTTGAAGGTAAATCTGTTGTCTCAGTGAGTGTTGCTTCACACTTCATCGCATGTAGTTTGTCATCCTTTGCTGCATGCTCCTCTTTCACACAGTTTAACTTTCGATCGTTACTTTGTAGTCAGGATGTGTCCGTTTTCCCTGTCACCCTTCCCTCCACCGATTTCTTCAAGCCACCCTTGCCTTGCCCCTTTTCCTCCCTGCCATCCTTGCCCCACCATGTCTGTCAGTTTGTTTTTGAGCAGTGTATCTCATGTCCCTCCCATGCATTGTCGTATCAATCTCTCCTCTCACTTTTGTTTTCACTTTTGTTTTTGCTCTCCCCCGCATTGTTGGACTGATCTCTCCGCCCCACTTGTGTCGCCAACTACTGTATCCTATGCATTGTCGTATCGATCTCTCCCCCTTGCAGTGTTCCCCACTTTAATCTTCCTGTCATCTGCTCCTATGTCCCTTCTCACGTATGTCCATTTTCTTCATGTTCCCTTTACATGAAATTTCCCATGCAGTGTCAGGCCGACCTCCTCCACCGCATCAACAACTGCCCTCTGCTCCGTCATTTCTTCCCCTGCACGCCTGGCTGCTTCGCCTCAATGGGAGCAGAGCAGCCCGCAGAGGTGGTAGAAGCACCTCTGGGTGTAGCATCTCATACACCACACCACATACACCACCACAGCCTGCTGGAACTTCGTACCGGACAAAACTCGCAACAGAGGAAGATGCTGCAAGACCTCAGAGGTTATTCCAGGCAGGGTCAGGTGAATCAGCATGAGCAGCAGCATGAGCAGCAGCAGCAGCAGCAGCAGCATCAACAGCAGAGGTCGCAGGCTCAATTCCTGCCTCGCACATGTCTAGTGAGCCTGGACCCGAATATGCCCTCCTGTGAGGGAAGTCACTCAGACATGCGTAGGCTGTGCCCCTGTAGTTTAGTGCGCTCTTGATGTGTGAGGTGGTTTTCAGGCTATGTAGTGCTTCATTCCTGAATGCACAGGAATACATGTACTCAATTGCATGGGTCAGCGGGGAGGTCATGTGGTTGGTTGCCATACAGCAACACATACAGCTAAAGAACCCCCTACAAACTGGCTTTCTGCATACCTGAATTTCTGCAACACTAGTTGCCAATCTTGCCGCTAGGCCTTGTGGCGTTTGCAAACCATAGCTGCTTGAATACGCTTCAGAACTCGTGCAACCCCCGCTGGGAATCCAGCGCGCTTTATGGTTGAGAACAAGGAACGCAAGCAGCACTTACCGGTACCAGTCTTCAGCTGAAATGCTTCGAGAGCTTGTGCTTGACTCGAATCTTGCCGTGAATAGAACGATGGGTGCAACAATATTGCGATTTTCCTGGATGCCTTGGTACCCGGAACGAAGTGTGAGAGAGCCGTTTGTTGCGAGGGAGCCATTTTGCTTGCGGCCGATTTTCATGGCACGAGGGCTCCCGCACCGGAACTTCCACTCCACACCGGCGAAGCTCTTTCAAGTCGACTTATTCCGTCGACTGCACAATAGCGCGAGGTGGTTCTTTGAAATCTGCATATTAGTAGCTCGCGCTATTCGCTACAGAAGCGGTGAAAGTCAAGTGCCATGAGCGAGTTGGATTTGCCCAAGCTTGCATCCTCGCGTCACTCATCACTTGCCGTCTTCGATTCCCGCCATTCACGTCCATTCGCTCGTGACCTAAGTGACTGAAGGTGACACGTACCATGATGCGGTCACAACTCACGAGTCCACATCGCGTTTACCCGTGGAATTCCTGAACAAAAACCCTCGTAAGACTTTACTAGGTTAGTTATACGCTGACAGCCACGACTGAAACCCTTCTCTGTCTGAAACAGACCAGAGCAAGGATCGGCCTTACTGTGGTTTCTGCTACTGTACATAGTAGACATGACCGCACAGGTGTCATAGTTGACATGACATATGTAGTACAGTTGACAGGAAATGGCGACCGTCAGTGGCGCGGGTCAGCCTGAATTCACAGCAGAGCAGTCGCTAGACTGCGAGAGAACCATTCGTTGTGCTTCTGTGATTTCTGTTGGACGTTTTGCCTTGAGGTTGCTGGTTCCTTTATTAAGTGATTCGTGACAAAATAGCCAGATGGTGGAGGTGGTAAGTCTGGGGAGGGAATCAACTACCGGTAGATGGTGGGGTCGAATACTCGAAAACAAAGTCTACAGAGGAGCATTTTTGTTAGGATTTGTGCAATTTTTTTCCTAGCCTATGTACACAGCTCCTGTAAAAAACTACATTCCACCAGCTTCCTTGAGCGCTGCTTGTGCAATCGGCCTCCATTGCTCTGCAAGAGACTCATTCAATCCCATGCCCATTGCCAGGCCTCTCAGCAGCTGCATGGTGCGCACCACAAAGAACAGATCCTCTGGGAATTTCTGCAAGTGAAGAAACAGGGAGGTGCACACAGTGAGTGTGTGTGACTTTTGAGTCGACTCAAAAGTCACCAAAGAGATCCTCTGGGAATTTCTGCAAGTGAAGAAACAGGGAGGAGCACACAGTGAGTGTGTGTGGTAGGAGCAGTTGTACAAGGAAGCAGCAACTTGTGATTACATACATGTGAATAAGGAAATGTTGCTTTATACCTCAATCCCGTTCCTCTTCAGGGTGGATTCGCTCGCAAACGGGTTCGACGTTGTAACACCCTCCGACACCCCAGTGTCAAACATGAGGGAAGACATGCGGTGAAAGCTCCTGGGATCCTCAATCACAGTCCTGGTAGTCCGGATCCCCAGTGCTTGGAACAATGAGCCTACTCTTGGCAAGTCTTTGTCCGCCACTGCTAGCATCAAGCGTGCCAGGTTTAGACGCAGAGAGTCTGGGAGACGCTTGGTCTGGCCATAGTCCAACAGAGCAACCTGTTTGTACAATTGGGAATTGGGAACAACGTGATAGAAATGGAAAGAACGATGGATGTGGAGTGAAGTAGCAAGTGCTAACTTGGTTTGAGTGAAAGTAGTGGAATATTTTTTGGCATGACTGACCTTTCTATCCGGGCAGATGAGGAGATTTCCTGGATGGGGGTCAGCTTGAAAATGCCCGTCTCGCAAGATCATCAGCCCGTAAGCTGTCCCAAGTGACCGGAAGATTGACCTGTTTGAGAGAAGGATGGGTAGAAACAAAAATCAAAGGCAAGAAAGGGGGTTTCCTGGGTGGGGTTCAGCCTGAAAATGCCCGTCCCGCAATATCATCAGCCCATAAGCTGTCCCGAGTGACCGGAAGATTGACCTGACCAAGAAAAGGATGGATATAAATGGAAGATCAACGGCCAGAAAGAAGGTTTAAAACGCCACAAGGGTGCCGGTCTGGAACCCCTCACACTGGCACAACAGGAGGTTCAAAACCTCACAAAAGAAGCTTTAGCTTTGCATTGCACCCAACTCGACCCTTACCAGCACTGCGCCGCGTTTCGCTCAACTCTTGCCAGTTCTGTAGCGCATCGCTGAAGCACTACCATGAATCGCACTCACTGCTTTGCCTTGATAGCAAGAAAGCCGTTGGGGTTAATTCCCTCGGCTGGCATCTCTTCTTCCATCTTCACAAGAGGAGAGCCCTTGATCAGACCCATCACCAGCACATGGCACACGTCACAAGGCATGTGGCACATGGCTCTCACCTCTTTGCCTTGATAGCAAGAAAGCCGTTGGGGTTAATTCCCTCGGCTGGCATCTCTTCCTCCATACTAGCTAGTGGAGAGCCCTTGACCAGATCCATCACTAGCAGACGCTTGGTCATTAGGCCTGAAACAGGCGCAGGCACCACCACCGGCAAAGCAGCAGCAGCCCTGATGACCCAGGGTGCTCACCTCTTTGCTTTCATTGCAAGGAAGCCGTTGGGGTTGACTCCTTTAGCTTTCATCTCCTCCTCCATGCTAGCAGGCGGGCAACCCTTGATCAGATCCATCACCAGTAGACGCTTGGTCACCAGCCCAGGTACAGATGCAGGCACCACCACCACTGGGGAGGAGCCAGCAGAACCACCAGCATTACACTCACCGCTTTGCCTTCATAGAAAGGAAGCCGTTGGGGTTGACTCCCTTGGCCCTCATTTGCTCTTCCATACTAGCTAGTTGAGAGCCCTTGATCAGATCCATCACCAGTAGACGCTTGGTCGCCAGCCCAGGTACAGATGCAGGCACCACCACCACTGGGGAGGAGCCAGCAGAACCACCAGCATTACACTCACCGCTTTGCCTTCATAGAAAGGAAGCCGTTGGGGTTGACTCCCTTGGCCCTCATTTGCTCTTCCATACTAGCTAGTTGAGAGCCCTTGATCAGATCCATCACCAGCAGGCGCTTGGTCACCAACCCTGGGACAGATGCAGGCACCACCACAGGGGAGGTAGCAGCAGAACCACCAGCAGCAGCAGCCGGAGCAGCAGCAGCAGAACTAACGGTAGCAGCAGTAACAGAGGCAGCAGTATTAGTGAGAGAAGCAAAAGCAGTAGCAGTGGCTGCTGGTCTTGAAAAAAGGTTCCAGCGCCTCCTGCTTTTTTGCCTCCGGTTTGTAGCTGCTCCCGTGCCTGAAGCTGCCGAACTTGCCAGCGAGGCTCGGATGGTGTCCATGGCTGCGGCCTCCCTTCGGAAGTCAAACTCGTACCGGATCTGTAGGTATGGAGGGAGAGTGGAAAGAAGGGGAGGAAGTGACTAAGGGACAGGAGGAGAGGAGAGTCAAATTCGGTCACGTTCTTTCGATTTCTTTCACTCTCTGGTGCGGAGTAGAGTGGGATGGAGAGGGATAGAGTGCAATAGGGATAGAAATGCAGCCACCCACCCCACCTGCTTCTCCAGCTCGTTGAGGGCGTCCATGATGTCCAGATTCAGCTCCGTGCTCTGCAGGAGTGGACCCCTACAACCACACCATACCCAACCACCTGCATACATTTCCACTTGCTACATGAAAGCACATGGTAAACCCCGCCCACCTGCCTCTCCAGCTCGTTGAGAGCACCCATGATGTCCAGATTCAGCTCCGTGCTCTGCAGGAATGCAGCAAAGGTTTTGAGGTTGGCGAGATCCGTGAGCATGAGAGGCTCAGCTCCTGCATGCTGCACCTGAAAGGGTGGGGGAAGAAGGGGGGAAGAGGAGTTGAAGGTAAACGTCCTCTGTCCTGTGCTCTGTGCTCTGTGCTCTGTGCTCTGTGCCCTGTGCCCTGTGCCCTGTGCCTTGTGCTCTGTGCCCTGTGCTCTGTGCCCTGTGCCCTGTGCTCTGTGCCCTGTGCCCTGTGCTCTGTGCCCTGTGCCCTGTGCCCTGTGCCCAGTCTGTGCTCTGTGCCCTGTGCTCTGTGCCCTGTGCCCTGTGCTCTGTGCCCTGTGCCCTGTGCCCTGTGCCCAGTCTGTGCTCTGTGCTCTGTGCCCTGTGCCTTGTGCTCTGCTGGCTGGCTGCATGATTCAGAAAATAATGGTGACCCTCTTACCTTGATAGCAACCTCTTTGCCTCCTCGCAATCTCCCTCTGTGCACTTGAGCAATCGAAGCAGACCCCAACGGTTTCTCCTCCACCCACTCCCACACCTCCCTCCATGCCACCCCCCCCAGCTCCTCTTGAATGGTGCGCAGCACGAGGGGGAGCGGGTCGGCAGGAGCGTCGTCGTGGAGGGCTGAGAGGCGCCGCACCCACGCTGGTGGGGAGAGGTCTGGCTTCGCTAGAAACTGGCCGGCCTGTGTTTGGTGGGGAGGGAGAGGAGGGGGGACAGTGGGAGTGGGATTGGTGTGAGGAGAAAGAGGGACGGCAGAAGCAGCATCGTGGAGGGCTGAGAGGCGCCGCCAGGAACTGACCCGCCTGTTTTGGAGAGGGGAGAGGAGGGGAAGGGTAAGGGGAAGTGGTGAGCAGGAGCAGCGTCGTGGAGGGCTGAGAGGCGCCGCACCCACGCTGGTGGGGAGAGGTCTGGCTTGGCTAGGAACTGGCCTGCCTGGGATTGGAGGGGTTGACTTTTGAGTCAACTTATAAGTTAATACGGTGGAAAGCAGGAGAAGGATGAGGGAAATTGGGTAAGAGTGGGTCCTTATATATTTGAAAATTACTGAGCTCCCTGCTCTTTTAAATTAACGCTATAGGGGGTAGAGATAGGAGGGGCGGAGGAAAATGGTGACTCCAAAACAATGTGCGTCATGCCACAACAATGCTCTCATTGAGAGTCGAACTCAAGACCTCCCGCTTACTAAACGGGTGCTCTAACCAACTGAGCTATGAGAGCTGTTCAAATATGCCTATGAGCTTTTGTGTTCTGATCATACTTTGCATTATGAAGCCTTTTGCATTGGCGCCGAGAGCATAGAGAATCTATGGTCATCCTAATGATGGCTGCTATCGTCATGCATGCGATATGATTACACCTTTGCTTGTAGTCACACCTTCACGCCTCCGCTATAGTCACACCTTCGCTGGAGTAACACCTTCGCTATAGTCACACCTTCGCTCACACCTTCGCTCACACCTTCGCTCACACTTTCGCTGTAGTCACACTTTAGGCAGAACCCTTTCATGTCGGTGTAGAGAGCGCAGAGGAGCTCTTTCCCCCCTGTGGTCACCTGTCATAGCTCTGCTATGATCACACCTTCAATATAGTCACACACACCTTGAGGAAGAATCCCTTCATGTCGGTGCAAAGGGCATAGAGCATCTCCGCCCCCCTCTCATGCTGCCTCTGCCACGTGGCAGTTTTCTCCTCCTCTGATTGGCCACTCACTGCCACCTGGAGCTGACAGAGCTGTGGAGTGATAGGAGGATATGGGGGGAGGGAAGGGGAGGAGAGGGGAGAGAAGGAAGGAAAGACGGAAGGGACGCGGAATCACGAGGGGGAAGGGGATGACATAGCTGGGGAGTGATACGAGGATATGGGGAGAGGGAAGGGGAGGAGATTATGGAGAAGAAGGGAAGGATTGGGGGAAAAGGGGAGGATGTGGGGAGAAGGTAGGGATGATACGGGGAGCGGGATGGTGAGGACGAGGGGTGAGGGAAGGTGAGGATAGGGGGAGAGGGTTGGGGAGGATAGGGGGAGAGGGAAGAGGAAAACAAGGGGAGAGTGAAAAGGACAAGGAAGAAGGGGAGGGGAAGGAACAGGGGAAATAGGAGGGGGAGGGAAGGGGAAATATAAGATTGAAGAGTACATCAAACTTACGAGAGAGGAACCTTGTACGATGAAACGCACCTTGTAACTGCCGTACAGGTGCACTACACGCCGCCAGAACTCCGCCCCTCGTTGAAACGACAGCACGTTCGCCTCGACATCCCGCTGTAACGCCACCACCCCTCGCTTCACTGCCTCATTCCGCGCTTCCACGTCCCGCTGTAACGAAACCACCCCTCGTTTCAATGCCTCGTTCCGCGCTTCCACGTCTTGTTGCAGCGACACCAGCCCTCGTTTTAGTGCATCGCTCTGTGATTCCACATCCCATAGTAGAGTCACCACCCCTTGCTTCACTGCCTCGCTTTGTGCTTCAACATCTCGCTGTAACGCCACCGCCCCTCGTTTCAGTGACTCCCCTTGTGTTTCCACCCCTCGCTGTAGCAACGCAAACCCTCGTTTCAGTGCCTCGCTTCGCTCCTGCACGGCCGATTTCACCTTATCCGCTTCCTTTTTCCATCCCACTTCCATTCCCTGTTCCCTTCCCGAACGTTCTTCTTTCCAACTCGACGCAATCGGGTCCGCCCATGTCTCCAGCCACGTTCTTGGGGATTCCGGAATCCATTCGACGGGCTTTAAGCCTGGGGTTTCTAAGTTACACGTTTCGACTTTGCATGAGTCCGCTCGGCCGTCCATAGCCGCCTTAGACGCTGCAGCCTCTTGAGAAACTGGCCATGGAAGTGCTGAATTGTCTGGGCCTTCAGTAGGGACTGGATTTCCTCGCCAACGGGTCTTTGGCGAAGGCTGCGACGCCAGAAGCGATGAGGGCGACTTTGCCGACGCTAGCGGCGCTGGTGACGCTGGCGACGCTGGCGAAGACGATGGTAACAGCAGCAGTTGCGAAGGGGGCAGGAGGAACGGCGAAACGGGCGGATTGGAGGGAGAAGGCGGGGAGTGCAGCAGCGACGCGGAGGCCATCAGCACGCGGCGCGAGAGCAGCGACAGCGGATTCGGTTTTCGAAGCGCCTCGGGAATCGCGGAGCCCCTTAGCCCTCGACGCGACAGCAATGGTAGCGGATTCGGCGGCCGTGTGCTAAAACGCGACTGCCGCTCTCCGTCAGTCCCGCCAGAGGATTCCATGCGGATAGGTCCAGCGAATCTGGATTCGGGTTGAACCGCCTCTATAAAGTAGCTGCGGAATTCGAGCAGCGATCGAGTGGCGAGGCGAAGCGGCGAGGTGCCTGACTTCAAATGCAAGAATGTGGCTGTACGAGAGCCGAAGTGCTGAAACGCGTTACTCTTTTTTTGAGGCGGCTTTATTAAGCACGCACCCACGCACTCACGCGCTCGGGAGTCCAGGCTGTGAGCACCTTATTATGACAGCAAAAGAACTCTGGAATGGACTGGGAAGTTGCTCTCGACTTTTGAGGCGCCTCAAACCTCTTCACGACTGCGACAGCTCCGAGAAGGGACTCGAAAGGCGCTCTCGAATACCCGCATCAGGCGGAATTCGCTTCTCACCTAGCGCGGCTTTTCAAAAGTCGGGAACATCCCATTCGTGATTCTGTGAGCCTTCTTACGATTGCGACAGCACTCTGCAGGACAGACTCGAAAAAGACACTCTCGACTTTCGACACACTCAGGGTCAAATCCGCTTCTGATCCGCGACAGATTTCTAGGACAGAAACAGGCTGGCTGTTTTCCCCTAAGGCTGACTCAGCCTTGAACTCGAACCTGCTCTCGGAGAGGAGCATGTGGGAATCACACACGTGGCTCGGCGCGCACGGTATGTTTCATCGTCGCTCCAGGTGACTTTTGAGTCGACTCAAAAGCAGCCTTGGGCTCGAACCTGCTCTCGGAGAGGAGCATGTGGGAATCACACACGTGGCTCGTCTCGCGCACGGTATGTTTCGTCGTCGTTGCAGGGAACGCCGCCGAGTCAGCGCATCGCCGAGAGGGCCATCGCACGAGGGAGTCGCGCACGGTATGTGTCGTCGTCGTTCCAGGGAAAGTCGCCGAGTCAGCGCGTCGCCGAGAGGGCCATCGCACGAGTCGCGCTAGGGATGCTGCCAAGGAACAGACTGTTTTCCCTAGATGAATTTTTATAGTCGCTGTATTATCCCGAGGGAATATGCCAAACAATTGCCTGCACATGGGTCGCGTGCTCTCCGTCCGCGAAATTGTCGATAACGTCATGTCCGTCTGACGTCACTTTCCAGTCTCGACGGTAACAAAGGCAAGACGGTGACTGCAGCAGTTCGGATGGCGACATTTTCGAGGACAGCAGGCTAGCTGACGGAATGAACGAGGTCGCGTATTGCTTGCTGCCACGAAGTGACGGGATTGGCTACGCCGCGTGCTACTGCTGCTCCACCTGTCAATAACAGTCACTAACAGTGCGATGTACGGAGTTACTACCTTGCACTCTCGAGGGGCGGCGCGCTGTACTTTTCGAGACGAGTCAAAGGCACACGTGGACTGCAAATTATCTGATGCAGAAGACTCCCCTGGATGAGTGAAACCCTGGTTCCTCGAAACTCCTGGGGCCAGGCCCCTCGGAGTTGACGAGGTTGCAAATCGCAGTCGCGCCGGCCTGTCGAATCCTAGTTGCCACTCTCGACGCTCTGAAAGGTACATGCGGACGCAAGCCATAGTCGCAAGCTACGAAGTCTGATTTTGAAACGCCTCAAGCTCGTATTGCTGTCGCTCTGGCCTGTCACATCCTAGCCACCAGTCTCGCTCGCCGCTTTGAAAAGCGCAAACGTACAATCGCATGCTAGGGACTGGCTGGGGATTTCTGCTTTGACAAGAATTGCAGCGGTGCTGCTGCTGTTGCTCGTGCTGCTGCTGGGGTTGGAAATGCAGTGGGACGTTGGAGATGACGAGGTTGTGAAGGGAAAGCTGTTTTGCCCAGGAATCAAATGCGTTGCTTGCAGGTTTGATGGTGGCTTGGAGTGACAATTCAAGTGTCGTCTCCAGCGTGTGAGAGTGTGGGTGGGAAAAGGGGTTGGGGCAATTGCTGGCCAATGTTGGCAGATGTCGCCAAACGTGCTCGAAAAATGGGCGCAGTTTTGCAAATGCGAAAGGCTATTGGATGAAATTCGGAATTCACATTTTCCTTGCGACGTGACGAGTCGGCTTCATGATGGCGACGCGGACAGGGATGATATGATTGGTGGTGGAGAGTATACGGGTTTGGCGAAGCGGTTGCGAAGGAAGATGGCGAAGGACGACAAGCGGATGTAGCAATGCGACTCTACCGTACCCGTAAAATCTATGCATTGTTCTGGTAAGGCTTGTAAAGCAGCGTGTTTTTCAGCACAGTAATTTATCCCACATAACACAAAACGTCACTCATAACACATGCCTCTGCCTCTGAGCCTCCCTTATCGCCTCCCGTGCAATCGGCCGCCATTGCTCCGCAAGCGACTCATTCAACCCCATGCCCATGCAGATCCCCCGCAGCAGCTGCATCGACCGCACCACAAAAAACAAATCCTCCGGAAACTTCCTCACGCCGTTGTTCTGGGCGGCATGCTCCTCCGAAAACGGGTTCGATGTCGTGACTCCCTTCGCTGACCGCGTATCAAACATAAGCATAGCCATCCACTTGAAGCTCTCCGGATTTTCCTCGGCCGTTTTGCTGAGCTCGAACCCCATCTCGCTGTACAGCCGTCCGATCTTCCTCGCGTCGCCGTCACCGACGGCCAGGATCAGCTCGGCCAGCTGCAGGCGGTGCTGCTGGGAGAGTTGTTTCGTCTGCCCGTAGTCGAGAAGAGCGACCTTTTTGTCCGGGCAGATAAGAATGTTTCCGGGGTGCGGGTCAGCTTGGAAAAAACCGTCACGGAGGATCATGAGTCCGTATGCCTCCCCAAGTGAACGGAATATTGACCTGAGATAGTTTGGGCAGAACGGTGAGGGGAAGCGAGGGTGGGAGGGGGAGGGGAGATATGGCAATGAGTCTAGGGAAAGCAGTCACCATCACGAAGGATCATGAGCCCGTATGCCTCTCCAAGAGACCGGAATATTGACCTGTGGTTAATATCAGTCCAGGAGGGAGGTGGGGGGAGTGGGGGAAAGGAAGGCATTTTGAGATTGTACAGGTGGAGTATAGAAGGCAGTTGTACGAGTGCGGATCATGAGCCCGTATGCCTCTCCGAGTGAACGGAATATTGACCTGCAGGGGATTTGAGCAAAAGGGTGTGTGAGGAGGGGGGGGGAGGGGACATTTTGAGGCGCCTCAAAATGCACCTCACTGCTTGAGTGAGGAGGGGGGGGGAGGGGACATTTTGAGGCGCCTCAAAATGCACCTCAAAATGCACCTCACTGCTTGAGTGAGGAGGGGGGGGGAGGGGACATTTTGAGGCGCCTCAAAATGCACCTCAAAATGCACCTCACTGCTTGAGTGAGGAGGGGGGGGGAGGGGACATTTTGAGGCGCCTCAAAATGCACCTCACTGCTTGAGTGAGGAGGGGGGGGGAGGGGACATTTTGAGGCGCCTCAAAATGCACCTCACTGCTTGAGTGAGGAGGGGGGGGGAGGGGACATTTTGAGGCGCCTCAAAATGCACCTCAAAATGCACCTCACTGCTTGAGTGAGGAGGGGGGGGGAGGGGACATTTTGAGGCGCCTCAAAATGCACCTCACTGCTTGAGTGAGGAGGGGGGGGGGAGGGGACATTTTGAGGCGCCTCAAAATGCACCTCAAAATGCACCTCACTGCTTGAGTGAGGAGGGGGGGGGAGGGGACATTTTGAGGCGCCTCAAAATGCACCTCAAAATGCACCTCACTGCTTGAGTGAGGAGGGGGGGGGAGGGGACATTTTGAGGCGCCTCAAAATGCACCTCACTGCTTGAGTGAGGAGGGGGGGGGAGGGGACATTTTGAGGCGCCTCAAAATGCACCTCACTGCTTGAGTGAGGAGGGGGGGGGAGGGGACATTTTGAGGCGCCTCAAAATGCACCTCACTGCTTGAGTGAGGAGGGGGGGGGAGGGGACATTTTGAGGCGCCTCAAAATGCACCTCACTGCTTGAGTGAGGAATGAGTCTAGGAAAGCAGAAGCAGTTCCATCAGCAGCGGGAGGAGGTAAGTGAGGCAGCCAATCGCTTACCACTCACATCAATCTTACCACCCACAACACTCCCACTCACTGCTTGATCCCCACCAGCTTTGCCTCGAGGCAAAGAATTCATCCGCCTTGGCCCCCACCAGCTCTGCCACTCTGAGCAATGGTGAGATCCATCACCAGCATGTGCCTGCTCACATTACCCACACCACCCACTCCAAACTCACCGTTTCATTCTTGTGGCAAAGAATCCATCCGCCTTGCTTCCCATCTGCTCTTCTACTCTGAGCAGCGGTGAGCCTTCGATGAGATCCATCACCAGCAGCTGCCTGCTGCCCTCCTCTCACCTTTGAGAATTACCCTCTCCCACACTCACCTCTTGATTCTGTTGGCAAAAAAACCGTCTGCCTTGCTTCCCATCGTCTCCGCTACTCTGAGCAATGGAGAGCCTTCAATGAGATCCATCACCAGCAGCTGCCGGCTCACGAGACCAGGGATGGGGCGAGGCACCACCACTGGAGAGGAGGAAGAGGAGGATGAAGAGGAGGAGGAGGAGGAGGAGGAGGAAGAGTTGATGTGCTTGTTACGCTCTGACTGCTGCTGCTTTGAACCCCTTCTTCTCTGCTTTGCTCCTGTGCTCTTGACTGCTCCGTCTTCTGCTCTTGCTCCTCCTGCTGCTGCTGACGCCGCTGCCTCTCCTGCTGCTGCTGATTTTCTTCTCACCACCATCTCTCCACCCTTGGCTCTCTCCCCTCCGCCTCTCAGCGCCGTGTGAACCCTCTCCATGGCTGCCCCCTCAATGCGGAAGTCAAACTCCAAACGCACCTGCAGGGGGGGGGGGAGCATTCATCACAAGAGCGCACATTCTTAGCCATCCACTCTACTCATCTCTAGTCATCATTCTCCCCACCGCCGTGCAGCGACGTGTGAAGTGAACCCTCTCCATGGCTGCCCCCTCAATGCGGAAGTCAAACTCCAAACGCACCTGCAGGGCAGAAGGGAAGATGGAGAGATCGGAGCGTATTCTCAGTTCTGTTTACTGCAATGGACGCAAGGAACACAATGAACGCAATGAACGCAATAGACGTGCCAACAGAGCACATGCAGGCAAGACTTTTGAGTCGACTCAAAAGTCAGCTCGTTACGTCGTCACATTTTTACTGCAGGAACGCAATGGACGCAATGGACGTGCACACAGAGCACATGCAGGCAAGACCTCGTGTTCTTCCCAACACCCTCACCAACCTCACCTGTTTCTCCAGCTCTACCAGAGCCGACACGATGTCCATGTGCTTCAGCTCTGTCTTGTGTAGGAACAAAAGCATCAAGCAAGCTCAAGCAAGCAATGGTGCATAAACCTGCCCACGTTGAAGCCTCACCTGCTTCTCCAGCTCCACTAGAGCCGACACGATATCCATGTGCTTCAGTTCCGTCTTCTGCAGAAATGCTCCAAAAGCCTTGAGGTTGGCGAGGTCTGTGAGCATGAGGGGCTGCGCCCCTCTGTGCTAGCTCTCTCTCTCATACTGCCTCACCACCCTCCTCACCTGCTTCTCCAGCTCCACCAGAGCCGAGACGATGTCCATATGCTTCAATTCTGTCTTCTGCAGGAACGCCCCGAACGCCTTGAGGTTGGCGAGGTCTGTGAGCATGAGGGGCTGCGCCCCCCTGTGCTGCCTCTCTCTCTCATGCCACCTCTCACTCTCCCATACAGCATCTCGTCTCTCATGCCACCTCTCACTCTCCCATACAGCATCTCGTCTCTCATGCCACCTCTCACTCTCCCATACAGCATCTCGTCTCTCATGCCACCTCTCACTCTCCCATACAGCATCTCGTCTCTCATGCCACCTCTCACTCTCCCATACAGCATCTCGTCTCTCATGCCACCTCTCACTCTCCCATACAGCATCTCGTCTCTCATGCCACCTCTCACTCTCCCATACAGCATCTCGTCTCTCATGCCACCTCTCACTCTCCCATACAGCATCTCGTCTCTCATGCCACCTCTCACTCTCCCATACAGCATCTCGTCTCTCATGCCACCTCTCACTCTCCCATACAGCATCTCGTCTCTCATGCCACCTCTCACTCTCCCATACAGCATCTCGTCTCTCATGCCACCTCTCACTCTCCCATACAGCATCTCGTCTCTCATGCCACCTCTCACTCTCCCATACAGCATCTCGTCTCTCATGCCACCTCTCACTCTCCCATACAGCATCTCGTCTCTCATGCCACCTCTCACTCTCCCATACAGCATCTCGTCTCTCATGCCACCTCTCACTCTCCCATACAGCATCTCGTCTCTCATGCCACCTCTCACTCTCCCATACAGCATCTCGTCTCTCATGCCACCTCTCACTCTCCCATACAGCATCTCGTCTCTCATGCCACCTCTCACTCTCCCATACAGCATCTCGTCTCTCATGCCACCTCTCACTCTCCCATACAGCATCTCGTCTCTCATGCCACCTCTCACTCTCCCATACAGCATCTCGTCTCTCATGCCACCTCTCACTCTCCCATACAGCATCTCGTCTCTCATGCCACCTCTCACTCTCCCATACAGCATCTCGTCTCTCATGCCACCTCTCACTCTCCCATACAGCATCTCGTCTCTCATGCCACCTCTCACTCTCCCATACAGCATCTCGTCTCTCATGCCACCTCTCACTCTCCCATACAGCATCTCGTCTCTCATGCCACCTCTCACTCTCCCATACAGCATCTCGTCTCTCATGCCACCTCTCACTCTCCCATACAGCATCTCGTCTCTCATGCCACCTCTCACTCTCCCATACAGCATCTCGTCTCTCATGCCACCTCTCACTCTCCCATACAGCATCTCGTCTCTCATGCCACCTCTCACTCTCCCATACAGCATCTCGTCTCTCATGCCACCTCTCACTCTCCCATACAGCATCTCGTCTCTCATGCCACCTCTCACTCTCCCATACAGCATCTCGTCTCTCATGCCACCTCTCACTCTCCCATACAGCATCTCGTCTCTCATGCCACCTCTCACTCTCCCATACAGCATCTCGTCTCTCATGCCACCTCTCACTCTCCCATACAGCATCTCGTCTCTCATGCCACCTCTCACTCTCCCATACAGCATCTCGTCTTTTCACCACCCTCCTCACCTGTTTCTCCAGCTCCACTAAAGCCGATACAATATCCATGTGCTTCAGCTCCGTCTTCTGCAGAAAAGCTCCAAACGCCTTGAGGTTGGCGAGGTCTGTGAGCATGAGGGGCTGCGCCCCCCTGTGCTGCACCTTTAGTGCTACCTTCCTGCCATCATGCAGCCAAGCTCTGTGTACCTGATGGGAATAAGAGGGAGGGGATGGGAAGGGGGGAGAGAGAGGAATGAGAGGTCTGTGAGCATGAGCGGCTGCGCCCCCCTGTGCTGCACCTTCAAAGCCACCTTCCTTCCATCATGTAGCCAAGCTCTGTGCACCTGCGGAGAGGCGAGGCGACAGGGGGTGAAGGGGGTGGGAAGGGAACGCCTTGAGGTTGGCGAGGTCTGTGAGCAATAGAAGCAGACTTGAGAGCCTCCTCATCTCATCAATTCTCGCGAGCACATGAGCAGCATAACATGGAGTGTTGAGACGTCTCTTGAGGCGCCTCAAAAGTCAAAAGTGTTGAGACGTCTCAAAAATAGACCCCACAGGCTGCTCATCTTAACGATCCTCGCCAACACATGAGCAGCATAACATGGAAGGAACCGTGTAACACTGTACCACCGTCACACATTGTAGCATCTTAACCTCGTAACATACCTGAGCAATAGAGGCAGAACCCAGAGGCTCTTCATCAATCTTCGCAAACACATCGCTCCACTTCACCCCCTTCCTCCCAGTCAACGCCTCCAACTCCCCCTCTATCGTCGCACAGACCACTGGAAACGGGTCAGCAGGGGCAGCATCATGCAGCGAGGCCAGTTTCGCCACCCACGCAGGAGGGGACACGTCAGGCTTCGCTAAGAACTGCCCCGCTTTAAGGAAGAAGCCGCGCATTTCGGTGCAGAGGGAGTGTAGCATGTCGGCTGCCCGCTCGTGCTGCCTCTCCCACGCTTCGTGCTTCTGTGTGTCTGTGAGTAGTGACAGTCGGCGATTACCTGGGAGGGGGAGGGCGAGGGAGGTGTGGATTTGGCAGACCTGTGGGGGGAGGAGGTGGGGGAAGGGTGGTAGGAGGTTCTTTGAAGAAATTTCATATGACAGAGATACTGTTCCATTTTTTTTTTTAGTTTGTAGCATATATAGCAGCGCTTTCGATGCACACTTTGTTTGAAGGAAGGTTAGTTTATAGCTGCTGTCCATGTACATGCACAAGAATGTAGTGTACTCACCTTATAGCTGCCGTATATATGAACGATTCGGCACCAAAACTCCCCGAATCGGCGCAACGCCAGCATCCGCGCCTCCGCTTCCGCCTTCGCGTTCCCCATGCGCTCTTTCACGACCGCCATCCGCGCGCCAACTCCAGCAACCGGACCAATCAAGGACGCGCCAAATCCTGCGCCAATCCCCGCAGTTTGCTCCAATTTCCCGCGAGCCGCGGTCACTGCGTCATCGAGTCGGCGAGTAAGAGCTGTTAGCGCACGGTTTGCGCCATCCCCCGCCGAAGTCTGCGCGCGCCTGAGATGCGCATGGGCGGATGTTACTGCGCGGGTAAGTTGCGAATCAAGCGCCAGTGAGCCCGCTCGCGAAGTGACCTGCGCCTGTCCGCCTGCTTCCGCAGTGGTCTTGCGCAAGTTACGCACGCGCGACGCCTTCTCTTCCAGCCATCCAATCACGGCGCGCTGAATCTCCTCCGGGCCCGACGGTAACGGAAAGATATCGTCCGAATCCGGCTGGCTCGGCAGCAGGCTCGGGCCGAACCTCGGCGCGAGGCCGAGGCCATGAGGCGCCGCGTGAGTGGCGGAGACGGAAGCGAGAATCACGGGGAACTTAAAGCTCCGAAGCGGGCGCTGCAGCGGCCGCGCAATTAAATCCGAAGATGCGGCGAGCCCAACAGCTGGCATGGTTAGATCCCGCCGCGGCTCGGCTCCGCTGACGGCAAGAAAGGTTCCATTTCGACAGGGAGCTCGAGTCGCAGGAGGGGTACTTATTGTGGGTTCAGGAACTCGCGTTTCCGGGGGAGCATTAGCGGCGGATGCAACGAGACCGTTGCGCGGCGGCTGAGGGTGACGTGCGGAGCCCCGTCCCGCCCTTGACGACCGGAAAGTGCGGCGCGAAACGCGGGCGGCGGTCGGCGAGCCGCGGTTCTCAGGAGCCATGCTTGACGAACGGCGGCACTTGCGACGACACTTACGGTGTCAATTGCGGTGTCACTTACGGCGTCAATACCAAGGAAGGTTCTTGAAAACCCGAGCTTTAGGAAGACCTGGTTCCGTCAGCCTGGCCGGGAGGCTACACGAGTCGCGGCTGTGTTTTGAGTCGACTCAAAAGGACCGAGCCTTAGGAAGACCCGGTTCCGTTAACCTGACCGGGAGGCTAGACGAGTCGCGGGTGGGCGAAGGCTGTAAAACAAGCTGACCACTGCCGGTTTAGGCTAGAGACGGTTTTCTACGTCACGGTTCTCTCGGTGAAATGCGGGGCTAAAGACGGTCTGGTTGGAGACACCTCAACGTAAATGTTGTTTTAATCGCAAGGGCTACTAATGTGGTCAGCGCCGTCAGTGGGCTCCCAAGTATTTCCGCGCTCAGAGGGCTCAGAGCAACACGCTTATCACGCCGCGCAGGTGCTACAGTAACTAACGACGCGTTTGCGCCCAGGGCCGTGCTGCGCTAGAGATGTCGAGAGTCGAGGAGACGCTGCTAGGAGGTTCCAAGAAAGAACGAACGTGTGTGTGGATGGAAGACGTATGGAGCAAGAATGACTGTTGGACGCCCTTTAGCAAGACAAGGCCAGACGAAAACCAACGCAAACGTTGTCCTTGCAAAATCGGAATAGGTCGTCGTCTGGTGGTGCGAGGATGACAGGTGACCGACCGTGGTGACTGTGAGGTGACTGGTCTGGTCTGCCCTGCTCCACCGCGTGTGGCGTGTGTTTCACACTTGATGCGGCAGCCGCATCCGATCCGAAGCGACGACCACCAATGGCTGAAGCAGACGCAGATTTTTCCTACCTCCCCCCCCACCCCTACCCCGCCCCGCCCCTACCGCAACCGCGCTTGTTTGAAAATCTCCGTCTAGCTTCCCGTGGCGGCTGGGAACATACATGAAAAAACGAGTGATTTGGACGGCGCCGTCCACAAAAGTCCGAGTTCCCACACAGAACCCTGGCTGTGGTGAGATGAACCGCCGTATCGGGTTTACTTAGCAAAGGGTCGGTGTGGGTTGCGATTTGGTGGGTCCCCTGGGCAGGATGATCGGGTTGGTCTCAACGGTAGTGGTAGCAATTGACGGCCGGCTAGGAATCACCGAATCGAAACCAGGCGGAAGCTGGTTTCACCGAAAGAAAGAACGTGTGCGAGGTTTAATATAAAACTGCATTTCTAAAAAACATAAGCAAGCCTCGATGGCGCAGTCGGTAGCGCGTAGGTCTCATAGCATTCCGACTCCCAGTCTGCTGGGCGGAGCCATCCTAAGGTCGTGAGTTCGATCCTCACTCGGGGCACATATTTTGGTGCCTTTCCTAAAGCTGGGGATGGTAGCCTGGAGATATTGCCATGTGCCTGACTCTTTTGCTGTTAGCTTTTGCCTTTCGCGACTCAATTGCTGTTAGTGTTAGCGTTTCTCATGACTCTTCCTCTTAGCTTTTGGCTTCCTATAACTCGCAGACCCATTGCCGGGACAGGTAGGGTTGGACATATTGTCGCAGCTCTCATTCTGACAGCTAAGGCTTGTGTTGGTAATATTTTGCTGCAATATGGTACGTCCCGCATGGGTAAGAACCGAACCAATAGTGTGCTGCAATAGTGCTACCGGTATAACTCTGCTAGCCTGTACTGCAAGTCTGCAGGGACTTAATGGATCCTTCCGTGTCAGCAACTTGTCGGAGCAACAATTGCAGATTGTGCTGGCAATATGAAACCAGCCAAGGATTGGCCAGTGCTGTCGCGTACAACAAAACACAATATGGTAGTTGTCGTCGCGGAACCCTGTTCTGGTTGCAATATTCACGTGACCTGGGAGAGCAGGAATCTGCACAGCGAAGCATACATTCACAGGGTCAGGTTTTGCAGTGCCAGGTCACATCACATCAAAAGCCCTTCCATGCACCCTCAAGCAACTAAATCCTCAAGCCTTGTTGAGACAACAAGGACCAGAAAGAAACCTTTCCCCTGATCCTTCTTCACTTATCACATACGCTTTCCCTTGCCCACCTTTCAAGCAGCAGCGCTATTGGCAACGATTTCTGCCAACGTTGCCGCTGCAAAGACGAGGAAGAGAGTGCCTCCCACGTAGGCCACGGTCTGTTGAAACGTGATCATGGTCCGAAAGGGGAGACGGCACAAAGGGAAGGACCAATTGATTACTGGGAATAAATAATCCAGCTGGTTTGGCTTTAAAGATGAGGAAGAGAGTGCCTCCCACGAAGGCAACAGCTGTGAAGCACTGTCTGTCGGGAAGCACGAAGTTTCCGCATACGAAGAGAGCAGGGGTAGACAAACAATGGGAGTATGATTCCAGCTAATTTGGCTGCCCAGGGACAAGAAGAGAGTGCCATTCACGTACCTCCCATCCCATTGCATGTTGGCAACAACCAGACTTACCTTCTCGGAGATGTCCCAAGTCCGCGTACCTGGTCAGATGTATTTGAAGAGAAATGACTTGCCAGCACTGCCTCTCACCAACAACAACGACGACCACACGTACCTTCTCAGAGATGTATTTGGAAAGGAATGACCCGCCCAGCACTGCCAAAGACATTGTTATGACCGACTTGTTACCATGACAACCACACGTACCTTCTCAGAGATGTATTTGGAAAGGAATGACCCGCCCAGCACTGCCAAAGACATTGTTATAGCCGACTTGTTACCATGACAACCACACGTAACTTCTCAGAGATGTATTTGGAAAGGAATGACCCGCCCAGCACTGCCAAAGACATTGTTATAGCCGACTTGTTACCATGACAACCACACGTACCTTCTCAGAGATGTATTTGGAAAGGAATGACCCGCCCAGCACTGCCAAAGACATTGTTATAGCCGACTTGTTACCATGACAACCACACTTACCTTCTCAGAGATGTATTTGGAAAGGAATGAACCGCCCAACACTGCCATCTGCTCAAGGAGCACGGTGGGGGAGCGGCAGGTGGTGGGGGGGTGTGATGTGCAAGTCAAGGAGTTAGCGTAGCATAAGGGGAATTATTGGAAGGAAATGATAGGAATGGAGGAGAATGGGAATTGAGAGATGACAAAAGGTGTAATGATTGGAAGAAAGGAAGGTATCGAGTGGCAGGGGGATTTATGGTCACACCCTGAGCTGCCACTGCTCCTGAGACCATCCTCTGTGTGTGTTTGTGTGTGTGTGTGTGTGTGTGTGTGTGTGTGTGAGAGAGAGAGTGTGTGTGTGTGTGTGTGTGTGTGTGTGTGTGTGTGTGTGTGTGATTGTGTGCGCGTGTGTGTGTGCGCGCGCGCGCGTGTATGTTGTGTGTATTATGGCATAAAAAACAGCATGGCAACTCACCACTGTTGCCACCCCATGAGCCGCCACTGCTCCTGTGACCACTCCTGCTGGGGATGATGCTGCCGCCAGGGCTGATGTGGGGGAGACGAAGAGAGGCAAGGGAGAGATCAATGAGAAAAAAAGGAAGGGAGGAAAGGGGCGGGTGGGATGCACGCATGGTGGTCCGTATCCTGGGACCACTCCCGCTGGGGATGATGCAGCCGCGTGGGCTGATGGGAGTGGGGGCAGGGAGAGGGAGGGGAGAGTTGGATGAGGATAGGGAGGGAGGGAAGAATGGGTTGGGTGTGGAATGCATGATGGTCCGACTCCTGGGACCACTCCCGATGGGGACGATACTGCCGCCAAACGAACAGGAAGAGACTCACGTTTATGAGGGAACCCATCAATGCAGGCTGCGCAGAGAAGGACTCTCATCAATGGTGGAGAAGAAGGATTTGTCTCCCCTCTCGGATGTGAACACGAGAGCAAACCCCGACGCCAGCACTGCCAGAGATGCGATTCCGTGCGATTCTCCCTCTTTTTCCCTCCCCATCCTCCCCATTCCTACCCCTTCCCTCCATCCACCCGCGCGTTCCTATGTGAACCCATGCGCAGAGTAGGAGTCTCACCAATGGTGGAGAAGAAGGATTTGTCAGCCCACCCGGCTGTGAACACCAGAGAAAATACCAACGCCAGCACTGCCAGGGAGATGAGACCTCGTCGGCCCCCTCTCTCCCCCCTCACTTCCGCTCACACTCCCCATTTCCCCATGTGCAGTCTGCCTCAGCTCACCTATGGTGGAGAAGAATGACTTGTCGCCCCACTCGGCTGTGAACACGAGAGCAAACACCGACGCCAGCACTGCCAGTGAAATGCCCCCTTCCGTGGCCTCTGCTGCGTTCAGCCCTGCCACTGCCTTCTCTGCCTGGTGGGATGGATGCGAGGGAAAGTGCAGAAGGGGGTCTGAAGCTGAGTGGTGCAGGAAAGACATGACCGAGGACATGTCTTCTCGCCTTATCAAGAGTCAAGACTCGCTCTCGTCTTCTCACCATTCTCTCCAGTCCTTACCAGAAAACAAGACGAGAAAGTGTGGCACGGAGACAGTTTTATCATCATCCTTTCCTGTCTTCACGCCACTCTTTCGCGTCTTATCACCACTCCATCTCGCCTTATCACCACTCCTTCACGTCCCGTCACAAAATCTCACCACCGTTTCTCACCTCCTGCTGCTCCTCCTCTGCCTTTGCATCCATGCCTGCTGCGTCCCTCAGTGTAGAGAGACCGAAGAAGAGCTGCGGAAAAGAAGAGAGGAGTGGGAGGGAGGTAGGGAGGGGGAAGGGGTTTAGGAGGGGTGGGGGATGGGAGGGGGGGTGTGGGCAGGGGGAGGGAGAGGGACGAGGAATGGAAGGGAGAGGTGAAGTGATAAAATAATTCTCAACTCAGAGCAGCCTCAGAGGTTTACCAAAAAGACAACAGAGGCGAAATCATCCATAGGAAAGTCAAACGAGTTAAGGCGTTTTCAAAAACGACCCGAAAGGCCGAACAATAAACTAGCAGAATACTCGTGCGAAGCACTGCAAGAGAGAGCCTTACCAGCAGAACGACAGAAGCGACATCATCCAGAGGGAAGTCAAACGAGCCGAAGCTGCAACAGGGAACAAGGAAACACACACAGAGCGTCTTTTATGCATATACAAGGAACCGGGCGGCCCGGATACACATAATGTGTGGCAGAATGGTGGATGGACGGACGGATGGATGTAGACAGCAGAGCATTGTGGCATGATTGTGGCATTGTGGGTGACACATGGAATGGAAGCAGCAGCAGATGGTTGGCTGCTGGTCGTGATAGCAGTCGAGTGTTTTGGGGAATGGATTTGTGAGAATTCTCAAAAATCACTATGAATGCTACAATATCGTGGTGGGATGAACCAACAGTGGAGAAACGGCTGGCATGAGAACCTTACGCAGGAAGAAGTTCGTCTGCGTAGTGGAAAATTCGGCCCAGAGCCACCGACAGGACCGTCATGACGCTGAGGGCAAGTTGGGGGAGGGGGAGGGGGGGGGGGTGGGCGCGGGAAGAGGGATAAGAGCAGCGAGAAACGGAGACGGAGGCGTGAGGAGCAAGCGGATGGAGCTCGTAGTGGAAGATTCAATCCAGAGCCACGGACAGGACGGTCATGACACTGAGCGGGACAACAGGGGGTCAGCAAGAGGAGGATGAGTAGCAAGGAGAAAGGGGAAAAACACAGCAAGTGCGTAAGTGGCTTTGTGCATTGCTTGGTTCGGTGGATCTACACCACACTCAGGCAAGGGCTTTAGAGGTGCCTGTGCCGTGGGTGTTTTCTTAGTCAGCACAAGCGCACTCTCAAACATGCCGCAAAGTTAATAGCATAGGCACATTCCAAACACTCACGCGAGCGCGCCGAAGGTGCCTGCGAATACCTCCACATTGGGTCGTCTCGTGGCCAGCACAGCCTGATCAGGAATTCAGTGGTGGGGAAGGGGGGGAGGGGGGGGGGGAGGGGAGAGGGGAAAGAGACGGGGGTGTTTGGAGAGTCTGATGCGCACACGTGTGCGAGTTCATTCTGTTTGCTCAGAGACGACAGGGAACGAGGTCATTTTGGGTTAACAAAGCGAGGCCTCCATCTGGTGGTTATTTGAACTGGTTGTTTACCGCCTAGACGGCGGCCTGGCTGATATCCTAGTGAACACCTTACCGCGATGAAGAATGTCTTGTCGCCGATTTCAGAGAAGAGGACTAGAAGAAAGGCCTGAACACATAACGACGGAGTGGCAGGAAAAACACACTCAGGCAGAACCAACGAAGAGAAACGGGCCGGAAATGACCGTAACGAAGGAATTATACACGTTTTTCTTTTCCCTCTCCTTCTTTTGTTACTCCATCAAAGTCTGTCTATAATTCATTATGAAATCCGGCCGCACTCACCGAGGCGAATCCAGCCTGGAAGTCGGCGAGATCCAAAATGCTGCTGACGTCGGCTGGGACGGCAGCCGAAGCGGCGATGACGTCAGCTGTAGCTGCTGCTGCAGCCGTTTCTGGCGAGGCAAGGCCTAGCAAGGAAAGAGACAATGCACCTACAGCTGCTGCGAGGGAGGCAGACGCGACAAGGGAAGGCGACAGAGCTGAAGTTGACGGGAAAAGACCAGATGGAATTGACGGCCATTGAAGGAATCTCTGCTGCGAATGGCTTCTGATTGATGGCGTTTGTTTTCCTTGCTCAAGGAGCCGAACGTCTTCAACGGTCGAGTCACATTCTGTTCTCCCTCCGTTTATTCGGCAGGAGCTTTGCACGGAAACCTTTCTGCTTCGTGAACTAGGTCCGCCGGAAGGTATAAGTGTGTGGGCTCGTGCACTGCTGCTTTCCACAGACTTGAACGCGGAACACGGCTTTTGTTGGACGCTACCAGCTGGCGCTCTGGCATTGGAGGTTGAGCACGCAGACACTGAGCAACGAGAGACTGTGCTTAGAGATTTGACTGGCACCATAGTCGAGCCGCTGACAGCAGCTAAGCTGGCCATTTGGAATGTATGGTCTTTCCAAAGAACGCGAGAAAAAAAGCGAGACGGCCTGGTCTCGCAACTGGCCTACAAACTCGGTCCCTTTAACCGCGCTAACGGCTCAATATTGAAGTATAACGAGCCTAGAAGGAAACACACGTCCACGCTCCTGTGGTGCACACGTTTTGCTCGGCTAATAGAGCAACAGGATATGCTCCTCCAACCCAAGGAGAATGGAGGATATTCAAGCCGAAAGAGGAAGAGGAATGAAGGGATTTCTCGTTTTCATCTGCCCTTTCTCGTTCCTTTGATCAGTCTCGTAGCGTGGTTCAATTCCAGGCCAGGACTAGAAATCGGAAAAGGGGATGAGGGCATGACGTGTCAACGGGTGACTTATGCTCGCATCTATGGCTCCTGGTGTCCTGGCCTGTGGGAAAAGTTCAAGGTCAGCGAATCGGACGGCTGCGCTGGCGATGGGACGATTGGTGCTCGGGAGAGTTGACCAATTGCGGGCTTTGGTTGGGCGCTGGTTGGATGGTGGTCCCAATCTGCTTGTGCTTTTCCTCCCGCAAGAATCTTCGTTGTGTTGTTGGTCATGCGATAGCGAGGGGTCGTCGTAGCCAACCGTGATAGGTCAGTCATGGTCGACCACATCACTGGGCGAAAAATGAGTGCTGGTTATGTATATGTTCTTTTCGCACCACCCCCTTCCACTTCTCATATCCAGCACAAGACGCCCCGTTAGAATGACAAGAGAGGATCGAGTGGGAAAGGTACTTCCACTCGAGGGAAAATGCGGTGATCAGTGAGCTTCTGTTGCTCCATGAGCATGTTCCACCTGCGAGTACTGCGATCCTTCGTTTCCTCAACTGGCTTCTTTCGCTTCATGGCGGCAGATTTACTTCATTATGGACGCTGAACCTTGTTACTAGCTCTTCGCGGAGAGTAGCGTGGCATAGTCGTCAGGCTTCTGGTAGCTCGCCACCTGTCATTTCGTTTCGCGCAATTTAGTCTGGTGCGCAACAGTCCAAACCAGCGGTGACGCAAGCGACGTTCTTGACCATGAGTCCCCTCATGCAATATCTGAACGGTGGACAAATAACCAGGAGTCTCTTGATTTCTAAGTAAACACCCCAGGAGGAATAATGACCCTATTTAATCTCTGCGCTATAAAGCAAAGATATTTATCCCTTCCTCCAATGTCACCACCAATCACCTGGCCTGGAGTGCCAACATGCAAAGACCTACCAGAATTCACAGTCACCGTATTGCTTCCCGGTCCCGGCGGAAGAAAAAACATGTAAAGCCCAAGCACTGTACGGAAAAAGCGGAGCTTAGAATTCAAAGTTGCCTCGCTGAAAAAGCCAAACGCCCACTTCTCCATGAGCATGTGGAACTGCATCAGCTTCACTAGCTTTGCGCCCGTTAGTTGGTTGCGGATGTTAGCCGGGAGAGCACTGAACGCGGCGTCTGGAGGTAACAGGAAGGTGATAGACTGTCGATCCGCATACCTCGCAATCATGGGATCAAGTCCTGAAGAGGTATGAATCACGAACGCCAGCATAAGCATGGTGATGCAATCAGGTTTCAACCAAACCACTTGTTTCAACATGCACACATGATGCCGCGTGAAGCTTAGCAAAATCTTGTTTACCTGTTCGTTTGAAGTGGATCATAAAGATCGTGAACTTCTTAGCACCCACAATGTCATTGGAAATGCCATTCAGCTCTCTCCTTCCTGGACCCAAGGCCGGCTTGGGAGCTGGTTTGCCACCTTCGCCCCGTTGCATGCAATTTAGAAGCAAGAGGAGGACAATTATCCATCGTTTGGCGATGCAATGGAGAAAGAAAGGCTTTTGCAAGGTTGTTGTCATTTCGCTCATGCTGTTCATCACGTTGATGCTGAGTGCCTGGAACTATTTGGTCACAATACCTGTGTGGTTCAAAAGGTATGTACTACATGCACACTCAGGGAGCTCAGTTTCCTAACTTAAGGCTGTATAAAGTTTTCCAGCCATAAGTATGCGGAGCCTGGTTGTGGATAGAGAAGAGAGTCCCGTACTTCCAGCGAAATGTAACCGTCTCAACTTTCAACCGCCCACGTTCAGGACGCCCCAACGTACTACATTCCCTTTCGCTTGCTGGTCAGCCCCCGTTTCAATCACAAACCAGCGACCCTTCGCACCTCCATTGTGCAGTGAGGCACCAGCACCGCCTATGTCATCCTTTAGTGCCACTGATACACATCCAAAATTTCCAACTCGGAAATCCCAGGACAGGCACAGGATATGACGTCGTGCTACTACGTCTGCCTCTCCAGCCGCACATTCCATGTGCGGCGGAAGCTGTGGCGAAGGGGGTGGACGTTTCTAACGGCAAAAGGAAAAAATACATTTCTTGCCTCGCCGACGTAGCAGCAATGATAGAAATAATGCGTCATTCCACAAGCCGCCTCCGTCGCTAAGGTTGGTAGCAGTTACGAGCACAGGGTGTTGACTCGAGTCTTGGGAAAAGTTCACCATGGGGCAAGTTGCGAGAACTGTAGCTCAGGCGGCTTCAGTCCAGCGCATCAGGCCTGCTTAACACACACGTACTGTCTCCTACTTTTTACTTCCTCAAGTCGAATCTCTGCGTCGAAATTTTGGAACTGTAAGTTGCAGTAACTCCCAAGCCGCGGGGCGTCCCTATGGCTGCGGGATTATGGGAAATGACTCCTATGATGAGTAGGGCAGAGACCTCTGTAGAACAACCGCCTCAGAAGAAAATAACGACCTACTTCTCCAACTTTCATGCACGATGCTGCTGGTTGCAGATTTTGACCCGACAGAACGTGATTGGCAAGAGGCAGATCACGATGCGAGGCATCAACGCAGGGGGGACCAGCATTTATTCCTGCACGCACTTGAACTCAGTAGCGAATATGGTTATTTTACAATTTGAAATGACTTTACACAGTTTTGAGTGATTTTTAAGCGCGTACACAGTTAGGGGCCAGAAAGCATTCGTCACCACCGAATTCCTCCACGCGGATTCAATCCGTGGCTCTCGAGGGCACAAACAAAAGCGGGAAATGCTGCGATTGGTGGAGCTGAAAAGGTGGCACAGCAGAAAAGTGAATCCGCGGTGCTCCCCATCACTCCACAAATAGGTTCTTAGCTCCTGGGCCTGGTCTTTCAGCTAACTTAGAAGCCTGTCTAAGTACCGCCATTGCTATAATGCGCTGACGAACTATACTGTCTGGTCGTTGGCGCGAGTCGCAACGGTAGATCGTCCAGGGAAGTGGCCAATCGAGTGTGACACTCTCCGGCTAAAAGGAACACGCCCTTGCTCTTGATGAAAAGAAGCCATGCCAGCAAATAGCTGAATGCGTACGGGAACGACTTCTCAAATGCGAATCTGTGAATCTAGGCACTCTAATATTTGCGCGTAAGTCTGACTTTTTTTTTGGCCTCCTGGGCCGAGCCAAGAGCTTTATTCCGATTCCATTCCCTATTTAGTGTCACTGTCCGCCATGGCGACAGTCACGGCTTTCTCATATCCTCCTGTGAGGCATAGTCCTACATTCTCGCCACAATCCTCCTCTCTACTCGCTGATTCCTCTACAGGTCCAGCATCCCGCCCTACACGTTTCAAGCCATTTTGTGCTCCTTTAGAACCAGGAACTCGCATAAATAGAATTAACCAATCACAATATCCGGATGCTAGAAGATCAACATTATTTCGCCACGTGGCCTCTCGAGCAAATCGACGAGATTCAAAAGGGAATCAGGAGGAGGATGAGGATCTCGGAAGCTTCTGGGAAGGCGAGGAGGGTCAGCAGAAAATGGACGAGATCGAGGAGCTTAAAGCCATCCTTAGAGAGCGCAAGGCACTAGAGAAAGAACTAGACGAAGCCGAAGAGGAAGCGAGACAAGCCGCTGCCGCTGCTGCTGCTGCAGGAGGAGGGGGAGGACCGGGAGGAGCGGGAGGAGCGGGAGGATCAGCGGAGATTGGGGAAGACGGGTTGACCGCGGAGCAGCGTGCGGAGCGGAAGGCGGAGAAGCTGCGGGAGCTGCTGGCGAAGCGCGCGCAGGAGCAGGCGGAGAAGCGGCGCGAGGCGGCGGAGCTGTTCGCGTTCGGGCAGCAGGCGTACGGGCGCGGCGTGTACGACAAGAGCGTGGCGATCCTCGAGCAGGCTCTGGGAAACGTAGAGTTCACGTCGAAGCTTGCTGGCGAGGTTAGTCAGTTTCTGTTTGCGTTAAGTGAATATAGCCTGGCCCGCTCCAGGAACTGGACGAGAGCGTGGCGATCCTCGAGCAGGCTCTGGGAAACGTGGAATTCACGTCGAAGCTAGCTGGAGAGGTCAGTCGTGCACTTGATTTCGTGCACTTTGCCTTGGGCGGGCGTTCCCTTGAGCACACATTGCCTTCTGAGTCCCCTCACAACCGGACGAGAGCGTGGCGATCCTCGAGCAGGCTCTTGGGGAACGTGGAATTCACGTCGAAACTAGCCGGAGAGGTTTGTCAGTTCCTGTTTGTGTTTAGTGATTATTGCCTGGCCCGCTCCAGGGACTGGACAAGAGTGTGGCGAAAGATTCGGCCCTTCCAGGTTCTGTCTTTCTGGGTTCTACCTTTGGCGCACATTGCCTTCGCCTGCTCCCAGCACTGGACAAGAGCGTGGCGATCCTCGAGCAGGCTCTGAACAACGTAGAATTCACGTCGAAGCTTGCTGGCGAGGTATGACGCCAGCCGGCCGAAACGCGCGTACGCTCAGGTTTGAATGATATTTTTCTTACCTACTAAGTCCCTACTAAGCCTAAGCTCAGCCTAGAGGAGGTTAAGGACGAGTTATCTAAGGACGAGTTACCTGTTGGATCCAGGTCGAATCTGTTTTTCTATGCTGGCGAGGTATGACCTGAGCAAAAGGGAGCACAGATCCGACCTTCCTCAGGTTGAACCTCCCTGGGTTAGACCTTTTGAGGCGCCTCAGAAGAGGTATGTTCTAAGCAAATGGGAGCACTGGTTCGACCTTCCTCAGGTTGAACCTCCCTGGGTTAGACCTCCCCAGGATGGACCTTCGTTTTATTGTCGCGTGAAGGGCATCAAGGGAGGCGGCGGAGCTGTTGGCGTTCGGGCAGCAGGCGTACGGGCGGGCGGCGCACTTTGTTGGGTGTTTTGAGACGTCTCAAAACGGGCGGGCAGGCATACGGGCGGGCGACGCACTTTTTTGGGCAGATGCCTGAACGCCTAGCGCAGTACCGCAAGCTGGAGAGCAACCACCCCATGCCCGCCCTCTCCCCGCCCCTCTCCCCTTTCCTTCTCCCCATTCAGTTCCAACTCTGGCTAGCCATGGCCTACGATGCCAATGGTCAGCGCCCTGAATGCACTGTACCGCAAGCTTGAGAGCAACCACCCCTTAGCTTAGCCCATCATCCCTCGTCGCCATCTCCCCGCTCCCCATGCAGATCCAACTCTGGCTTGCAATGGCATATGATGCCAATGGGCAGAGGCCTGAATGCCTGGCGCTCTGTTGCAAGCTGGAGAGCAACCACCCCATGCCCGCCCTCCCCCCGCCCCCCTGCCCCGTTCCCCATCCAACCACCAGAGTGCTTGGCGCTCTATCGCAAGCTGGAGAGCAACCACCCCATGCCCGCCATTCGCAACCAGGCTGCCAACATGCGGTACATTGCGGCGGCTGCCTCTAGTGCACCCATCCGCACCCCTCCCTGCTCCTTCTCCTCTCCCCCTACCCAGATCCAATTGTGGCTGGCGATGACATATGATGCCAACGGACAGAGGCCAGAGTGCCTGGCTCTGTACCGCAAGCTGGAGAGCAACCACCCCATGCCCGCCCTCCCCCCGCCCCTTTCCCCTTCCCTTCTCCCCTGTGCAGATCCAGCTCTGGCTGGCTATGGCCTACGATGCCAACGGTCAGCGCCCTGAATGCCTGGCGCTCTACCGCAAGCTGGAGAGCAACCACCCCATGCCCGCCTGTCCTTGTTCCCCTCCCCCGTCCACTTGCTCCCGTCCTTCATTCCCCCATGCAGATCCAACTCTGGCTGGCAATGGCGTATGACGCTAATGGGCAACGCCCAGAGTGTCTCGCTCTGTACCGCAAGCTGGAGAGCAACCACCCCATGCCCGCCATTCGCAACCAGGCCGCTAACATGCGGTACATTGCAGAGGCGCCCAAGCTGAAGCTGTCCCCCGATGAGATCCTCAAAGTGCCCATACTCGACAAGGATAACAACAGGTACGCAGGCGATGGAGAGAGGAAGCGAGGGGTGGGTAGGTGTGTGGGGGTTTAATAGGCAACCATGCTGCCAACATGCGGTGGATCGCAGAGGCTCCCAAGCTGAAGCTGTCCCCTGATGAGATCCTGAAAGTACCCATTCTTGACAAGGACAACAACAGGTGAGGCGTGGTGGTGGTGGTGTGACTGGGTGAATGTGTTAAGACCATGCAAACAGGCAAGCAGGCCGCTAACATACGGTGCATCGCAGAGGCGCCCAAGCTAAAGCTGTCGCCCGATGAGATCCTCAAAGTGCCGATCCTCGACAAGGATAACAACAGGTGAGTGGAGGATGGGGAGGAAGTGTGAGGTGGGTGGGTGGGTGGTTGGGGGGAGGATAGGCAAGCTGAAGGCTGCCAACATGCGGTACATTGCAGAGGCGCCCAAGCTGAAGCTGTCCCCTGATGAGATCCTCAAAGTGCCCATTCTTGACAAGGACAACAACAGTTGAGCAGTGGACAGAGAGGGGAAGCGTGGGGTGGTTGGGGGGAGGATAGGCAAGCTGAGATGAGAGAGACGGCCCAAGCTCTGCGCACACTTTACCACTTCAAGGTTCCCCCCCTCCTTCCTCTTCTCCCCCCACTTCTTCTCCCCCCACCTCTTCTCCCCCCACCTCTTCTTCCCCCAGCTCTGGGCGCACGTGGAGTCAGATGGTGACTGAGACACGGCCCAAGCGCATAAAGAAGCTAAAAAACTCAGGGTCGAGGGACTATATGGATGACCTCATGTCGTTTCAGGCCCACTGCACCTAACGCCCTCTGCGCAGACCTCTCCTCTTACAAGTGCCAGGCCTAACTTGACTGCCCATACTCCGTCCCCCTCCCTATCTCCACGCCCCCAACCTCCTCCTTCTGCAGTTCTGGGCGCACGTGGAGTCAGATAGTGACTGAGAGGCGGCCCAAGCTCAGCCCACACTTCTTCACTCAAATTTCCTGTTCCCACCCTCCCCTCCTCCCCCTCCACGCCCTCAAATTCAGCTCTGGGCGCACGTGGAGTCAGATGGTGACAGAGAGACGGCCCAAGCGTATCAAGAAGCTCAAAAACTCAGGGTCGAGGGACTATATGGATGACCTTATGTCGTTCAAGCCACCCAGGTGGGAGAAGAGCCCTTACTTCTGGGTTGCCTTCTCGGTTTGGCTTACCATGGTGGGCGTTGCTCTCATGTTTCAAGACTAGGGCTTATAACGGGGCAGTGTTGTAGTGAACCTTGGGTCGTGGGATCATTTCAATAGATGACCTCAGCCATGTCGATTGGACTTCTGGTCAGTAAAAGGTCATCGATGTCATTCACGCGTCCAAGGTTAGAGAGACCTGACTTGTGGGAACCAACCCCCCTTATTGTGCACATTGCACTAGTGTTGGAACGCATTGGCATGTACGACCATGTTTATTGGTTGTATTTATGTTTTCCCTAACAGGTGTGTTTTTATCAGCCAACATTCTCAAATGGACTGGTGCGCATGAAGGACGAGATCATGTTACATGTATTCTTAAAAATACCATAGTCTGAACTGGACGAATACGACTTGAGAATGTTATTGCGCACTCGTTCACGCTATGCATTTATCGACGCTGTTTCATGTCGCGTACAGCGAAGACATCCAAGAATTCCAGGATGATCAGGATTCAGACACAGCCTTGAAACTAGTTTGGCAGTTCTTTTGTCACTACCAATCGCTCTCTTCCAGTACATCGCGTTAGAAATCTCGTAATCGAAGCCTCCTTTTGTGGGTTCCATTTTTGTTGTCGAAGAGTTTCATCCAATTCAGATTACCGGTGTGTATGGATGAGATATCTTGCTCCGCCGGTATACGTTCGGATGATGCAACAGATTCGCCGACGCAGAATCAGCAGTCCGAGCTGGTTCGGCAGCAGCTTCGGTGCCGAGGCTTGGAGCAGTTTCGCGTAGGTCGAGTGTCCTCGGTATACGTGGTCCCTGAGTACCTTACAAAGCAGGAAGAGCAACTGCTGATGTCACAGGTGAGCAGATTCACAGCTGTAAATTTAGGTTTGCTGTCTTTAACTTTTGTGATTACACGCTGACACCTCTTTCTGGCGTTCCGCCACGTCATCCCGGCCATCAGGTTGCGTCAGCACCAGTCACGAAGTGGAAGAATGTCACTGGTAGAAGATTGCAGAACTGGGGTGAGCGGCTAGGAATAGATTGGGTGGGTGTAAGGGAAAAAAGGGCACGGGATGAATATTTATTTTATTGTGCCACTCTGCCGCCTTATGTCTGCTGCAGGTTGTCGAGTTTCTTTTTCCATGGTCTTTAGAGTAGACTCCTTAGAAGGGTAAACGTAAGTCCAACAGGGTAAACTTAAGGTTGTTGAGTTTTTTTTTCCTTTGTCTTGAGAGTAAACTCCTTAGTAGGGTACATCTAAGTCCATTATCTCTCTTTCCATGTGTCCTTATCTCTGCTGCAGGCGGCGTGGTGCATGATAAGGGGCTCATAGCTCAACCGTGTGAGTGTGATTATGATTGGGAGGGTGTGATTATAACCGTATGAGTTTGATCATAACTGCGTGGGCGTGATTATAACTGGGTGGGTGTGATTATAACTGGGTGGTTGTGATTATAATTTGGTATGTGTGATAATAACTGGTTGGCTGTGATTCCGAGCCGGTGGGTGTGAAAATGACCTTGCCATTTTTTTTTTAACCTTTCTTCCTTCTTCATCCAGCTCACAACCTCTCTCCCATCTCACATTCCGTCAACCTTTCGTGCGCTACCTATATCTTTTCTCGTCCCTGCATGCTCTATTGAGTTGACTCAAAAGTCATTCCATTAACCTTTCGTGCGCTACCTATCTCTTGTGCCATCCCTGCGTGCTCTCAACTCGCCATACCTGTGTGCTCTCAACTCGCCATACCTGTGTGCTCTCAACTCGCCATACCTGTGTGCTCTCAACTCGCCATCCCTGCATCCTCTCCCACCCCCCAATCTCTTATCTCAATCAGTGCCACAGTGGCTACAGAGCTTCTCATCTCACCCTCCCTGCGTGCTGATGTCCATGCGTGCCCTCCCGTTGTCTTATCTCAATCAGTGCCTCAGTGGCTACAGAGCTTCTCATCTCACCCTCCCTGCGTGCTGATGTCCCTGCGTGCTTTCCCGTTGTCTTATCTCAATCAGTGCCACAGTGGCTATAGTGCTTCACAGCCCGCCTCTCTTCTTGAGGCGCCTCAAGAACATGCTCTTGCAACCTCCCATCCCTGCGTGCTCTCCCGTTGTCTTATCTCGATCAGTGCCACAGTGTGGCTACAGAGCTTCACATCTCGCCTCTCTGTTTGAGCGCCTCAAGAACATGCTCTTTCAAAAGCCAACCCATGCGTGCTCTCCCAATGTCCTGTCTCAATGCCTTACCACAATCAGTGCCGCAGTGGCTACAGAGCTTCACATCTCGCCTCTCTGCTGAGCTCAACAGCGTCTTCCCCTCCCCCATCAACCACGTGCTCGTGAATGAGTACCAGGAAGGACAGGGCATCATGGTGAGTGGAGTGCCAGTGGTGTGTACGAATGGTGATCTCTAATAGTAGCTCCTCTCTTCGCCTCTCTGCTGACCTCAGCAGCGTCTTCCCCTCCCCCATCAACCACGTGCTCGTGAACGAGTACCAGGAAGGGCAAGGCATTATGGTGAGTGGAGTGCCAGGGGTGGGCACAAAAGGTGTGCTGCAGCAGTAGCTGCTCTCCCCTCCCCCGTCAACCACGTGCTCGTGAACGAGTACCAGGAAGGGCAAGGCATCGTGGTGAGTTAGTGGTGTGAGTGGAGTGGAAACAGTGTGAGTCATTATCCCGTCCCCTCCCCCATCAACCACGTGCTTGCGAATGAGTATCATGAAGGGCAGGGCATCATGGTGAGTGGAGAGACAAGAGACCATACCATTTTATTTCCTCCCTCAATACTACACCAGCAAGGTGCCGTTGTTTCAGTACATGGAAGCACTGATTGTCAACACCTAGTCGTCCCACCTTCCTTTCCCTGCTCTCCCGCTCTCTCTCCCCTCCCGCAGCCACACCAGGACGGCCCGGCCTACTTCCCCTGTGTGGCCATACTCTCTCTCAGCCTGCCTGGAACCATGACATTCTCTCCTCACCAGAGGTCGAGGATGCTTGTGAAGGGGCTTCAATGCACACCTCTCCTTCCTCTCCCACCCCCAGCCACACCAGGACGGCCCAGCATACTTCCCCTGTGTGGCCATACTCTCTCTCGGCCTGCCTGGAACCATGGCGTTTTCTCCGCACCAGAGGTCGAGGATGCTTGTGAAGGGGCTTCAATGCACACCTCTCCTTCCTCTCCCACCCCCAGCCACACCAGGACGGCCCAGCATGCTTCCCCTGTGTGGCCATACTCTCTCTCGGCCTGCCTGGAACCATGGCGTTTTCTCCGCACCAGAGGTCGAGGATGCTTGTGAAGGGGCTTCAATGCACACCTCTCCTGCCTCTCCCACCCCCAGCCACACCAGGACGGCCCAGCATACTTCCCCTGTGTGGCCATACTCTCTCTCGGCCTGCCTGGAACCATGGCGTTTTCTCCGCACCAGAGGTCGAGGATGCTTGTGAAGGGGCTTCAATGCACACCTCTCCTTCCTCTCCCACCCCCAGCCACACCAGGACGGCCCAGCATACTTCCCCTGTGTGGCCATACTCTCTCTCGGCCTGCCTGGAACCATGGCGTTTTCTCCGCACCAGAGGCTGCTGGAAGGCAGCAGGGAGGGCAGCCGAGAGTGCATCCGAGAGAGCAGCGAGGGTGCTTGTGAGGAGGCTTTGGCTTCAAAGCACACGCAGCACCGACAGCTTCTGGAGAGCAGCAGAGACGAGCGATTTGGTGGGGCCGAGATGGCAGGAGATGGGGGGGATGAAACAGGACGAGAAGGGGCAGGCGCACGGGGATTGTCCGGGGATGCAGTGGTGATGAGGGAGCGTGTGGTTCTACCTCCTCGCAGCCTTCTTGTGTTCAAGGATCAAGCGTACACAGGTGATCGGGGGTGGTGAGGGGCAGGATAGTGGGGTTTGTCTGGGGATGCAGTGGTGATGAGGGAGAGTGTGTCTTTGCCTCCTTGAAGCCTGCTCGTGTTCAAGGATGAAGCGTACACAGGTGAGCTGGACGCTTGAAAGGGTGTGTTTTCCTTAGGCAATAGTAGCAATGCTAGAGCCACCTGGTACTGATGTGTTGAAGGGGGGAGTGCGGCTCGCCCTGTGCCGGTGTTCAAGTATCAAGCATACACAGGTGAGCTGAACAAGCGAAAGGGGTTAGGGGGAGAAGGGGAGCAGGGCTGATTTAAGGCAAGAGGGGGATGCCATTGCAGGATGACCTGGCGAAATGGCAGGGGGCGCTTCAGTGCTACTAGACCACCACCGTGTAATGTCAAGCATGTCGGGGAGGGGTGCCTGATGCGATTGCAGGTTGGGAAAAGACGGGAATACGACTGCACATCAGATTGAGATGTCCCTACGTGCGATGTGTAACACCCTTTTGTTCCTTGTTTCGTTTTTGCACTACTAGATTACCTTCATGCGGCTACAGCCTTGACGTCAAGCGAAGCTGTTCCAGCTGAATTTCCTTCATTAAGCAATCCCGTCCGCATATCTTTGACATGTAGATTCGTGCCTCGTACCATGAAAGCCATTTTCAAGATGAGGTGAATTCAGTGTCACCTTCATAAGTCTTATTCATAACACTAAACCCGAAACCCTAAAGCCATTTTACAGTAAGATTTCTCCAATATGCTGGGCAAATGAGTTGCCAATCCTTTAAGCACATTATTGGGCGGTATAGCTCGTCGCCAAGCATTGAAAGGAGAGTCAAGAGTCAGCTAAACCACAAATGGGACAACTCGAAAACGAGGATATCAAATCTGCCCCATCGATAAATTGCTATCAATCCATCCATTCGGCATTCCCAGTGCTTCGTTTGGCTTCATAGATTCCATCCGTCTAGCCTGTAGTTGCGGGAAGACCGGCACGGACTGGCCACATATTTCCTCTCAATGGCCTCTCTTCGCGCTGCTTCCGCCGCTCTCCTCCCCTCTCCGCCGCTCTCCTGCGAACCTCGCGTCACACTTCCGCGCTCTGTCCCTTCTCCGCTCCTCACCTTCCGCCGTGCCGCCGCTTTTTCGCGACCATCCGTCACCGCCTCTATTAGACATTCTTCCAACGAGGAAACTTCCTCCACCGCGATTCCCGCTAGCTGTGATTGCGTTATATCAGGGAAGGATAGATCGTGCGCCAGTCCCTATCGGGCCGTTAGTGAGAGCGCAAGTCTCACGACTCGGCGCGCGGCTTTAATCGGGCTGTCAGCGGTGATCGCGGCGCAATGCGCGGGTGAAAGCGGAGCAGCGGCAGGAGCAGTAGGGGGGGACGGCAAACAGCGTGGTCTCTCTGTCGAGCAAGTAAAGGTATGACTGAAACGCGTACGATTGAATCGAGTGAACGAGGTGTGCAGTCAACGGAGTCACTTTGCTCCTCTTTCAGTGAATCATCATGCTCAGCATGAGCTTACCTCTAGTACTAATCAGTTTTAATTACACGATTTTGATGGCAGGATATTATCGCACGTGACATTAGTGAGGGCCAGTACTTCGTTACAGGAGACCTCACCGCCTCTATTTATCGCGATGATTGCAGTTGCGCAGATTTCTTATTGTGTGTGCACTATCTTCCTAGAACTGACGGTGTCAGAATGGCTATTCAGGAAAATCACGTGATTTTCAACACCCTATATTGTAGCGCCCCCCTCCGTCCCCCCCCCTCTCCCCACCCTCCCCTTATGGCCTATTTCTTGCTGCAATTTTGTTTCAGTGTGTGATAGCGGTTGAAATGGTAACGACTCTACCACTTCAGGATGTGAACCTTTTCAAACTTCAGTGCTTCTACCTCATCACACCGCTTCTTGTTCACACCCATGAATATCTGAATCTGTACTCCATACAATCTTCCCCTTAAAGGTTCAAAGATCCAACCAATGACACATTCGGATTGGCGCGCTACCTGGCTGCTGTGAGCATTCTCTTCGACCTGGCATTTTCCAAGCAGGAGCTGGTCTCTGTTGCTGCCACCTCACACAGATTTTATACTCCATATAATCCTCCCTGTCACAGGTTCAAGGATCCGACCAATGACACGTCTGGTTTGGCGCGCTACCTGGCTGCTGTGAGCATTCTCTTCGACCCGGCATTTTCCAAGCAGGAGGTGCTCTCCATCGCAGTCACCTCCGACAAATCAGTCACTGCCACGTGGCGGCTTGGCGGGTAAATTCGGGGAAATAGCATTGAGTCATGAATTGTTCAGTCCGCCTCTGCAAATTCTTTGACAGTCAAGGCCCCAGAGAACACTCTGTTTCTCTTCCTTTCTCCTCTTCCCTCCTCTTTGCACCCACTCTCCACCCCTCACATTCCTTGCTCACCTTTTCACCCCGCTCCCCCCCACCCCGCAACATCCTCAACCCACCCACTTGGTGGTTTCCCTTTGTTCTATGGGTTCTGATTGGTTGTCACGATCCATGCAGGTACCTCAAGTTCCCTTGGCAGCCCAGGGTCGAGCCATTTACAGGTACGATCCGAGTTCATTTTGTCATGGAAGTGGGCAATACACCTGTTTTTTGTTTTGTGATGTTTGACTATTTCAACAGTACCATCTTTACCTTTTTGTGCTGCTAATAATGCAGGTTCCACTGTATACGAGCTGGACGACGACAACCAAGTGGCGGTGCACAATGAGACGTGGAGCATATCGCCAATCACTGCACTTATTGAAACCTTCACGCCTACATTTGGCCCCAAACAACTACAGTGACTTCAGATTGTGCAATGTTGTGCACAGATTGTGCACAGTAACTTCAGATGGTGCAATACATTCGAACTCGTCTGTTGTGACTGCTAACACAACCTAGGTAGTGAAAAGTAGTATTCAGTAGCATGAGAAAACGTAAGAAGTATTTTGACTGCAGCTGTGATGTACTGAGTGCTTTGATGACCGATGTACCTAGGTTGTGTCTGTTTTGACTGTAGCGAGTATCAGGATTCATGAGGACCGTCCCCGCCTCCCCCTCCACCAGCCAACACCAGCCTTCGCGACTGGTCTCCGCCAGCTGAGTAACCAACAAGTTCGTCATTAGAGAGCTAGTATCAATAAGAACCCGACTCAATCTTCAATAAACGCTCTTAATCCCAAATAACCGCATTGTAGTGAGCGCTTGGCCTGGTCGCCAACGATTGGGCAAACCAACCAACCAGCATCAACCAAAAGCTCCCTCGGGACTCCACAGGAGGTATTATCGGGATTGCCGAGCGGACTAGGGCCGAGGCGAGAAAATCACGCTGGGTCAGCTCACGAGCTGATTGGCTGATTCAATTGCCTGCTGCGTACGCGGTAGAAGACGCGACGCGATTACTAGCCACGCGTGCAGCACCGTCAGGCTCGGAGTTCCGAACCACCGACTAGGAAGGTAGCTGGTTCAGTGCGTTTCCTCACCATCTGCGTGTGGATTGGGTGTGGTGCTGCTGTAATCGACGCGGACGCGAAGCTGAGCTGTGTCGCATGAACGAGAGTGTAAGAGAGAACGGATGTTGCGTACGGGGACGTTAAGGAGGCGTTCTTACGGCTTACACTGTAGAATCAACAGCAGCGGCAACAGCAGCAACAGTAACAACAGGAGCTTGTAGCCCTCTCATTACTTTCGAATAGTCGTCCTCGTTACAGGCTCCGTCGCCTACTTTTATTAGCACGGCTTCGTCTCAGCCGTTTTCAATACAAAATTGTCCAATTTAACGTTTTTCTAGATATTCTTGATCTTGTAGCGGGGCAGCTATGTCGAAGCAGCCGTCTGCAGCGCTGCCGCCGTACCCGGATCGTTTCTACATCGCGGCGCGGTACGCGGCGATCCCGGGGACGGTGGACATTCCCGAGGGCGCGGGTAACTCCACGCAGTACTCGGACCTCACGTGCCTCGCGCTCTACTCGCTCTACCAGCAGGTGGGATGATCGCAGTTCTACTCATTCTACTACCAGCAGGTGCTGTGCGTGCTGCGTGTTGCGTGGGTCGTGGATCGCCACAGTACCGGGGACGGTGGGTATTCCCGAGGGCGCGGGTAACTCCACGCAGTACTCGGACCTCACGTGCCTCGCACTCTACTCGCTCTACCAGCAGGTGGGTAGCAGCAGGTGCGGTGCGGTTGTGTGGTGTGTGGCGGTGCAACACGGGCATGCATGTGAAAAAGCGACAGTACTCGGACCTCACGTGCCTCGCGCTCTACTCGCTCTACCAGCAGGTGAGTAGCAGCAGGTGTGTACAAGCAGGTGCGGTGCGGTTGTGCTGTGTGTGGTGGTGCAACACGAGCCTGCATGTGAGGGCTACAGCAGTACTCCGACCTCACGTGCCTCGCGCTCTACTCGCTCTACCAGCAGGTGCGTCCGCTGTGGCGTCAGCATGTTGCAGGCAGGCGGTATGTGGGGTGGGCCTGGCCATGCGATGTTGCAATGCCAGCCTGTGGCTGTTGTTTCAGTTCCTGGATCGCTTACAGCCGACCTTGCTAACATCGCTCGCCTTGCATTTCCTTTCTGTGCTCCAGGCTGTGCATGGACCATGCACCAAGCCCAAGCCGTGGGCGTGGAACATAGTGGAGCTTGCCAAATGGCAAAGGTGGGTGTGATTATAGCGAGAGGCAGCGGGGTTCCGTGCTAGGCAACCGAGAGGAACAAACTCCTTGCTGTTTCTCTAAAAGGGAACCTGTGCTGCCACTTTCCATCATTCAGTTGCATTGCATGCGGTACCACTCCCCAGCTTCATGGTTTCCACTCACTTCCTCGTCCCGTCTCAGCGTTCCACTGTCTTTCTTTTGTCCTGTCTTGACGGTATACCAATTCCTCTAAAAGTTTTTTGGGACATCCCGAAACATGATGGGGTGTACTATTTCCTCTCCTCTCTCACCTCCCCCTGTACCACGCCAACGGAGATGGTTTTTTAGTCAGATTAACCATATTCCCCTTTGTCATCCCATGCTCACCCCTTTTTCCAGTTGGACGGAGCTGGGTAAGATGGCGCCAGTAGAGGCCATGCGGCTGTTTGTGCGGGCGCTCGAGGTAAGTCTATCAACTCTGTCTCTTTCAGAAACAGACGCGTGATGACTTTTGACGGGCCTAAAAGATGGCGCCAGTAGAGGCCATGCGGCTGTTTGTGCGAGCTTTGGAGGCAAGACGAGTTGTCTTCGCCAGTGAAGGACGCCTGAGGCTCAGAGGTTGAGTGGTTGAGAAACGATGCGAGGTGGTTGAGGCAAGGCATGATAATTGCGTGCCATAGAGCAGGCTTTTATTCTTTCTCTGTGCTCACCTGCCTGTGCTAGGAGGATTTGTAAGTCTCCTCAGCAGTGATTTAATTGGTCATGTAGTCCCTTGTGCTGCAATGATTGTATGTGTACCTCCTTTCAATGATTGTGTCTCTGTCATGTGGCGTTGGCAGGAGGAGGATCCGAATTGGTGGACCAACGCACAACTATTGGAAGCTACTGACCCGGTATGCACTTTTTGTTTTGCCCAACTTTGAGGTGACTTTTGAGTCGACTCAAAAGTCAAATTGGTGGACTAACGCACAACTAATGGAAGCTACTGACCCGGTATGCACGTGTCTTTCTGTGTCCATCTTTGGGTGATTGCACCTGGTGCATTATGCCCGTGTTTGCTTGCTCCACCTCACTCGCCCCACCACACTCGCTCCACCACACCCGCCCCTCCACACTTTCCCCAACACACTCACCCCACCACACTCGCTCCACTACACTCACTCATTCTTGAGAGCCCTTGAGTAGAGAAACGTCTGGGAACTCTTGTCCTGCTCTTGTTCTCCTCTCCCCTGCCTCCTCCTCCCCTCCTCCCTCCTTCCTTCCCTCTCCTCCCCTGCAACTATCCCCTCACACAGCATGAAGCAGCAGCAGTAGCAGCAGAGGGGTATGGCAGGGGTTACCCAGAGGGCTACACTGCTGAAAGCTTTCCTGCAATGAACGGAGCTGCCTTCCCTCGGGGTCCCCCTGTGGTGCAGTAGCCTTAGCCCTTCAACCTTTTCTCTCTTCTTCACTCCCCACCCGCTCCACACCACAGCCTGCAGCAGCAGCAGCAGCAGTCCCAAAGGGGTACAGCAGGGGGGGCTACCCAGACGCCTATGCTGCGGAGGATTTCCCTGCAATGAATGGCGCTGCCTTCCCCCGCGGCCCCCCTGTGGTGGAGTAGCCTTAGCCCTTCAAATTATCCTCTCCCCCACTCCTTCCTTGTTTCCTCGCACCCCACCTCCACCCACACCACAGCTTGCAGCAGCAGCAGCAGTCCCAGAGGGGTACGGCAGGGGTTATCCAGACGCCTATGCTGCTGAGGGTTTCCCGGCAATGAATGGCGCTGCCTTCCCCCACGGCCCCCCTATGGTTGAAGACATGGGAGTGATGGCAGTGCTGGTTGTTGAGGGACCTTGACTCTGCTCTGCCTTCCATTCTCCTCCGTTCCCCCACCTATCCACACACAGCTTGCAGCAGCAGCAGCAGCAGTCCCAGAGGGGTATGGCAGGGGCTACCCAGACGCCTATGCTGCGGAGGATTTCCCTGCCATGAACGGCGCTGCCTTCCCCCGCGGTCCCCCTGTGGTGGATAGCCATAGGCCTTCATTTCACCCTCTTTTTCCCTCCGCTTCTCCCCCTACAACTCCTCTTCCCCATGCCACACACAGCTTGCAGCAGCAGCAGCAGCAGTCCCAGAGGGGTATGGCAGGGGGGGCTATCCAGACGCGTATGCTGCTGAGGGTTTCCCTGCCATGAACGGCGTTGCCTTCCCCCGCGGCCCACCTGTGGTGGAGGACATGGGGGTGATGGCAGTGCTGCGCTCCCACGACTGCATCAACAAGTGGGTCGCTGCTCCCGTCACTGGAAGGAAACCATCTGCCAGATATCAGGTGAGGAAAAGAGGCAGGTGCTGCTGCTGCTGCTGCTGCTGCTAGCCTGCTGCTGGCTTGGCCCTGGTCCCCCCCGCCCTCTCCCCCTGTGGTGGAGGACATGGGCGTGATGGCAGTGCTGCGCTCCCACGACTGCATCAACAAGTGGGTCGCTGCTCCCGTCACTGGGAGAAAACCCTCCGCCAGATATCAGGTGAGCTGCTAGCTACCCTGCTGCTGGCATGCTGTTGCCTGCTGTTACCTGCCCATGCAACCTCCCCAGCCCCTTCCCCCGCGGCCCCCCTGTGGTGGAGGACATGGGCGTGATGGCAGTGCTGTGCTCCCACGACTGCATCAACAAGTGGGTCGCTCGCTGCTCCTGTCACTGGAAGGAAACCCTCCGCCAGATATCAGGTGAGGAGAGGAATGGGTGAGGAGAGAAATACGACCCTATTTTTGAACCGTGTGTCGTATTTCTCTCCTCAACCTTGTGTACGTGATGGGGTGGTCGTGGTGGGCAACCGGGCCAGGTTATGCCTCTCTCTAGGGGCGCCTCTCTGTAGGGGCGCCTCTCTGTAGGGGCGCCTCTCTGTAGGGCCACTCTCTTTTACCGTTTGAAACTCTCACGCCACCCCTCCTTCCCCCTCTATCCCCTCCCCTTCTCCCCACCTCATGCGTGCAGCATGCAGCAGAGATTCTGGATGGCAGGATGCACGTGGTGGCGGGGCAACAGGGCGCGTTCACCAGCGATGTACATGTGCTGGACCTCTTTCTTTCCCCTCTCGACAAATCACTCCTTCCCCGCTCCCCTCCCCTCCCTTCCCCTTTTCTCACCGAATGTGTGCAGCACGCAGCAGAGATTTTGGACGGAAGAATGTACGTACGTGGTGGGGGGGAACAGAGCGAGGTTCACCAGCGATGTGCATGTGCTAGGCCTCTCTCTTACCCATTCACGACCTCTCCTCCCCCTCCGTACCCTCCTTCCCTCCTCACCTAATATATGCAGCACGCAGCAGAGATTTTGGACGGAAGAATGTATGTGGTGGGGGGGAACAGGGCCCGGTTCACCAGTGACGTGCATGTCTTGGACCTCGCCTCCCTCGCCTGGTCTAAAATGGAGCTCTCCTCGCCTGCTAATGCCCTTCCCCCATGCGCTGGGCACAGTTTGGTGAGTGCGCATGTGTGCATGTATGCATGTATGCATGTGTGCATGTGTGCATGTGTGCATGTGTGCATGTGTGCATGTGTGCATGTGTGCATGTATGCATGTGTGCATGTGTGCATGTGTGCATGTGTGCATGTGTGCATGTATGCATGTGTGCATGTATGCATGTGTGCATGTGTGCATGTATGCATGTGTGCATGTGTGCATGTGTGCATGTATGCATGTATGCATGTGTGCATGTGTGCATGTGTGCATGTGTGCATGTGTGCATGTGTGCATGTATGCATGTGTGCATGTGTGCATGTGTGCATGTGTGCATGTATGCATGTGTGCATGTATGCATGTGTGCATGTATGCATGTGTGCATGTGTGCATGTGTGCATGTGTGCATGTGTGCATGTGTGCATGTATGCATGTGTGCATGTGTGCATGTGTGCATGTGTGCATGTGTGCATGTGTGCATGTGTGCATGTGTGCATGTGTGCATGTGTGCATGTGTGCATGTGTGCGTTCTGTGCACTTGCGCCTGTTTTGTCACTCACTGCACACGCCAGTGACGTGCATGTGCTGCACCTCGCTTCCCTCGCCTGGTTCAAGATGGGCTTCTCCTCTCCCACCTGCCAACGCCTTGCCACCCTGTACATGCGCACAGGCACAGCTTTGTAAGTGCTGCGTCTGTGCGCATGTATGCATGTGTGTGCTGCTTGGCTTGGTCACTTGTGGTCATATGGAAGGGTGAATGCGAGACAGCATGCCGACGTGCATGTGTTGGATTAGATGGATGGACCTCACCCTGTGCCGGGCACAGTAGAGCAGAGTGACCTCGTCTCATATTGGACAGGCTCTCTTCTGCACTCCTTCACTCCCTGCCCCTGTGCCAATCTCCATTTCATCCATCTCGCAGGTCATTCTAGACGAGGTGACTCTGCTGTGCATAGGAGGGTTCTTCAAGGATGGTTCAGAGAAGATGATAGGTGAGAGAGGGTTGAGATGGGTGGAGTGGGTTGCAGTGGTCGTAGGGTCACTTGATTCCCCCATTGTCAGGTCATTTTTTTTTTCAAGGATGGCTCAGAGAAGATGATAGGTGAGAGAGAGTGATGGGTGACACGAATGAGAGGATGAGGTAGATGGATGACATTTGTGCTTGTCCTTCCTTCTTAGCAGCTTGACAATTACCGGCAATTACAAATTCATAGTTTTCTTCACGGAATCTTATTGAGACTTGCTGAGATGTTGCATCTGTGTATGGTCATTCCTTGTTACGGCTGGCAGTACGGGCGTTGGATGTGAACACCAAGATGTGGCGAGTGATGAAGACGCGCGGCCAAATACCTGTGAGTGCACGCGTGCCGCACAACTGTAGTTTGTGGTAGGCCTTGTGTACAGGGTTTAGGGTTGGATTGGATCGGCAGTGCGGGCATTGCATTGGATGTGAGCTCCAAGATGTGGCGGGTTATGAAAACACGCGGCCAAATACCCGTGACTGCACACCCCACCCGACAGTCATAGTGGGTTGGGTTGCTTGTGTTGTTCATTTTTCTCGCTTACTTTTCCCCCCGTTTTTACGTTGTTTTCCCACATAGAAAACACTCTGCCTGCCCCACCTGTCTGCCCTGTGCCCTCCCATTTTCTCTTTCGTTTTTCATCCTGGCATTGACATCCTGTTGATTGCAGTGTGCGCGGGGAGGCCACAGCACGGCCAAGGTGGGGTCGACAGTCTGGGTGTTTGGAGGGGAGGACAGCAGGAGGCGGCTGCTCAACGACATATACACCCCTGCGTACCCCTGTGTACCCCCTTGAACCCCTGCAGTGTGCGCGGGGAGGCCACAGCACGGCCAAGGTGGGGTCGACGGTGTGGGTGTTTGGAGGGGAGGACAGCAAGAGGCGCCTGCTCAACGACGTGTACAGCCTGGACCTTACGACCTTCGTGTGGGACAAGCTGGACACCACGTGAGTGGGAGAGAGAATGTTGATTGCCTGCTGGCAAAGGTACTGGTGGGTGGCAGACCAACATGGTGTTTGGAGGGGAGGACAGCAAGAGGCGGCTGCTCAACGATGTATACAGTTTGGACCTCACGACCTTTGTGTGGGACAAGCTGGACACCACGTGAGTGGCTTGTGGTGGTGGTGGTGGTGGTGGTGGGTTGCTGAATGATGTGTACAGCCTGGACCACTCGCTCGCACCTCACGCTCACACCACTTCCTTCCCCTGCTGTGCCCTCCCAACCTTGCTCCAGGGGAACGGCCCCCCTGCCCAGAGCAGGCCACACGGCAACAGTGTACAACGAGCACTGCCTCACCATCTAGCTGACACCACATCCTTCTCCCTGCTGTACTCTCCCTTCCTTGCTCCAGAGGGACGCCCCCGCTGCCCAGGGCAGGCCACACGGCAACTGTGTACAACGAGCACTACCTCACCATCTAGCTGACCTGCTGTCCCTTTCCCGTTCCTCTTGATGCCATTTCCTGTGCACCCCCCCTCACTCCGCAGAGGAACACCCCCGCTGCCCAGGGCAGGCCACGCGGCAACAGTGTAAATGAGCACTACCTCACCATCTAGCTGACCTCTGGCCCGTCTCTTTGATTCTCCTTTCCTCCGCAACCCCTCTTGCTACAAAGGAGCGCCCCCGCTGCCCAGGGCAGGCCACACGGCAACAGTGTAAATGAGCACTACCTCACCATCGACCTGACCTGCTGCCCTTTCCCCCCTGACGCCGTTTTCCGTACACCTCCCCCTCTCAGAGGGACGCCCCACTTCCCAGGGCAGGCCACATGGCAACGGTGTACAACGAGCACTACCTCACCATCTAGCTGACCTGCTTGTTCCTTTCCCCCTGATGCCGTTTTCCGTACACCTCCCCCTCCCAGAGGGACGCCCCCCCTGCCCAGGGCGGGACACACGGCAATGGTATACAACGAGCACTACTTGACCATCTTCGGGGGCGGCTCCCACTCCATGTGCTTCAACGACGTGCATGTGCTTGACCTAGATGCGGTAAGAGCTGCTGCAGGTGTGTGTATGTATGCCCCAACCTACCACTCACTCGCTCCCACGCCATGTGCTTCAACGACGTGCATGTGCTGGATTTAGATGCGGTAAGGAGGAGGTGCGAAGGGTATGAGCCAGGCGCACTGTGCTGACCATCTAGTTCCCTCCCCTCACCATCTTTGGGGGCGGCTCCCACGCCATGTGCTTCAACGACGTGCATGTGCTTGACCTGGACGCGGTAAGGAGGCGTTTTTGTGTGTATCATTACCATTACCATTACAACTACCATTAAAATTACCATCATCACTACTATTACCACTACCATTACCAATACCAGTACCATGACCATTACCATTACCATCACCATTACCATTATCATTACCATTACCACTACCATTACCATTACCATTATCATTATCATTTCACTATCACTACCATTACCATTATCATTATCATTATCACTATCACTATCATTAACATTACCATTACTATTACTATTACCATAACCATTACCATTGCCCCTACCATTACCATTACCACTGCCATTACCATCACCACATACCATTACAACTACCACTACCACTACCACTACCATTACCATTACCATTACCATTACCATCACCATTACCATTACCATTACCATTACCATTATCATTACCACTACCATTACCATTACCACTACCACTACCATTACCACTACCATTACCATTAGCATGAGCATTCCCATTACCATTACCACTGCCATTACCATTACCACTACCACTACCACTACCATTACCACTACCATTACCATTACCACTACCATTACCATTACCACTATTATTACCATTACCATTACCATTACCACTACTATTGCCATTGCCATTGGGTTGTGACTTGGGTGCCGGCGATCCCTCCCTCTCCTCCCACTCCATGTGCTTCAAAAGCGTGCATGTGGTGGATCTAGATGCGGTAAGGAGGAGTTACTGTGTGTTGTTGCTTGATAAATGGGTACGTGTTGGGTGCTCTGATTTCTCCTTTCCCCTGCCACTTGTACAATGTGCTACAGCTACACGGATGAGGGGAAAGGGAGGCGGATGAGGGGAAAGGGAGGCGGATGGCATGGTCTGGAGGGTTTGTCCGAGACAGACAATGCTTCTGGGACTAAGTTTCCTGCCTCTCCCCCAGCCACAGTTCTCTCCTCTCCACTCCTCTCCTCGCCTCACCCCTCCTTCCCCTCTCCCCTCTAGGCCAAGTGGTCCCTGGCAGAGACCTACGGCAAGGTGCCCTGCCTCCCCCCAGACCTGCGCGCATGGTCTACAGCTTCTCTGTTTCGCCTTTTCCTCTCCCTTCTCCCTTGTTATCCAGGCCGAGTGGTCCCTGGCAGAGACATACAGCAAGGTGCCCTGCCTTCCTCCAGAGCTGGCCTCGAGCGTTACATCACTCCCCTCTTCCCTTGTTACCCAGGCCGAGTGGTCCCTGGCAGAGACATACAGCAAGGTGCTCTCTCCCCGCTCGGATTTCTCTTTCCTCTCCCGCCCCACCTCCTCCAACCTTTTTCTACCCTCTTCTACACGCCCCTCTCTCCCTTTTTAACCAGGCCGAGTGGTCCCTAGCAGAGACCTATAGCAAGTTGCCTTTCCCCCAGGGCTGGCCTCGTGGGCGTGGCGTTTGGCAGCCTCTGGTTCATCATGGGGGGAGGGGACAATTATGATTGCCTCTTTTCCCAACCCCTCTTTTCCCAACCCCGTTTTTCCCGATGTCCCCTCCAGGCCGAGTGGTCCCTTGCTGAGACTTATGGCAAGGTGCCCTCTCCCCGTGCTGGGCTTGTGGGCGTGGCGTTTGGCAGCCTCTGGTTCATCATGGGGGGAGGGGACAACCACGTATACCTCTTTCCCCAACCTCTTTTCCCGCTACCCTCCTCCAGGCCGAGTGGTCCCTGGCAGAGACCTACGGCAAGGTGTCCTGCCTTCCCCCGGAGCTGGGCGCATGATCTACAGCCTCTCTGTTTCGGTTTCTCACATTTTCCTCTCCCTCCTTCCCTTGTTGCCCAGGCCGAGTGGTCCCTAGCAGAGACCTATGGCAAGGTACCGTCCCCCAGGGCTGGCCTCATGTGCGTGGCATTTGGCAGCCTCTGGTTCATCATGGGGGGAGGGGACATTCAAGATTGCCTCTTCTCCCAACCCCTCTCTCCCCTCTCTCCCCTCTCTCTTCCTCTTGCCAGGCCGAGTGGTCCCTAGCAGAGACCTACGGCAAGGTGCCCTCCCCCCGTGCTGGCTTAGTAGGCGTCGCGTTTGGCAGCCTCTGGTTCGTCATGGGAGGGGGGGACAACCAGGTTTGCTGCTTGCTCCAACCTCTTTTCCTGTTCCCTCCCACCCCCCAGGCCGAGTGGTCCCTAGCAGAGACGTATGGCAAGGTGCCTTCCCCTCGTGCTGGCTTAGTAGGCGTGGCGTTTGGGAGCCTGTGGTTCATCATGGGGGGAGGGGACAACCATGGAGGGGTATCTGAGACGATGCTGCTGGACTTGGACTCGCTGGTGTGGTCTGTGGTTACCACGTCGCTTGAGAAGACGCCCTTGGCATCAGAGGTGAGTTTGGAAGTCAGACAACCAGGGGGGCCTTCGGTTCATCATGGGAGGGGGGGACAACCACGGAGGGGTGTCTGAGACAATGCTGCTGGATCTGGACTCGCTAGTCTGGTCTGTGGTTACCACATCGCTGGAAAAGACACCCTTGGCATCTGAAGTAAGTGAATGAGGGTGAGACAGGCAGAGCAGTGGCAGTGAGGGGGCGTGTCTGAGACAATGCTGCTGGACCTGGACTCGCTAGTGAGGTCAGTGGTTACCACATCATTCAAAATGACCTCTCTTGTATCAGAGGTGAGTGAAGCTGTTGGGGTTGTGGCCATTTATCGAATGCAAAGCCACTGGGTTTTATAATGACTCGTGGAGACGGTTTTTTTAGATACTATAGCAAAGTTTATATGCTCCATTTTTACCCCGTCTATTGTTCTATCTTCCCCACCAACCCCATCAAACACCCACCCACCCAGGGGCTCTCGGTGGTGCCTGTTGGGACATCTCTCGGCCCTGTGCTTGTAGCGTTCGGAGGCTATAACGGGTGGTACAATAATCGTTCCGTTCTATCTTCCCCTCCCCCAAAACTTGACTCCTCCTCACAACCACCCAGGGTCTTTCGGTGGTGCCTGTGGGGACATCGCTCGGTCCTGTGCTTGTAGCGTTCGGAGGCTACAACGGGCGGTACAATAACGAAGTATTCCTGTTGCTCCCAGACACTGCGGCGCTGCTTAGAGCAGCAGAGGAGGAGGAGGAAGCTGCAGCGGCTGCTACAACCGCTGCCGCTACAACTGCTGCAACGACTGCTGCTGCTGCCGCTACAGATACTGTTGCTGCTGCTACAGCCAATGCTGCTGCAGCAGCAGCCTCAGCACCTCAACCACCCCCCACTGCACCATCTGGAAACATCAATTCCCAACCTGCTGACTCTACCATTTCATCCTCAGCTCCGGCAGCAGGTTCGGCAGCAGGTTCGGCAGCACCAGCCTCTCTTCCCGCTGGCGCCGCTGCTGCTCTTGGCCCCACCCCTTCCGCTCCTGCTGCTCTCCCCCCTGTGGCACCCACTACTGGAATCCCCCCTGCTGCTGCTGCTGCTGCTGCTGCTGCTGCTGGGGGCAAGCAGATGGTCCGGGCAGGATCTGCGTCCAATATCATCGGTGCCGCCCCTTCAGGTGGAATCCCAGGTGGAATCTCAGGTGGAATTCCAGGTGCTGTTGCTGTTGCGATACCTGGGCACGGGCCGCCGTTGCCAGCAGGAGCGGGGGCGGGGGCGATGGTGGGGGTGGGGGAGGAGGGGGAGCTGTCCCCCACGTCGAGGGATGCTGTGCTGCTGGCACAGCTGGAGGAGGCAGAGGCAGCCGCGTCCAGAGCAGAGAAGGTGGCTCTCAATGTGAGTGCACTCGCTTCACCGTGATTTGTAGGTTCATGTTGATGGGTCGCTGGGTGTTGGTTGAGGGGTGGAGGAGGAAGGGGAGCTATCCCCCACGTCGAGGGATGCGGTGCTGCTGGCTCAGCTGGAAGAGGCAGAAGCAGCCGCGTCCAGGGCAGAGAAGGTGGCATTGAATGTGAGTATGACGAGCACTTAGATGCATTTCACCATAGTTGGAACTTCCGTGCTGCTGGGTGCAAAAAGCAGCTGTCCCCCACGTCGAGACGGTTACCGCCGAAATTTTCTCCACAAGAGGAACAAGCAAACTTTTTACTAACAACAATTTTTTACAGAACCTAGTTGCTGCCACGCAAAGACTATGGCTCCTGTCTGGGGTTCCATCGGACTTAGATGCATTTCACCATAGTTGGAACTTCCGTGCTGCTGGGTGTAACAAGCAGCTGTCCGCCACGTCGAGGGATGCGGTACATTGCTCAAGCAGACGAAACTCCTCTCCTGTCTTTGCTGCTATCTCTCACGATACTCCATTCCGTCTGCTCATCCTCCTCCCCCTGTCTCCCTCAGGCACGGTCTGAAGCGAGCCAAACTGCTGCAGAGGCACAGGCGGATGCATGGGCTGCCTTTTTTTGAGGCGCCTCAAACATAGAATCCTCCTCCTCCTCCTCCATCTCCCCCTCCCTACTTCCACCCCTCCCCCCCCAGGCGCGGGCTGAAGCAAGCCAAACTGCTGCAGAGGCACGGGCGGATGCATGGGCTGCCATTGCCAAGGTAAGCATGTGCAAGTGTGCTCGTATATCCCCACTTACCCACTTCCACACTTCTCGTCATTGCCAAGGTAAGCGCGCACAGCATTTTCTAACACTCTAACACTCTAACACTCTTTGACATGGCCGGCGCATATATTGAAGCAGCAGCTGGCGACAAGAAGAAGATAGGGTCTTGGGTGCAGGGCCTAGTGTGTAGGCTTACCCCCTTTGCTCTCTTTACCCGATCCCCTTTATTCTCCTCTCTTCTTTCACCCCTCTATTCAGGCGCAAATCGAGGAGACAACGGCAGTGAAAGCGAAGCAGCAGGCAGAGGACGAGTTGGCGGAGGGGCAGACACGAATCCATCCATCCCCTCTCCATTCCTGTACTCCCTATCCCCTCTTCAGGCGCAGATGGAGGTAGACCTATTGAAGCAGCAGCTAGCGACAGCCGTGAAGGCGAAGCGGTCACACCATCCATGTAATCTCCATTCCTACACCTGCTTTCTCCCTCCTCTCCCGTCACCCCTTTCAGGCACAGATGGAGGTGGATCTATTGAAGCAGCAGCTAGCAACGGCAGTGAAGGCGAAGCAGCAGGCAGAGGACGAGATGCTGTCGCATGCCTCTCCCTCCTCCCCCACCCCACAGGCGCAGATGGAGGTGGATCTATTGAAGCAGCAGCTGGCGACAGCAATGAAGGCTCTTACACCCCTGTGTGTCTGTTCTGTTTCGCTATCCTCCCTGTCCCTCTTCCTCCTTTCAGGCACAGATGGAGGTGGATTTGTTAAAGCAGCAGCTAGCAACGGCAGTGAAGGCGAAGCAGCAGGCAGAGGACGAGATGGCGGAGGGGCAGGCCAAGGTGGTGGCGGCGCAGGCTGCTGCTGCCAGTGCCCAGGCTGAGGCGGGGCAAATCAAGAAAGACCTCAACGAATGCAGAGTAAAGGTGGGCGAGGAGGTGGGAGAGGAATCAGAGCGGTGAGGGGTGAGAGGGGAAGAGCAGTGGTGAGCAAGGAGGACGGAGCTTGCCAAGCGGTCAGGGGCGGATGGGGGAATACATGTCATGACCGCTATTGATTGCGACTGTATGAAGAGCGACAGTCTCACTTGTAGGTTGTTGTATCAACCGTGTGTTCACGAGTGCCACTGTCCTTCCTCACCCCACAGGTGCATGAGCTAGGGGCGGAGCTGGCCAAGAAGTCAGGGGCGGATGGGGGGACGGATGGCAGCACTGCAGCAGGACTACGTATATTGACTGTGCCTGTATCAATTGTGTGAATGGCCCATGTGTGACTGTACGTGGTATCCTCACCCCACAGGTGCATGAGCTAGAGGCGGAGCTGGCGAAGAAGTCAGGCGCGGATGGGGGGATGGCGACACTGCAAAAAGACTACGCTGCTCTCAAGAACGCCCTGGCAGATATGGAACAGGTGGGATGTGGGACAGGTAGCATGTGGGGCAGGTGGGATGTGGGCCAGGTGGGGTGTGGAGTGCAGGGGGAAATATTAGATGACTGCAATGGGGGATGGCAACACTGCAAAAAGACTACGCTGCTCTCAAGAACGCCCTGTCAGATATGGAACACGTGGGATGTGGGGAGGTTGGTTGTGGGGGTGTATGGGATATGAATCGGGTGGGATAAGGAATGAGGGATGAGGTTTATGGCAACGAGGTACGGGGTGAGGTACGGGACATAAAGGGTAACCGCAAGGCCTGACCCTGCCTGCCCTGCCACTTCTGCACATTTTAAAGGCTCAATTGAGCGATTTTACTTATCCCACCCGATTTTACTTATCCCACCCGATTTTACTTATCCCACCCGATTTTACTTATCCCACCCGATTTTACTTATCCCACCCGATTTTACTTATCCCACCCGATTTTACTTCTATTTTCTTCCTGCTATCTTCACCCCGCCCCACCCCACCCCACCCCACCCCACCTGAACCCTATCAGGAACTCACCACTGCCCGAACAACTCTTGCAGCCGAAGCCAGATGCTTCCGGCTGGAGGTGGAGGTGGCAGAGTATCGGCAGAGGCTGGCAGGCCTAACCCCAACCCACCCCACCGCACTGCACCCCACCCAAACCCTACCAGGAACTGACAACCGCAAGAACAACCCTGGCAGCGGAGCAGGCCAGATGCTTCCGGTTGGAGGTGGATGCTCAGAGTAGCGGCAGCGGCTGGCAGGCATGGCGGACCTGGAGAGGGAGGTGGAGCTGCTGCTGTCCCTTCTGCACACATCCAAACCCCATCTTGCTCATTTTTCCTGCTCGCTTCACCCCACCCCGCCCCACCCGAACCCCACCCCAATCCTATCAGGAGTTGACGACAGCACGTACCACACTGGCAGCCGAACAAGCAAGGTGCTTCCGGCTGGAGGTGGAGGTGGCAGAGTATCGGCAGCGGCTGGCAGGCATGGCGGACCTGGAGAGGGAGGTGGAGCTGCTGCTGTCCCCAGCCCCGTACCACCCATTTCACTCATTTTGCTCTCTCTCTCTCTCTCTCTCTCTCTCTCTCTCTCTCTCTCTCTCTCTCTCTCTCTCTCTCTCTCTCTCTCTCTCTCTCTCTCTCTCTCTCTCTCTCTCTCTCTCTCTCTCTCTCTCTCCTATTCTCTTTTCCCTGAACCCTATCAGGAGCTGACCACTGCTCGGACAACTCTGGCTACGGAACAGGCGCGGTGCTTTAGGCTCGAAGTGGAGGTGGCGGAGTATCGGCAGCGGCTTGCAGGCATGGCGGACCTGGAGAGGGAGGTGGAGCTGCTGCAGAGGCAGCAGGCTGCTGCTGATGCCATGGCTGCTGCTGCTGCTGGCAAGAAGGGGTGGTGGGGAGGGGGCAGGTGATTCGCATGGGGCTGTCACGAACCCACTTATTCCCAGCTCCCTGTTGCAGAGGCAGCAGGCTGCTGCTGATGCCATGGCTGCTGCTGCTGCTGCTGGGAAAGGAATGGGCTGGTGGGGAGGGGGCAGGTGATAGCGGTTGGAATGGAGAGAGCGGATGATCTTGATGGGTAGAGGGAGGTGGAGTGGAGCTGCTGCTGCTGCTGCTGCTGCTGCTGCTGCTGCTGCCGACAATTATAAGGGCTGGTGGGGAGGCGGGAGGTGAGGTGATTGAGAGGGGGAAGTTGACTACCGGGAGCTGGTTACAGTAACAGAGGGGCTGAAGATACGGAAGAAACAGTGTGATGGTTATACTGGTACCGGTAGTAACACCCTTGTGTGCTTGGGAAATATCATTCGGGTGCTATTTGGAATGAGACTGCAGTTTCAGTTTACAAACGTGAAAAAGCAATCATGTTGGCCATAAATATGAACAATACCCACATTAATTAGTTTTACAGTAACAATAGTTAAGTATAAAATATCTACATAGTGAGCTGCTGTGTGCATTTCTTGAGCAAATTAGCAATCAAAAGCTTGCATCTGCCTCTCCCAGCACTCCGAATCTGTAAGCATCTGCCTATGCTGCAGAATCAGAGCCTCCCCGTAGCGTAAACCTCCTGCCTCATGACCTTGCAGTGCCCATAAATCACAGCAAGCTGAAGGTGGCATCAAGACTGTCTCAAAAAGCCATAAACCACAGCAAGCCTCAGCTCCTGGTTTTTATTGCACCCAGAAGCTCCTGCCCGGATGCCCAGAAGCTCCTACACGTGGCACTTGCATTGAAGGGAATTGACAAGTGGCGCCTGCATCGTCAGCAAGCGACAGCTGGCACTTGTTGCTGCTTCCTCAGATACTCCAGTGCCTGCTGCAGAATCAGAGCCTCCTCATAATCCTCCTGCCCGCTCACATGCACCCCTGAATCCCACACCTTATTCATTGCCCTCTGCTTCTGCTGCTGCTGCTGGCGCTGCTGGTGGTGCTGCTGCTGAGCCTGTTTCTCCTTCTGCTCCTTCTGCTCCAGCAAAACTTGCTGCTGTGACTGTACAAGGGGTGACTTATCTCCGCATGACCCCCACAGATTCTTAACATCCTTGGCACAATCCTCCATGTCAATCCAGTCCCTGTCAGCACTGTTTCTGTCAGCCCCATTTCTGTCAGCACTGTTTCTGTCAGCCCCATTTCTGTCAGCACTGTTTCTGTCAACCCCATTTCTGTCAACCCCATTTCTGTCAGCCCGATAAAATCCCAATCCGTCAGACGTTACACTAGTCTGTTTGCCCTGCCGACCCTTTCCAATCTCTTCCACACTCCCTTTCAGAATCGAATCTCCATTGATCCTATCCCAGAAACTTAGGCCCTTTTGCTCCTTTACCTCCACTTCCCCCCTTCCATTCCCTCCCTCCCCTGCATACCCTCCCTCCCCTACAACCCCTCCCTCCCATCCACTCCCACCATCCATCCCCGTTAAGAGCAGCTTCCCTACAGTCCCTTTCGTACCCTCCAGCCCTTGTAAAATCCCCTGCAGCACCCGCTCTCCCTCTCCTGCTTCGATCAAATCCGCCTGCAGCTGTGCCAACCGCCTATAGAGCTCCTCGGTAAAAGCCTTCTCTGTAAGCGCGAGCTCATGGCGAAACCCTCCTGAGTGTATCGTCCTCCCGCCGCGCTCCTCTCCCGCTGCTGCTCCCCCTTCCCCCGCCGCCCCCGCCGCCCCCGCCGCCCCCACCGCCGCCGCCGCCGCTGCCTCCGCCTCTTCTTCTGCTTGCAGGAACACGACTCGCGCCTCGGCCGCCGCTGCTTCTACTTCCCACAGCCACGCCTCCGTACTCGCTACAGACATCTCCACTTGCTGCAACTCCACCGCGGCCTCTAAACACTCGGATACGCATGCAGACGCCTCACCACCACCGCCACCAGCATCAGTAGCAACAGCAGCGGCGGCAGCGGCGGCATGACTTTCCGCCAATGCCTGACTCGCATCCGCTGGCCGTCTGTCGGTGCTTGCCCGTCTGCTACTCATGAGACTCGTCGGAACCGAAAATGATGCCCTACCCGTGTAGCCGTTACGCGTTCCCTGATTTCCGCGGGCGATTCCCGCATTCTCTCCTGTTCCTTTCCGCCTGCTGATTGATCCTCCCGCCCCGGCCCCCGTTTCCCCCGCGTCCGCGTCCGCGGCGCACCCGCCGGCGCACCTGTTTTGCGCGGCGCTACGGCTTCTGCTGATCCCGCGCGGGGATTTCTCCGCCACGTTACGCGCGCGGACAACCCGCGTGCGCATGCCCGCCAGCTCCGCCATAACCGCGCGGACCTGCTTCCCGCTCCGCAAGCATTCCGCGCAGCAGCTGTAGCTGCGACCCCACCACCCGCGCCTGCAGTTCCGCCAGGTCTAGCTGCCCCTCCGCCAGTTGCGCGCGCTCCCCCAGCTCTTCCGCCGACTGCGCACACGCTTCCACGTCCTCCGCCGGCGCGCATACCAGACCGGCAGGCTGTAGCACAGCCTCAGCCGGAGCGACCTGCGGCTGTAGCGGCGCTACAGCCGGCGAGTGTTTGCTGTTGCCTTTTTGTCGTTTTTCTAACAAGCACAAGAAGCTGGCAGGCGCGGCCGCGGGCACAGGGGCGGGGGCGGCGGAAGGGGCGGAGGCAGCGGTTGGCGGAACCACGTGCGCGGGCGCAGTCAGACTGACAGTCAGCGAATGAAAGCGCTCCGAGTGACTAGAGCGCTGGCTGCAGGGTAACTGAGTGGTCTGACTCGACTCGAACACGGGCGCGTTTTCCGCTCGATCGCTGCACTGCGCTGCCGCGTTCTCCGCTCGCGTCACAACCCGCACGACGCGCTCACACGTCACCGTTTCGTGATTGGACGCACGGAGATCTGCCATGGATTCCCGCAATGAGTTATGATGGTTATGGTCGTCATGCCGATTGGTAAGATGCGTGCTTGGAGTGTTGCTTGTGCCGCTGGCGCTGCTGCTGCTGGCTCCGCTGCTCCCGCTCGTGCTCGTGCTCGCGCTGCCGCCTTGCACGATAAACGCGCTTCGCCCGGTTATCGCACTCCTTCTGTCAGCGCCGGCGACGTTTCCGCGCGTCGCACGCCTGGTTGTTGTCGTCGTTGTAGTCGTCGTCGTCGACTCTACAGTCGCTGCGAAACCGTCACCGTGTCGTTTGCCCGGCTCTGCGACAGAGTCGCCTGTCGCCCTGCGACGAGTCCATCGCTGCCAGACCAGAACCTCCAGCACGCGATTGAATTGCGCCGCGCCGGAGCTCGCGCCGTGAGAAAACACCCGCGGAGGGTTCAGGCAAGCCGGCACAAGCCGCGGGCTTGGCGGATGAAAACCGGAACGAAAACGCGAGGAGTCGTCGCGAGTGTACTGACTTGTCGGGGTGGAGGAAGGGTCGTCGCGAGGGCTGAAACGCGAGGAGGAAATCGGGTACGGGGACCGCCACGGAAAGCATTGCACGACGGCTGTTGGATATTCGTAGTCGCCTGCGTCGGGGATGGTAAGCCTTTCCGGGGCTAAATCGGCGTCCATTGTTCCATACATATTAGAACGTAATGGAGGTCAAAATGCTGTGGAGAACTGAGGGTTAAATCGATGGGAGCAAGGGCTTTCTGGAATGATGGAGAATCACCGAAGTTAGCGCCTAATTTCTTGAAGTCAAAACCCGTTCCTGTGATGTCAAGGCTGATAAGACTTTAAGACTAAGCATAAAGACGTGAAGACGCGCAGTGGTAGTATACCACTTGGACAGGACCAGAACAAGAAGGCGCTAAAAGATGCAGCTAGCAATAGTCACAACCAAACCCCAGTCAGTAATCTCCCCTTGATCTATCATCCTCCAGCAAGGATAATCTATTCTCCATGTCAGCTGATCTCCATTCTCACCCAAATGCTGCTCCTGATTTTGTCTCGAAAGCTCCAACGCCCAACCCTTACCCAACTTGTTACAATACCAACTTGTTCGATCTGTGGGGATAGAATCTATGGGAGGTGAAACGTGGGTTGTATTTGTCGCAACCGCAGTTCGGAGCCATGACGGTAACCATATCCTTCGCAGCTCCATTTGCCCGTGGCGATAGTCGCAGGACCGCACCCGAGAGGCGTTTTCTTTTGGAAAATGACAGCCAGTTCCTTTCTCGGGTCAGCGAGGGTCAAGATCAGCTGGTTTGGCGCTGTCGAAATTTAGGTTCGGCAGAGGAGAAAGTCACCAGGTTGGATGGACCTGGCTGAACGAGGGAGGGAACAGAGGACGAGGAAGGGGTTTGGCGGTGGGGATTACATCGTGGGGATCATCGTGGGATGCGGGTGCGGGGAGACGATTGGGAGACCAACCAATCATACTGTACAGCGAAACACCGTAGTGCACCACCAATCAACTCTTGGATTCCTCTCCCCCAACAAACCAAAAAGAGTAGCCAAGCATTGCCGACCAGTCCCAAGGAACCTTTCCACATCACCTTGGGGGTACCGTCCGCTTTTCCCCCAGCTACGCGGAAGTTTGTCCTGCTAAACATCAAGCACTCGCGCTGGCTGTGTTTCCGCCACGTAGGTCCCAGAGAAAGACCGTCGGCAGTGCTGAATCGACACGGTGTGAAAGAGGACCGTTGGTTGGTTGAGGCGGGCAAAGTGCTGACCATCCAAGTCCAGGGGTTGGCTGGACAGCTTGAACAGCAAGCACAAGCTGTCGGTTCGGTTCGGTTTTGCTAGGGTTTGCTGATTGCTCGAAGTGACAAAAGCATTCGGATAAGACCACAATTACTTGCGCGGTATAAATACGGGGTATCATTGAAATGTAAAAACACAGAATTACACTGAAGCAATCATCCTGAAAAGACAACAATACGAATGTTACAATATTAGAAGCAACATAAATTTTCACAAGCCACTTAAGGAACACCTGCAACTTAGACCTGCAAAGGAGAAAAGTGAAACCAGAAACAAGGGGATAACTACAAGTGCAGCACATAACAGCCCACTCGCCATCTTGTACTATAAAACATAATGTAACTGAGTAGAATACTTATACCATAGTTCAACAAAGGAAATAACAGCAGTAGAGAATCCACTGTTTAGGCGCGAGGGGGACTCCATGTGTCGTATCGCCACGTCCAATAGACCTTCCAGGTCGTCTACCACATGTAGACGGTATATTTACGCGTCTCACTTGTTCCTTTGGAAGTTGTCAAAGGGGCATAGAACGAGACAAAGGCAACGAAGCAAGCAGGCAAGGCACGGGTCTACCGCACCAAACAGGCACCAAGGAGGGCTTAGCCCTCCCACAGAAAATACTTTCATTGATCTCGGCACCTGCCCCGTAAGCGCACCCATAAGGGCAAGGTGCAAAGACAACAACCACAAGGTCCTAAGCTAAGCACAAGTACAAGATAAAGAGAAGATAGACCATCGGATATCTACAATCACAAACCAAACGTCACAGAAAATGTTAAAAAATGTCTTCAGATTTAGCGATCCCCATGGATGATCGTCCTTGACCTACTGCTCGTTGCTCCAAAAAAGCGCCTGCCAACCAACTGACACATAACAGCCCTTGCATAGACACCGGTTTGAAACAAGAGAACTACTCACACTCAGAAACTCATCGCAGCCATCTTGCAGAAAGACGAAGATCACCACGGCTGTTCTAGCTCTGAGTACTGGTCACTGTCCTGAAACCCTAAGAGACGCTAAGATCCTGGCTGCCGCTGGATACAATGACTCTGACAACCCCTTCCCATAAGTAATTGCTGCCTGCCGTGCTGGAAACCTCTCCCTCGGACTCGTTGAAACGAAACCCTCGGCTGTGACGCGAGCGGACCTCCCCGAACCCGAAAGAACTGGCCGACGAGCCTGAGTTGCTTGGAATGGCGAACGTGCTTGACGAGCCGCTTTCGAGGTTCGAGAGTTTCCGGTGAGCTGGAGGAAGGCTTGAAGCGGGCGAACCTGGTCCGACATCATAATGTGGGCTGCCCGAAATGTATACAGAGATCTCGCACATCTTGTTGTGTCGGAAAAGTGTCGGAAAAGTCGAATATGCTAACAGTTGGAAACATCGAAAATGGTTTTACATTACCAGTGACGCAAAAATTCCTTTTCCCGTTGCCCCACCAATAACGTTCGGCGACGTTATGCCTTGTTGGCCAAGGGACTGGTAACCCTCAAACTCATGCAGACCGATCATTTCGTTCCAAACCATCCAGCCATGCCAGGCTTGTGGCGAACCGAGGTCCCAAACCATGATACACGTCATGTTGGGGTTGAGAACAGTAAACACCCGCCGTTGAATTATCCTAAATCTTTTAACAAAATACATATTAAGGTCGTATCCCAGCCTGGTGGCAAGAAGTTGGTGGCAAGAGAATTGCGCACGCGATTGGTCCAAAACAGATGCTCGGCCAACGCGATTGGTCAACAGTTTTTTTTTCACCAATCCTGTGCGAACTCCTTGCCACCAACTTCTTGCCATCAGGCTGGGATACGACCTAAATGTGCTCAACTCCAGTCCAATCCAACCCTATCATCTCAATAAACTCAAGCTGATTAGACGACTCATCAATTCATGCTCACATTCCTGCAAGTTGTTGCAAGCATGATTTGACAATACAACTTCACCTATTAAAATGAAAGGACCAGGCAGCTGTCTGAGCTCTTGCCGTAGCATAAGTCATAGATCAAACTTAGGCATCCTAGTTTCACCATACCAACCACCATGAAATGTCCACAGGACAATTACCGTCGAATGCACTCACTTCTTATGGCACACTATTAAAAAGCAAGTTGCAACTCCAAACAATTGAAATCCTGATACATCTATTCCACTGCCCATACATAACTTCCTGTCACTGCTGGGAAATGGGTTGCTTCCACTACGGAATAATAAAGGTTATATTATCAGCATGACAATTTCTTACAAACCAGAACAAAAGACCGATAGCAAACAAGCAGTAATGAGCGGGATGGCGGAGCAGGAAGGCAGAGGGGCACTACCTATAGTGCAGTGATTAATTGCAGCAGGATTTGGTTGTGCGAACCGAACAAGATCATGACTTCAAACTGTTACAGGAGCTATGCCCTACGTGGAAACAATAGATGCAAGAATTATACAGATGGATACATAAAAAGATTAATGATGCCCACCTGGAATGCAGATGAAATATTGTAGATCCAACCAGGATGTCACGCAGCCTGCAGAAAAAAAGCCACATCAGGAATTTTAGCACCATTTCCTACACTAACTAGCTAACTATGTTCCCGTAAACCATTAGACGTATGGCATAGAGAACGGAACCATATTTCCATGCTCATCCTCTTATCGCCAATACACTGGCAGCATTAGTACAAGAGTTTGTACCCAACTTGCGTCAGGAACTGACAGCTTCATAACGTCTTAAATAGAAACTTCAGCATCTGACAAGAGCGAGTTCGAGGTCGTATGGCGCTGCTTCAACCGCTTTCAAGTGTCGACGAAAATTGATGGACCTCTTCAAAATGGCTGATGGACTGCCCTCCACGTATCGTTGTGCGTTCGATGAACCTCTCAGCAATCATATTGCTCAGAATGACTGATGGACTTGCGCCACATCGAATTGCTAACGCGCAACGCTGCGTGTGGCTGGTTCACGATGGCTTGGTGGGTCACACAAAAAGGACGAGGGGAGGAAATAACAGGCGGCACAGGCACGGATCTACCGTACCTAACACGAACAAGGAGGGCTTAGCCCTCCCCACAAAAAATATTTCCATTAATCTCGGCACCCGCCCCGTAAGCGCACCCATAAGGGCAAGGTGCAAAGACAACAAGCACAAGGTCCTACGAAGAGAGACCATATACAATGTACAACAATCCAAGCAGCCACGTAGAAAAACAGATACAATTGACAAACCAATCTTCCAGGACGATAGAAAGACGTCTTCAAAGTGGATGGTCCTCGCTTTATAATTCTTCACCGTCACCGCTGACACGCGCGAGAAAAACCGCCATCTGTTATAACAATACATGTTACGACGTCAAGCAATTGCATAAACTGCTTGTTTTCAGGGTAAAAGCGAACTAGGAACTGCTGAACAATAGATTAGACCTACCTTCCAACGACCGGCAGGGGAAGGATGCTCCAGGAACATCAACGGAACTGAAGAAACTACCTGCTCTACCATCACAATCCGGAGGGAAGTGGCAGGCGGGAAGGTTATGTACACGAAACCCTAGCATGTGGGATGACGCCTTCAGTGTTGCCGAGTGTTCTTCACGAACCTACTAGAAGGTTCGTAGTCAGGTGAAGGCTTGGCCCAAACTTGAAACGCGTTACCCAGATGCTCTGGGAAGCCTAGGCCACACGCAACCCTGAAACGCGTGCCTCTATCGCGAGGAAGTCTCCCCGATTCGCTCGAAAATGACCCTCCGGACCGTCAGAATTTTACAAAACAGCACAAGATACTGCTGCCCCTTCCATTTGTTCCGTCTCCAGACGGAAACGAGCCAAGGCAGGTTTGGGCAGGTTTTTGGTTCGACCTTCTCACAGCTCCTCCGTTGCTGGCTGTCAATCGCCGCAACCGAATCTGACGGACGAATCTTGCTTTCCAAACCTCGGAAAGTCCCGCCTAGAGCACAATTTTTTAGGCACGGCAGGCACATCAAACTCCAGCTCGGTCGTGGTGAAGAACAACACAGCCGTGCCGTGCATGCTGGGCGTACCAATAGTTGAATTCACTTCCAGCAATGATCGTGAAAAATGGGGCAGGGGCTTCAGCACGGAACTTCCCCGACGATGATAGGGCATGCTACAATATATACGTGTTACAGCATGCTTCTGTACTGTTAGAAACATGTTTGTCCCTTATCTACGTTGTCACCAAAGACCAGAAACATCAAGTCGTGTGGTAGTTCCCAAGACCTTGGAGCCTGAGGAGCAACGGAACCAGTAGCCCCTCATTTCCGCCTTTCCGATTTCCGTTCTGCCAAAGCTTCACTGCTGTACCCGAGTCGCTTCGTAACCTTGCGTTAGCAGGGATCGCACAGCATGTGTTTCTAGCTACTACGTTCGCAGTATTCCGACTTGGCAGGGTTTTTTTTATCCGCCATGTCGTTCGCTCACATTCTTACGGATGGTTTCGGAAATCCTAATCGGTGCTTGGGGAAAGTCGGTGCACCTCAGCCGAACGACATCACATGCCCGACTGCCTTCGTCGACTTAGTCTTTGGGGCTCTAGGTTCCGCTTTACAAGCGTACAATGACCATGAACTTGGACTGCCATCCGACAAGAACTCTTCTCGAGCGACGCGGAAATGTGATCGCATCCTGAGCGTCTTGAACGCGTGTTTGGAAGAACTTGATCACTGGAAAGCTTTGAACACTCCAGGTGGGTCACAAGCTTGACTATTTTTCTTGTTTATGTTTTTTGTTCTCACCGTCCACGTCTTAACGTTTTAAGTCGCTGCAATGGCTTCCTCTTCCTTTTTTTTTCCTAATAATGCTTCTCTGTTATCGGGTGTGCCATACTCTCAGATGGAGCCTTGTCAGAAGGTTCCGGTCCCAAGGCCCATTTGTCGAAACACGAAAGTGCGGACAGCGTTTTAGAGGATAGACTAATCCTTGGGAGCCATAGCCTAGTGGCTCCTATACCGTCGACCTTCAACTCCAGCAGGGTCTCCGTCTCACCTCCTCCTCGGCTCGGCGGCCGCTTCGGCTTCGGCCGAAGGTTCGGTGAAAATAATAAGGCCGAAAATGGGTTATCTTCGTCGACCATGTCTTTTGTCATGCCGGTGCCGTCCTCCGGGAGTGAGGGTTCTGCAGCTTCTGGCGACTGGGGATTTTCGGGACCCGTGAAAGGGTTTCCTTTGGCTCAAACAGCTCCGCTATCGGCTCTCGACGTCGCAGGTACATTCTGTATTGGCTCGTTACTTTTCAAAATAGGGCCAGTGCGCGGCTCGTTTCCGCGCTCGTGTTTGACACTCCCGAAACCCCCCCAAGGTTACCAAATTGTAACCATTCTCTTGTTCAATCTCGCTCTGTCTCTCGCTTCGCTTTCCCTGTTCCCTTTCCAATGCTCTCCCATCCTTCTCCCCTTCCCTCCTCTTCATAGCACCAGCGGAGCTGAGTCCCGCCCAGGGGGAGCAGTGGGAAGCGCTGTACGCGTCAGTGCAGGACGCGGTGCTCATGTACAACGCGCAGTTCGTCTCCTCGCTGGCGGATGGCTTCCCGCCTGCTGCTGACGTCATGGCGTCGCTGGACGACGCCCTGCAGGACCTGGCGAAAGACGTCTACGTGGCAATGGATAAGATGGAAGAGGTGCGTTGGGCATTCTACGTGGCATTGGATAAGATGGAAGGTGAGCTATGCTGTCCACGCGGCATTGGATAAGACTTTTTGGTTCTGGAAGTCAGGGAATTGTGGGTACACACTCACGCGCCATGCATTCCCGCGTCAATTGGCCTTCCCTTTTACCTGCCACCAATCTCCGCACACGTTCCTCTCCTCCCCCCTTCAGCTCTGAAGTATCAATACCTCGTTTTCTTCCTCTCTTCCTCAAAACAGGGAGTCAGCCAACGAGCCTCGCTGTTTCCTATCCGCGTCTTTGCAATGTGTGCGTCTCTAGAAGTCGCTCGCTGTCGTAGGCTGTTTCCTACGCAGCAGGAGGAGGAGGAAGAGGAGGGGCACGAGGAGCAGCAGCAGCAGCAGCAGCAGCAGCAGCAGCAGCAGAAAAGAGACCACTGTGTATCAGGGGAAGCGTCAGGTGAAGGGGTTTCTAAGGATGCTTCAGGGGTTTCAGCTGAATCTTCAGGAGAACTTCCAGGTTGGTCCTTTGCTGCCGCTGGCAACCTCAGGGACCAGCCAGCAAAAGAATCCGCAGCGCTCCCGCCGTTGGATGAGGACGATCTGACGGTTCTGGAGCAGCTGTTGGAGGAGGCGGGGGACGAGATTCAGGGCCTGTTCCTAAACTGCAAGGGGTCACTGTACGGTCTTGGTGTCACCCATGCTCGTTCTCTCGCCCGCTTCTCTATCCTGGGGAAGGCACTTAAAGCAGCAATAGAGGGAGCAACAGAGGCGAGTTTCACTGTGTTACGGGATGGACGGGAGGTGGGGTATTTGGAAAGGAGAGAGGGGGGAGAGGAAGGTGGGGAGGGGAAAGAGGAGGGAGAAGGCTCAAAAGGCTCTGGTTTTGAGTTTGATACAACTAAGGTGGAGGAGGAAGAGGAAGAGGACGATGATGAGGATGACGAAGATGATGATGACGACGAATCTGACACTAACGATAGTGACAATATCGAGGATGACTGTATCATATGGGATGACGGGCTTCAGGATATCAGAGCACTGTTCGCCCCTAAGCAGCCAAAATTGCCCTCTGCTTCTTCTGCCTCCTCTGTCGCCTCCGCAGCAGCAGCGCTTACACCCACAAAGAGACCTGGGGCCACTACCTCTATCTTGTCAGACCAGAACCAGCAGAAGCAGCACCTGCGAACGCAGTCGGAGGTGATTCTTGATTCGTCTCAAAAATCACCTAAAGACGCTGACCGTCAGCAGCAGCAGCAGCAGCAGCAGCGAGCCTTCTCAGTCGCTGTAACGCCTAACTTATTCTCTGACTCAAGTACATTGACAGCTGACAGCAAGGCAGGGACACCAACAGCAGCAGCAGCAGCAGCAGCAGAAGCAGCGGCAGAAACACCCACGGGGCCCCGTTTAGGTGCGAGGATTCTATTGGAGCGAATCCGGGACTATCAATGGCTGGCGGAGTGGCTGGGAATCGACCCTGACGAGCTTCTTATCCACAAGGTTCTCTCCGTGGTCCCTGTTGGCATGCTCCTCACTGACTTGGGCGTGCCCCGCTCGTTAGAGTCCAGCTTGTTAGAGTCACAGCGCCCGCTGCTGCTGCGCGTGGTGCTGCCTGGGTTCCGGGAGGAGGTGAAGAGGCGGCTGGTGGGTGCAGGGCTTGGGTGGACGGAAGGGATGTTGATTAAGACTGTGGTGTTTGAACCTAAGAGGAATGCCGCTGTGTTCACCACAGGAGGTGGCAGTGGTACTGCTAGAGGTGATGCTGCTGGTGCTGGTGCTGGTGCTGGTGGCAGTGGGACAGAGGGGGGTGTGGCTGGTACTGCTGCGGCTGCTGCAGCAGCAGCAGGGAGAGCATTGGCCAAGAAACCCAGCCACAACCGAACCAAAAGCGCGGAAGACATGGAAGAACTATCCCCGTTTGTGTCCCATGCTGTACAAGAATCGCTCACAGCAGGCGGCGGGCTGGCGAAGCAGATTCCCTTAGAGGACATTCTGGCAGCGACTGACTCGTGGAGCCCTGAGAGGAAGCTAGGGGAGGGCGCCTACGGCACGGTGTTCAAGGGGGTTGTGGGGCGCGGTGGGGAGGGTGGCGATGGCGAGATGTGGGCTGTGAAGCGGGCGGGGAATGTATCAGGGTCTCATCTGGAGGAGTTTGAAAAGGAGGTGAGCTGGGTTGGGCTGGGTTCGGTTGGGTTGGGTTGAGCAGATTCTCCTACAGGACATCCCAGCAGCAGCGACTGATTCATGGAGCCCTGAGAGGAAGCTAGGGGAGGGCGCCTACGGCACGGTGTTCAAGGGGGTTGTGGGGCGCGGTGGGGAGGGTGGCGATGGCGAGATGTGGGCTGTGAAGCGGGCGGGCAATGTGTCGGGGTCTCACCTGGAGGAGTTCGAGAAGGAGGTGAGCTGGGAGGATTGGCTGGGTTGGGCTGGGTTGGTTTGGGTTGGGATGGATTGGTTTGCGTTTAGCTTCATTGGGCTCACGAGGCAAATTCGCTTAGAGGGCAGAAGGTGGAGAGCGGTGGGCTGTGAAGCGGGCGGGCAATGTGTCAGGATCTCACCTGGAGGAGTTTGAGAAGGAGGTGGATGGGCTGGGTTGGCTTGGTTGGGTTGGGTTGAGCTTCATAGGGCTTGCGAGGCAAATTCCCTAGAAGGTGGAGAGCAGTGGGCTGTGCAGCGGGCGGGCAATGTGTCAGGGTATCATCTGGAGGAGTTTGAGAAGGAGGTGAGCTGGGTTGGGTTTGTGTTGGGCTGGGTTGGTCATGGTTGGCTTGGGCTTGGTTGGGTTAGGTTGGGTTGGGTTGGGTCGGGTTGGGTTGGGCTTGGCTGGGTTGGGTTGGGTTGGGCTGTCTTTGGTTCATGAACTGTAGCCTGCATGGCCCACCAGCACCTCGTGTGCCTCATAGGCTTCTGTGCCTATGCTGTTTCTCCTTGCCACTCCTTGCCACTCCTTGCAGTTCCTCCTCCCAGGTGTCATTCCACTCACTCCTGTCAATTCTTGCCACTCCCTGTCATTCCTTGCCACCCCCTGTCACTCCTTGCGACCCCCTGTCACTCCTTGCCACCCTCTGTCACTCCTCACCATTCCCCCTCCCAGGTGTCATTCATGAGTCGCATGGCCCACCAGCATCTCGTGCGACTCATAGGCTTCTGGGCGGACTGTGATGAGCGAATCCTTATTTATGAGTTCATGCACAACGGCACCCTTGCATCGCGCATCCACCGTGGACCAGTGCCGTCATCCCCCACCGGAGGTGAGTGTCATGAGCTGGGCTGGGCTTCTGGGCGGACTGTGACGAGCGAATCCTTATTTATGAGTTCATGCACAACGGCACCCTTGCATCGCGCATCCACCGTGGACCAGTGCCGTCATCCCCTACTGGAGGTGAGTGTCATGGGCTGGGCTGGGCTTCTGGGCGGACTGTGACGAGCGAATCCTTATTTATGAGTTCATGCACAACGGCACCCTGGCCTCGCGCATCCACCGCGCACCAGTGCCATCATCCCCTACTGGAGGTGAGTGTCATGGGCTGGGCTGGGCTTCTGGGCGGACTGTGACGAGCGAATCCTTATTTATGAGTTCATGCACAACGGCACCCTGGCCTCGCGCATCCACCGCGCACCAGTGCCATCATCCCCTACTGGAGGTGAGTGTCATGAGCTGGGCTGGGCTTCTGGGCGGACTGTGACGAACGAATCCTTATTTATGAGTTCATGCACAACGGCACCCTTGCCTCACGCATCCACCGTCCAGTGCCATCATCCCCTACTGGAGGTGAGTGTTCTCGGCTGGGATGCTTGCAATGAGAGATGACTACAGGTGCGTTCTCATTTATGAGTTCATGCACAACGGCACCCTCGCCTCGCGCATTCACCGACCAGTGCCCTCGTCCCCTACTGGAGGTGAGTGTTGCCCTGCTTGCAATGGTTGATGACTGGTAAGAGTCCCATCACGAGTTCATGCACAGCAGCACCCTCGCCCCCACGCATGTTGTGCACCAGTGCTGTCACCCCCCTCTGGAGGTGTGTGTAGTGGGCTGGGCTGCGTGCATTGTGTGTCGAGCACTGGATCGTCTACAGTTTCATGCAGAACGGCACACTCTCCTCCCACATCCACTGTGCGGAAGTGCAATCTCTTTGGAGGTGAGTGTGCAATGAGCCGAACAGAGTGTGATACAGCACTATATCTTGAATTTCCCTCCCTTATTCATGCTTTCCTCTCTTCCTCCCTCTCCCATCCCCGCTTTTCCCACAAAATTAGAAGCACTCGAGAAAGCCCCACCTCTGCCTCTCTCACTCGATGAGCGCGTCATTATCACCGAGGGTCTGCGCTACCTGCACGACTTTGCCCTGGCCTTACCCTCCCTACCTCTTCCTTCCCTCCTCTCCCTCCACGCTCCCTATCAACAGAAGCTCCCAAAAAGGCCCCACCTCCACCTCTCTCATTCGACGAGCGTGTCATAATTGCAGTTGGAGCAGCAGAGGGTCTGCGCTACCTGCACGACTTTGCCCGGCCGCCCGTGATCCACCGCGATATCAAATCGGAGAATATCCTGCTGACAGCGGATCTGCAGGCCAAGGTGGCGGATTTCGGGCTGCTGAAAACGAGCGACCAGGGTGGGCCCGGTCGGCATGTGGCGAGAACAAGGCTGATGGGAACCCCTGGGTATTGTGACCCGGAGTATTCTCGGACTTACATTGCCACCCCTAAGAGCGATGTGTACAGGTAAGCTGCGAGCGAGCATGCAAGATTGTGTTGAAGACAAGCGACCAGGGTGGGCCCGGGCGGCATGTGGCGAGAACAAGGCTGATGGGCACCCCTGGGTACTGCGACCCCGAGTATTCGCGGACTTACATTGCCACGCCTAAGAGCGATGTGTACAGGTGAGCACGTGAGAGAGGGAGTGTGTGGAAGAGTGTGGAACAGATAATCCTGCTGGAGCACTGAGCACCGAGGCACTGAGCCATTTTCAAACCTCCCCTCATGTGCACATCACATCATCCCTGCGTGTCTGTCTGTCTCTGCAGCTTCGGAGTGGTTCTTTTGGAGCTGGTGACGGGCCGCAGAGCCATCCTGGCAGAGCCGAGTCAGAAGACGGGGATGAACCTGGGCAATGTTGCGTCCTGACCTAGCTTCTACATATGTGCCTTTTTGTTTCCCCCCCTGTCTCTGCAGTTTCGGAGTGGTTCTTTTGGAGCTGGTGACGGGCCGCAGAGCCATCCTGGCAGAGCCGACTCAGAAGACGGGGATGAATGTGGGCAACGTGGCGCCGTGACTGAGCGCTGACTGACCCTCCTGTGTGTGCATGCACCCTTTGTCTCTTGGCGTGGCAGCTTTGGGGTGGTTCTTTTGGAGCTGGTGACGGGGCGCAGAGCCATCCTGGCAGAGCCGAGTCAGAAGACGGGGATGAACCTGGGCAATGTAGCGTCGCTGCTGCAGCGCTCCAAGCGCAATGCCAAAGCGAGTGCCATGGAGCCAGGGGCTACGACCACGCTCGTGCAATGGGTGAGTGTGGTTTGTGTGATGTGTGCGTATGCCCACTAGTTTGATTGCTTCCGTGTGTTGGCCTGTGCATGCGTGTGCATGCTTGACCAGGTGCGGGTGTTTTCTTGCAGGTCAGTGATGACTCCAGAGGCACGTGGTCTGTTGGCAGGTGTTTTGGCCACACATACGTATGCAGACTTGTATCTCTTTCTCACATGCCGTCTTCCTCCCTCCTCTCCAATCTCATCCATCCAGGCCATTCCTCTGATCACAGCAGGTCTCATTTCCCTCTCTCTCCTCTCCTCTCCTCTCCTCTCCCAGCGTCCCTTCCCTCCGTCCAGGCCATTCCTCTGATCACAGCAGGCAAGCTCAAGTCTGTAGTCGACCCGGCGCTGGAAAACGACTACCCACCAGGATGGATGAAAGCATTCACCAACGTGGCGGTCATGTGTGTCATGCGAGCTACGCCATTTATCTCTCACGTGTGTCTGTCTCCCTCCCTTCTCCCCCCTTCCCTCCGTCCAGGCCATTCCTCTGATCACAGCAGGCAAGCTCAAGTCTGTAGTCGACCCGGCGCTGGAAAACAACTACCCACCAGGATGGATGAAAGCATTCACCAACGTGGCGGTCATGTGTGTTCTCACGTGTGTACTGTCTCCCTCCCTTCTCCCCCCTTCCCTCCGTCCAGGCCATTCCTCTAATCACAGCAGGCAAGCTCAAATCCGTAGTTGACCCGGCCCTGGAAAACAACTACCCACCAGGAGGGATGAAAGCATTCGCCAACGTGGCGGTCATGTGTGTCCAAAAGAGCGCCGCCCAGCGGCCGACCATGGCTGAGGTGGCGACACGTCTGTCTGCCATCCAGCACAAGGTGGAGGAGCTGCACATTCAGGGGGAAGAGCCAAAGTATAACTTCCAACCCACCATCGGAAGTGGTGCTCCGGCTGGTGCTGCTGCTGCTGCTACCACGCCTGTTCCCAGAGCACAGACAGCACCTCGACCCAAGTCTCCAGCTCCGAAAGTGCCGCAGAAAAAGGCCGGGGAGAAGAGCGGGAGTGGGGCGGGAGCAAAGGCAAAGACGAAGGATGCAGGTGTTGGGGAGGGGAAAGAGGCGAAGGGGAAGAAGGCGGGAGGGAAGGGGGTTACAAGGGCGAAGAGTGCGGCACAGCCGTATTTGGGAGCAAAGGATGCCGTGGAGTTCAGCTCGCAGCATGTGACGAGCAAATATATGGCAATGATGTGACCATCCAGAGGCGCTGCCTGTTGTACACTGTGGCTAGATGTTCACGTACACTGGGTGTTCCAAACCTGAGAGCCTTGTGGTGTGTAGTATTATTATTACTTTTCAGTTACACAGTAGTGATAACCGGGGCTTCTGTAACAGTTCCTTGATAATTGTTGCCCTGAATACTAGTTCTTGTAGACAAGACCTGCACTTATGCATTGTCATTTAGCTAATCTAAGCATTCTGTGATCCTCGTGTTGTTGACATACAGTTACATATTTTGAGGACGTGTTTGTGTATCTTGTTCAGGAACTGGAAGTGTAGATTTATTATAATTTTTTTTTGCCTGACCGTCTCCCTGCTACGGAGTTTTGGGAGCGAAATGTGGCGTGGGTGCTTTAGGCTATCCGTACCAGGCCACGAACCTGATCACGTCTATACCCTACGTCAGGTTCGGCACCCTCAAGATCTGTTGTGTGGTTGGCCAGGTTCGCATGCTTAGACCCCCCTGTCAGACGCTTCGGGCCGGACCAGGATGTAGAGCTGGTCTGGATCACCTTCTCGAAGGTGCCACGTCAACAGCTTGCTTTCGCTGAACCCGCACGTTCGTCCCAAACACCACAGCTGTTGTGCCCTTGCGGTCCCCACACGCTCCACACGGAAAGCCCTGATTCGTTGTCCCTTCATGCCGAGCCTGTGAGCAAGGCTGGGATTCTTAGTCTTACCTCCTTCGAAACCAGCGGCGTAGTGCTCTTCAGCTCGGTAGCTGAGGCAGACGGATGTCAGTCACGGAAAGGTTCCCGCGATCAGAGCTCTGGTTTGTGGTTGTGACATGCTCCCGCGTAGATCACCACGCGACAGCCAATCTCGACCGTCTGAATGCCAGAAGATTCAAGGGCCCTTTCATTCGGGATGAGGGCGGGAGTAGTGCCTTTTTTCTCTCCCAACCCAAGCCGGCCCTATACCTCCCACCCTGCCTTATTGCATCCAAGCAGTTCGAACAGAATCTGGGCTCTTCCGCTGGTGTGGCTGAAACTTGCAGTTTGTTCCGGTAATTGCTTGCTTCGGACTTACTGGTTGAAAGGGCCTGATCACCATGACTTTGGAGACTGAAGTCATCTCTCGAGCAGCATCCCCTTCCTCCAACTTCACAGCCGCCATGACCAGGGATACGCCGTTCTTCTATGTCTGGCCTGCGACGGAGCCTCTTGTGCAGAATTTCGAGTGGAAGGTCGATGAGACGCCGGTGTCGAACCTTGCGTTGATGCTCTGCACATGTATAGGCTACGTCACATTCATTCTAGGTCTGAAATGGTTCCGGACAAGGAACAAGATGGCACCAGTGAATCTGGGTTACCTCCCTGCCATCCACAACCTGATCTTGTGCCTCTGGTCCTTGGCGATGTTCCTGGGAACGATCCACGCAATGCTTCTGGATTCCGAGATCAACAAATATGACACCGGCATGGTACGGCATCATGGCACATTGCTGACCATCCTTCAGCAGATCAGGACAGTTTTGGTAACTGACGGTGCATTTCTTTTCTTTGTTTGCAGGGCAAGTATACGTGGCTTCTTTGCTTCCCCTCCACCGTCAAGCCCGTTGGTTATCTTTGGTTCTGGAGTTACATCTACTACCTCAGCAAGTATTACGAGCTTCTGGATACCGTTATCCTGGTGCTGAAGAACAAGCCGCTGTCGTTCCTCCACGTGTACCACCATGCAACCATCGTCTTCCTCTGCTGGCTGTGGCTAACTGTAAGTTCTCTATTCTTACGTTTTACACCGTCGTGTCGTAGGCCATTTCCTGCGTTTCTGAATTCTCTTCCTTTATGTTGCGATCCACAAAGGAAGAAAGCAAAAACTGATCTAGAACGTGAGTAGCGATTACCATAGTCAAACCGTAAACGAACGGGAGGGATACATTGTAGCTTACAAACGAGCAACGAACGTTGCTTGAAACAGTCAACTTTAGCCAAATCATGAATATCGATACAACCCGATACATGTCCAGACACCTATAGATTGCTCATTTTTATTTCCCCCGTCTTTTTTGAACAGAACACGCAGTCGCTTCAGATCATTGCGATCACGATCAACACGGGGATCCACGTCATGATGTACTTCTACTACTTCATGCACAGGTATGGAATCGCGTCGTTCGCCAGTCAAGTGTATCGAAAGTACGAGGAGTACAGAAAGTTAAGTGCTTTGCTCTCTCTCATAATGTTGCCAACTGACGTCGCCTGTTTTCGGCAATGTGTGTTAACAGCATCGGCATGCCTCCTCCTTGGAAGATGTTCGTCACCAACAGCCAGATCATTCAGGTACGATTTCATATGTTTTTCATGCTCTTCAAATCAAGAACCACAACCCTTCTGTCCTGGTTTCGCAAACTAAACTCTTCTGATAAATGCTAAAAAAAAATCTTCGGTATTGATGTTTTGCAGTTCATGATCGGCACTTTCGTCTCCTTCCCGCTCATCTACTTCCACTTCACCCGGCCGACTGGCTGCGCTGGATTCGAGTCTTTCTGCTTCAACCTCTTCTTCAACTCCTCGCTCCTCTACCTCTTCGTCGACTTCCACATTCGCAACTACGGAAAGGCTGCGAAGGCAGCCAAGGGAGCCAAGCGGGCCAAGAGGGATTAAGTTATTCCAGGACTCATTCTAGATCTGGTGTTTGATGCAGCTGAACGAGGTGGGGGATACAGTCTGTGGTATTCAAAGGGATGGAGCTGCAAGCTTTCTCTTCACGCTAGGGTTGAGCTAGACTGGGTAGCATTTTGGTTGACTTTATTAGATTTTCGCTTGCGTTTCAACCGTGTTGTCAGCTTTTTTCTAACGATATTATCCCCTTTCCTCGCCCGTTACAGCCAGCCAGTCGTAGCTGGGGTTTCTAACAGTTACTGCTGCTGCTGGCTTCGAACCTCCAAATGATAGTTTACGTCAGTCGGCAATCTCAGCTCTTTCCTTTCCCTTCTCCTTATCTTCCCCTACTTCCCTTCCTCCGTCTTTCTCTTCCCCCCTCGTTCTCTTCCCCTCATGTCCTCTTCCCCCACCGTACTCATCTCCCCTCGTTCTCATCTCCCCTCGTCCTCATCTCCCCTCGTCCTCATCTCCCCTCGTCCTCATCTCCCCTCGTTCGCTTCTCCCCTCGTTCTCTTGTCCCCTCGTTATCCTCTCCCCTCGGTTTCTCTTCTCCCCTCGTTTGTCTTACCCATCGTTCTCTTACTCCGTCCTCTTTCCCGCACTTCTCTTCCCCCCTCTTCTCTTCCGCCCTCTTCTATTCCTCCCTCTTTTCCTCTCCCGTCTTCTCTTCCCCCTCTCCTCTTCCCCTCTCTCCTCTTCCCCCTTCTCTTCCCCCCCCTTCTCTTCCCCCATGATATAACCTTAACCCTTCTCCTCCCCCATCTTCTCTTCAGCCCTCTTCCCCTCCCCCCTCTTCTCTTCCGCCCCCTTCTCTTCCGCCCCCTTTTCTTCCGCTCCCTTCTCTTCCGCCCTCTTCTCTTCCCCCTTCTCTTACCCCCTATTCTCTCCCCCCCCCTTCTCTTTCCCCCTCTCCTTTCCCCCCTTCTCTTCCCCCCTTCTCTTTCCCCCTCTTCTCTTTTCCCCCCTTCTCCATCCCTGTCTTTTCTTTCCCGCACTTATCTTCCTCCGAATCTCTCGTTCTTTTCTTTCGCATCCCCGAACCCTTCCCATCCTGCCCATCTTTCTCTCTATCGCTTTCCCACTCTACCTATCTCATTCTTCTTTCAAACCTCTCCCCACTTCCCTCTTTCTCACCATTCCCCACCCGTTCTCCACCTTGTCCTCTCTTGTAGCCCTGCTTGACTCCCTCAATCTAACTACTGCATCAGCCTGCCTGCCTCTCCCTCACGAACTGCCTCTTTCACTGCTTCATTGTAGAAATCCAGTGTGCCTTAAAACTGCACAATTCCTCCTAACCACAAGACAAGTCTTGAGCAAACAAAAGAAAAGATCTTGGCATAACAAATTATGGTACTTTACTCCCATCATGTAAGGAATTTTTCGAATTCCTTACTGGGTCACTCCGTACGCGTACAACCTTCCGGAAAACCAGGCTCGGTCCGCCGACCTCGCCTTCCGAGCCACCACCGCGTCGCCTTCGGGTTTTCCAACCCCGAACCTGCACCCAACCATCTCGCGACCCCGCGACCTCGGCCTAGCTAGGACTTGCTATATTGTGCCTAGGCCTCGTTGTTCATGCAGACGTTGTAATCACTTCCGCATTATTGAGTTCTGCGCACTCTCTTCTTTCACAACTCATAACACTTGGTATCAGAGCCTAAAGTCCTAGGTTACCCTCGCGTTTCCGGGGTAGTTTGTAGAAGGGGAGCGATAGACTTGGTGGGCTGTTAAGCGGTCGGCCCGTGGAATAGATCCGATTATTCCACTCCGACTACGATAGCATTAACTGTCAAAATGAAGAATGGATGGTGCATTGATGTTGGTTGGGGTACATATAGCTAACCCTAAGTTTTGTACCCCCTAAGACAAACCTCACTATAGGCTACAACATTTGACACACCTTCATAGCCTAAGTGAGGGGTGTCTAGCAGAACCAAACGAGTACGGTCACAAGACCAGTCCAAGAAACAAAGCTCAGGGTGGATCACAACGTCACCACACAGTCTGAGCACAAACAACAGTGGCCACAAGGCCAGTCCAAGAAGTAACAGAGATATATAGAAAGCAAAGTAAACAGTACACTCAAGCCTAAGCAACACGAGAACCAGTGTCAACAAGGCCTAACTGCACACAGCACCTCTGGTGGTCACAAGGCGGAAGCGCCTTGGTGAAGATGTCTGCAGTGTTGGCCTCGGACTCCACAAACTCAAAGCGAGCCTGTCCACGCCTCTGCAACTCTCGCAGAAGAAAGTACCTGACGTGAATGTGCTTCACTCTGCTCTCCAGTCGTGGCTCTCGACAAAGGAGAATAGACGCCTTGTTGTCAGTGAACAAGGTCGGTGCAGAGCTCGGCCGCTCACCAAGGTCGGTGAGCAAGAAGGTCAACCAACGCAGCTCCTGTGCCGCCATGGCACCAGCGTAGATCTCAGCCTCAGCTGTAGAGGTCGAGACCGAAGAGGAGCGCGTGGACCGCCAGGAAACAGCTCCAGAACCCAGGCTGAAACAGTACCCCTGAGTAGACCTGTGAGTCTCAGCGTCGTCAGCGTAAGAGGAGTCACAGTGACCAGTAAGTACGACAGACTGCTGCCCTCCAAGAACTAGCCCCACGCCTGACGTCGTCGCTAGGTACTTCGCCACCCTCACAGCTGCTGTCCAGTGAACAGGACGGTGTCTCCCTGGCGCAACAAAGCGCGCAAGAACGCTGAGAGGGAAGGCGAGGTCCGGGCGAGTACAAGTCATCAGGTACATGAGGCAACCCACAAGCTCTGCGTAGGGACCACTAGGCTCGAACGGCTCGTCAGGAAAGGGTCCAGTGAGTCTGTGGTCAACAGCAAGAGGTGTGCGCTGTACTGTGGAGTGCTGAAGCCCGAACCGCTGAAGGACCTGCTGCACCATGTGCGACTGTGAAAGTGTAATGGTGCGAGCAGCTCTGTCCCTGGTGATCTGCAGGCCAAGGTAGTGGCGCAGCTCACCAAGATCAGTGCAGGTGTGTCTCTTCTGCAGTTCAGACTTCACGTGTGCCAAAGCAACCCTGTCAGGGGTGGCGAAAACAAGGTCGTCAACGTAGACCAGAACAAAGAAAGGTGTGGTGCCACGACGAACGAACAGCGACGGGTCAGCAGAAGACGGCTGGAACCCAAGGTCAGACAGGGTAGAACGCAGGGTGTCGTGCCACTCACGAGGAGCCTGACGAAGACCGTAAACCGGTCGCCTCAGCCTCCACTGGGTCCCAGGAGGGAAAGAGCCAGTGAAGGCAGAGGGACGACGCAACCAGACCTCCTCGTGAAGACTGCCCTGAAGGAAAGCAGTAGAGAAGTCGAGAGAGTGTAACTCGTAGTCTCTCTGTGCTGCTACGTGTAGTAACACCCGAAGAGTGGTCATCTTCGGGGTGGGCGCGAAGGTCTGAAAGAAGTCAACTCCCTCGTGCTGACTGAAACCTCTAGCCACGTAGCGCGCCTTGAAGACCGGAGGAGATCCCGGTGGCCGCTTCACCCTGTAGATCCACATGCCGTCGACTACGTTCGCCCCCGGAGGGGGAACCTCATCGACGTAGGTGCCTGTGGATCTGTAGGAGGCCATCTCTGCGTCCATGGCAGCTCTCCACTGAGAGGCCCAAGGCCCTGACACTGCCTCAGCGTAAGTGCGAGGAGTCGGAATGTCAAGGGCGTCGGGGTCACCCTCAGGGGCGAGGAGCATGGCACAGAGATGAGGGGAAGCGGCCGCCAGGAACTCTAGCTCAAACTGCCTGTCCTCTAGGGCGTCACAGCCAAGGGCAGACACACCCCCGACGGCCAGAGGACTGGAAGGAGGAGCAGCCACAAGAGCGGTGGCGAAGTCAAGGCGGCGGGTAGAGGCAAACTCAGTGACTGCGGCAGTAAGAGCGGACACAGAGGACACAGAGGCACGAGGGTGGGTAACAAGAGAGGCGAGAACACGAGAGAGAAGAGGACGGTACGTGCGGTAGTAGTCAGTGACAGGAGTAGGGAGCGACGCAGTGAGAGCCGACTCAGGAGGAGACGGAAGCACAGACGGAGACGGACGAGGTGGACTAGAACGAAGTAAGGCAGTACGAAGGTCAGTGAAGGGAACAGGAGACGAGGGACGAGCACGAGGGGAGCGACGAGAGGCCCAAGTCTGAGAAGGAGGAGGGGACAACGAAGACTGAGAACGAGGGAAAACAGCGGGAGAGGGGTCAGGAGGAGGAAGCGGAGGACCAGAGACGGGAGGAGAGGGGGAGGAGGAAGGAGAGGGAGACGGGAGACCAAGGGTCCGAAGACCCGAGACAGGAGGAGGAGACGGCAGCTGCTGCTGCTGCGGCTGCTGCGGCTGCTGCTGCTCCAGCGGCTGCTGCCCCTGCTGCTGCTCCTGCTGCTGCTCCTGCTGCTGTCGCTCCTGCTCCTCGAGCCGCTGCAACTCTCTCTCCTCTCTCTCCAACTCCAGCTGCTCCTCACGAGCACGACGAACACGAGCCTGGAACCTGGTCGGGTAGGGGTGGGGGGAAGGAGTAGTGTCCGGGGCAGCGGCAGCCCCAGAGTCGACCTCCGAAGCACCAAGCACACCACCCCCAGAGGCAGCACCAACACCAGCTCCAGACCCAGGCTCTCCAGAAACCGAAGGAACACCCTCACCCCCAGACGCAGCACCAGCACCCCCAGACTCCGCACGACCAGTACCAGCCCCCGGAGGAGAAGAGTCCTCTGCAACCCGCGGCTCAGCTCCAACTCCAGCACCCCCAGAACCAGAGACCTGTACAGGGACAGTCGCAGGACCAACCTCCCGAGAGGGAGCACCTACAGGAGGCGGTGAGGAAGACTGTGGGGAGGGAGGCTGTACAGGGGGGGCTACCGAAGGGGGAGGGCTAGCCTGAGACACACCAGACGGGGCTGGACCAGGGGGGGGAGGCTGTACCGGGGGAGCAGGCGGGGGAGCGGCTGTCAGGAAGAGGGGGGGAGGAGGAACCGGGAGACCTCGACTGGGGTACCTGACGTAGTACGGGGTGG